GCAGTTAAGGTTTCCGAAGCATCCAAATACAGCCCCATTTCAACAAAGGCTGGCTAGCCTCTGTTTTTATTTGTCTTTGAAAGGAGAGGGGTGTGAGGAAAAGGATCTCTGCAGTACTGAGTCCATGAAATGTGAGTTGTTTTGGCTTATCCTATTGATTTGGTAGTGCCCCTCAGGGGCTCCACAACTATGATTTACAACTGAGCGCAAGAGGTGTAGGCGTGCAGAATTTTGGCATTGCACAGGACCCCACTGAAATTCCTACATTCCCACCTCCATCCCTGCACTACGACTTCAGAATGCCACTTCTCATCTTTCAGGATGCCGGGCTTACAGACCCTTTAGATTTAAAATTGTGGGACCACCTTGGCAGAGTCCTTTAAAATGCTATGCTAAGCAGAAGCATCCTTCCCTGACCTGGCGCTCTTTAGATATTGCTGTTCTGAACTATCATTCTTCACCATCACCAGCCATGCTAACTGGGTCTCATGCCACCTGGGACTTGTAGCATCTTACCTGTGGTCGCTGCAATGAAACGTGTTTCTCTTGTCTGAAAATTGCGAGGGTCCGTTACAGCATTGTACTTGAACGTTTAAGTATGAAATTAGCAAAGTTCAGCTCCAGTGTATTGGGGCTGCAAGCTTCTTGGTACACCACTATATATGCCCACGCACACACTTTCCCTCCAGCAGTTTCTGAAGTCTTCAGAACAGAAGAGGTAGTCCTTAATCCTTGTGGATTACACCATCAGTTTTGAGACTGTCATCAGGTGTGTGGGGGAGAGAGATGGGGGCCGCACACACACAGAGTCTGTGTCTAAGGGGAAAGAATAGGATTAGAGGGTCAGGATAGGGCAATCGGTCCCCCTCTGGAGATGATGCTATCAAAACGGATTCAAATACTTTGTGCAAATGAAAAGGAAGTCCTAGGGGAAGGAGAGCTTGCTGTCAGAGGTTGCTTTTGATAAGCTTTTCGAAGGCAAGGGGGCTGTTAGTTTGTTTTCCCCAGGCTGAGAGGGACAAGGCGTATATGGTGCTCTCTCTTGCTTTTAGTGAAACTAAGAAACCTAAGGAAAATAGAACCTAAGTCAGTGTTTCATGAGTGAGTGTAGGTAGCTTGGTAAGTGCTCCTAGTGGAAATACTACAGCACAAAGAGCTAATGCAATCCCTGGTGATGTTAACAGAGTCATGCTGATCTCTGGAGAGCTGCTTCTGATACGGGTGGCAATATTTAAGAAGAAGCAGGGCGTTGGCATCTTGGTGAAAGTGGTGAAGACACACATTCTGTTGTTGAACACATTGCCACGCAAAGCAGAGCAAAGTCCCAAAGAGTGGACTACAGCATTCTGTAATAATCCAGGCACCCCTGTAAATCACTGGGAACTGGATATTAACTGAAAAGCAGTTGGGGGTGTATGTCTCATTGTTCCGGTCTTTGCAAAGCCATTCTCTAGTTTTAATGTAAGAACCCACGACATAAGATACACCACATGCAGCCCAGTGGGATATTACTAAATGATGCTTCAAAGCGGAGACACCAAAAGCAGCTTTAAAAGATATCAAATGTGCCCAGAAGGCAGGCAGAAGAAAGGATGAACATTCAAATCCTTGCAACTCTTCAAAAAACGCTTAACAGGAGCATTTGACAAATCTCACTATACGACTATGGGTTAGAACAATGAAGGATTCAGAATCTGCAGCGAACTTCTCCAGGGTTCATTTAATGCAACTTTGTGCTCTTTATAATATTGCACCAGTTCTATACTACAGTAATGCTATGCCCTAGCACAGCTTTCACCAACCTAGTGCCTTCCAGATGTTTTGGACTACAACTCCCATCAGACCCAGTCAGCACAGTCACAGGCCAAAAGGTCAGGAGGACACCAGATTGGCGAAGGCCAGATTAGTGGATCTGTGAACTGTACCCTGATGGCATCTGAAGTTTTAAATGAATCAGCAAAAGTTGAACTATGCACTGCTTGAAGGATCACACCTTACCCTTGATGCAATCACATGGATACTTTGAATAGGGGAACTACGAAAGCTGTTTATCATAGAAAATACATGATGGATAGGAAATATCCTAGTTCTAGCTAACGAAGGTCAATGTGCAAAGAGCCACTGCAGGAGAGAGACACAGGAACGATGCATTCTCTCCCATGATGGTACAAAAAAGAGAGGTAAGCAGGAAGTGAGGTCAGACACCCTGAGAGTGTCAGTCTAGCATCTGAGGAAAGGTCAACCCAGGTTATATCAGAAAGACAGTCTAGGAAGCATGAGGGTTCCTCTTTCTCCCCACACGAACCCTTAAGTCTTTAGTTACAGTTAGGTAGCCGTGTTGGTCTGCAGTAGTCAAAACAAAAAAACAAAAAATTTTAAAATCCTTCCAGTAGCACCTTAGAGACCAACTAAGTTTCCTATTGGTATGAGCTTTTGTGTGCATGCACGCTTCTCAGTGTGGTGTAGTGGTTAAGAGTGGTAGACTCGTATTCTGGTGAACCGAGTTGGTGTCCCCGCTCCTCCACATGCAGCTGCTGGGTGACCTTGGGCTAGTCACACTTCTCTGAAGTCTCTCAGCCTCACTTACCTCACAGAGTGTTTGTTGTGGGGGAGGAAGGGAAAGGAGATTGTGAGCTGCTTTGAGACTCCTTCGGGTAGTGATAAAGCGGGATATCAAATCCAAACTCTTCTTCAAATGCACACTTCTTCAGATGAGTCTTTAGTATCCAGTATCAGTTCTACTCAAGAGTAGGCTCATTGACATTAGGTCCATTGACTTCAATAGGCCTAGCCTGAGTAAAACTTAGTTGGATGCAACCATGTGCCATTACTATATTATGATCTAGGGCCGTCCAACAAAAATGTGAAAACAAAACCATTTCCTCACTGTAACAAAGCAGACCAAGGAAAGCTCTAGGCACCAATCGTGATGGCAAGTCTGCCATCTTGTGGCTGCATAGCCTGTTGTTTCATGGAAGTCCTAGTCAAGCCTTTTGCAGGATCTGTACTGGGGTGGGGGCTCTTTGCCACCCTCTTCTCATCTGGAAGTAGGAAAATCTCCATTCCCTTAAAAGAAAAGAGAAAGGCTGGTTGTTTCAGCCACTCTCAGAGATAAATTTTGAACAAAAACAAGCTCATACCTGAAGGTTTTTCTCAGCCTCTTTACTGCATGCCCAAAATCCCTTCTAGAGATAGGCAGCTAAGGTGTGCCATGTGCTGTAGGTACTTATAGTAGGAAGGGAATGTGATATAACATTCAACCATTACTACTTCAGGAAGTAGGGAGAAGGCTAGTCTTGAACTAGCCTTCATCATATTCTGTGGGTGGATAAACCATATAGCCTCTTGCAAGATTTCTCCAAATATTGGAATCGTTAATACTTAGGATCAAAACTAGACATTTGCAGGATATGATTGCGTATCTAATTTTAGATATGGGAGAGTCTTATTGGAAAGGAGGACTTAGAGAGGGGAAGGTTACCTCTTCACTTATCCACCAGTGTCAGAACAAGTATCGGCTAATAACTTTAGGGCAAGGTTCCAGAAAAAGCCATAGCTCAGTGGTAGAGTGCATGCTTTTGCTTGCAAAATGTCCGACTTTCAAAATGTCTCCAGGTACAACTGGGAAATATTGAAACCCTGGAGAGCTGCTGCCAGTCAGTGTTGACAGTGCTGAGCAAGATGCACCAATTGTCTTGACTCTGTATAGCCCAATAGCTCCCTATGTTGCCACATCTTCACTGGCACCTATGGGGACTTTTCTCCCAAGGCTCTTAACTGTACTTGCAGAATGGTTGTTCCAGCTTCACTGGGGAGGGAAGAGATAAACTTCCCTACTACCATGCTGTCTTCCCATTAAAGATTGTGCACCCTCTACCCCCAACTAGACCTGCAATTGAGTGGGGTCATACATGCCGTCTATTAGCAAATATTTAGACTTGACTAAGAGAGCACTGAGCTAATGGCAATTTCTTTCACCACACAGTTAATTCTGTCTTGGCATTACAGTGGTACCTCGGGTTAAGTACTTAATTCGTTCTGGAAGTCCGTTCTTAACTGTCCGTTCTTAACCTGACGCACCACTTTAGCTAATGTGGCTTCCTGCTGCCAGAGCACGATTTCTGTTCTTATCCTGAAGCAAAGTTCTTAACCCGAGGTACTATTTCTGGGTTAGCGGAGTCTGTAACCTGAAGCGTATGTAACCCGAGGTACCACTGTCTATGTGAACCCACGGTTCTCTTTTAACCTCGACTTGCTTTGTCATTCAACCCCCAGATACTCACCAAGCTACAAAGGCACAAGGCAAAAGCAGCTGGAAAGCAAACCTAACTGTGGAGAAACAAGCCATGGTTCGATCATGTATGGGAGAACCCGCAGTTTTTTAAACAAACCATGGCTTGGTGTTATGAATGAACCAGGCAATTATATCTCAACCAAGTAATATAGATTTTGTAGTGAAGTATAGTATTGGGAAACTAGGTGCTCGTCTTTAGTCATGAAAATAATAGTGCTAAGACCCTGTATTTTTTACAGGGCAATGCTATGTCTCCTTCAAGGGAAGTCCCATTACTCCTAGATTCGGGGTGTAGAACTATAGTCTTTAGTAGTGCTACTTGCTTAAAACGTGCATACTAATTGTGTATTTCTTGGCCATTACTGACACGTCTACAATTCTTTTCCTAATTCTACTGACTTATTTTAAGGTAAAAACTATCAGCTATTTAAATTGAAGAAAAGCAAGCTCCCAGATCTTGAAATCAGGCAAACTGGTAATGCCAAGATTGATGCTCAAAGTCACTTATATGTTACTCCGCCAGACAAGCTGAGGGAGAGATCCTGTGTGAAGCCACTTCTGGGAAACAGCAAGAAATCCTTTCATACTTATAATGTATTTCAAGAGGAGAAGATAAAACCCTGTAGCTGGAAAGTGAGCTACATGGTGCTCCATGGCTCTCGATTTCACACTTCCCACCAAGAAATAAAGTTCAGAGTAGTCCACATATTGCAAACACATTTATTCCGAAAAAGCAAAACTTGTTAGAAGAGATGGCACAATGTGAAAACAACTATGTCCACAAGTCTCAAATGCAGTTATGCTCTATGCCTTACTACTAATTCACGCACAGCTCTTGACAAGGATGAGGATGAGACGAAACAACAGGAACATAACACAGGTTCTATTCCTTCTCCCTGGCATGGAGTTCAGTTGGAAGCAATCCTTTTAAAAACTCTCTACAATAATGGCATTTAGAATGTGGCTAATATAATATGAATGAATACATATATGGTTTTAAAATTTGATTAAAAATAAGATCTGGTTTTCCCCTCAGAAACTAAACCCTGCATTAATCTGTCTGGGCACTCCAAAACCAAGAACTAAGGCACACAATCTTCAAGAGAAGGAGGCTCAGCAGGTAACTCATTTCTTTTATTTCTTTTAAAATGTTTTTATTGCTTTTTGAAGCGAACAAACCAACCAACCACCTTACATTCCACAGGTATTACTCATTCCTTAGGGAACATGTCCGTTAAAAAGATGTAAAATGCATAGGGAACATAAAACTTGCACCCCTCTCTTGACTGCCTCACCTGCAGAGAAAACAACCTAATACACATCAACAGCAGCAGTAAGTTTGGGCACCTTTCGAAGTACCAAAAAAATCTGACCAGAAGGCACAACAGGAACCAGTTTTCTCAGGGGGGGAGGGAAATGTGTTTGAGGAGTCTTCGGATTTGCCAAACAGCAGGCTATTCCCCCATGTAGTCAGTAGCACCAGTTACTTGTGGCAGCCATCAGATTCGTATAGAAAATATAAGAAAGGTTTTCAAGAAGTTCAGCTGCAGACCAGTAGCACTGCATTTTAGGAAGAAGAAAACCAGCAGCACCTGGCAGGAAGAAAAAGTTCAATTATGTGCGGTGGTGTAAGCTTCTATGCACCCTGCCCACCAAAAGGGGTGAACCACTAAGCCTTCTTCACCACAGCTAGCCACACGCAATGGAGAAAGCCAACTGCTCAGTGATAAGAGAGCATTTCCTCTGTGTGCAGAAGGCCCAAAGTTCAAGTCCCAGCATCTCCAGGTAGGGCAGTGAATGTCCTCCTTCTGAACCCCTACACAGCTGCTGCCAATCAGTGTAGTGGTTTGATTGCTGGACCTTGGAGAGCAGGGTTCAAATCCCCACTTGGCCATGAAGTTCACTGCGTGACCTTTGGCCAGTCATTCACTCTCTGCCTATTCTACCTCCCAGGTGGTTGTGAGGATAAAAGTATGTGGTGACTGAGCTCCTTGGTGGGGTATAAATACAAACAGAGAGGGAATATTGAGCTGACTGGACTCTGCATACGGCAGCTTCCTTTATCCCTATGGCTCTATTTCTTCCCAAGGCCAGAAAATGGGTGACAGTGTAGGGCTGATAGGCCTGGTTATATTAAAAAGCAATTCTGGTGGCATGGCTGCTGTCACAGAGTCAGCTCTTGTAGCTGGAAGAACACCAAAGTAGAGCAAAAACTGACGATGCCACCTCCCCAATCTCCCCAGGTGGGCCTCCTTTTCAACCTGCTGTGCCAAACAGCACAGCCAACGGTCACAGAGTTTTCCCCCAAAAAGATATGGAGAGCACCAGATTGGGGACATCTGTCCTCGTTTCTCAGCTGCCCAACCTCTCCACAAACACGTACCTTCAGGGAGATGTCAGGCTAAGATCTGCGTTGCTTCTTCGCTGGCTTGATAGGAGGTAGCTCCCCTTCCTCCTCTTCCATGGACTCGTCCTCCTCACTAAAATCTTCCTCATCTTCACTAAACTCATCATCTGAGAGGTCCTTTTTGTGAACTGAAAGAAGCAGCTGGAACTGTTACTTTGCAGTATGACCTGGGGAAATGCCTCCAGCCCCTCCTCCTCTCACCATTGCTTGCCAACTTCACCCCATTCCTAAGAGCGTCTCAAGCAGTGAATTACCTGTGCATGCCAAAGCATCCACACAACATTCCCCAGCTCTCTGCCTTATGCTTCAAAGAAGGGCTAGGTACCATTCCATCATGCACACCTGCCCATGAGATGTGGCCAAGTCCTCCTCACTTGGAGGACGAGCAACCTACACGCAACTCTGAACAGAGCGCACCACTGAGCAAAGCCACACATTGGGTGCTTTTGACTATACAAATGACATTCCTCCAAGTAGCCTGTTTTAAAGTGTCCCCCCATGCCTCAAGACACCTCAGCAGTGCCTTCCAAGGTGCCCTGGCTCTCCTATGGTTGTTGCTGCTGGTTTAATCACAGGAAGGCAAGTTTCAGCTTCTTTACCCCACTCTAAGACAAGGAAAGGAGGGACACAGGGCAGCTGGAGCTGGGGATTTGCTTTTCAGTGTGACCAACCAAACCACCTTTTTTAAAAGGAAAAAGTAGGGAGCAAAAGGGAGACCCACTGCTGCAAACGGGGGGAAAGCAGCATGTATGTATTTGATGGGGACAGTTTTGTACCCAAGTATAGCCACTTTTCCTTCAGGGAGGGGGATTTTCAAGTATGTGGTTTGGCTTGTGTGGCTCACCCCCAGTCTCCGCCTTGTACCCAGTTTCTTGTCTTTTACCTGTGGCAGCCATTTTGTGGCAGTGGCCACAACAGTTCCTCAAACTCTGCAATGTGCCCACAGGCCCAAAATGGATGGAGGAGTCTGTCACAGCACATCCCTCCCTAAGAGAGAACACCCACTTCTCTTCTCTTAATTTCTAGGAACCCCCTTTGCTCTCAGTAGCTCCCCAAATCCCAGTCCAGCCTCCTTACATATTTGGTGTTGTCCTGCAAGGTGGACAGGGCCAGATCCTGAGCGCAGGCGGAACGTCACCGGGGGTTGGAGCTCGAAATCTTCCAAACACAACTGAGAAAGGAGAAGGAGAGGAAGATGTGATGGGAGGAAGGAATGTCTCCAGATCCCATTTAGAGCAACTAGACACCGAGCTTTTTTCTTCCCCTCTTGCTTCTGGGCTAGAGAGCCAAGACACTAGCAAGTCTATTTTCTATTGTCCCAGCCATGAAATTCTCACACACAGCTGAATGGGTTTGACATCTTTCCACAGGGCCTGCAAGACAGAGCTGTTCCCCCAGGCTTTGGTCGGGGTTCAGTCTGATTCTTTTCTTTCTGTATAAGAACAAGCATTAAAGAGGCCTCCTAGCCTGCTCACAGGTCCTTTATAAGACCAGTGGTAACAGTTAGCCCTGGAGAATATTAACCACTCTCAATTTTACCCATGGACTGCCATCTGTCCAGATTTTAATTTGCTCTGAACTAATTTTAAGATTTTAATTAATTGATTGCGTGTTTTTATGTTCTTATGTTCTTTGTATACTGTGTTAGCTTTACGGTGTTAGCCGCCCTGAGCCCGGCCAGGGTACAAATAACAACAACAACAATAATTACTAACAACCGGAACAAATTAAGTTCTTGCTGACACCTTTCAAGTCACACTAAAAACACTGCATCAAACCACACATTTGAACTGATGACCTAAAGGAGCCTGCTCCATGACAAAGATCTCAGGTCTTGCAAACTCAGCCTTCTCCCCCACCCTCACCAGGTCTTCCTGTTAGCCCTTTCAGACCCTGTAGCCACCATATGCCCACCTCCCACATTGCCCATGCGCCCAACTGTTTCTTTTACCGAAGGCTGGCACGACAACTTTAGGTTGGCCACTGGCACCACAATCTCCTGGTCCTGATAGTCGTGCCCCACAAACTCCACAATATTGCACTCATCCTTGGCACCTTCCGACAGGCAAATCTTGAAGATGGAAGGACAAAGTGGAAAGAAGGGTAAAAACCAAAATATTCAGCAATACTTAACAAAAAGATAATACCCCCCTCCCCAAACCCCATGAAGAACAAGCAGCTAGGAGTGTGAGATCATCCATTAACAGATGCAACCAGAAGAGTAAAAAAGCATAACCTCTACCCAAAGGCCTTCTGGGGAACTTTAGGTCCCTCTTCAAAAACAGGAGCATAGAAGTCCAAAAGCCAACTCACAGCACAAGACTGGGCAAACTTAAGATTTCTCCTGGTTTGAGGCTCATCCTTCCAGGTAACTAGTAAAGAAACCAAGTGGTGCCTAGTATTTGAAGAGAGATTTGCCTATGTAGAACTCCTGGTCACCTCTGGCTACTAGCTGAGTTCTCAAATACTAGGTCATGCTAACGGGTCCGGGTCCTGGTTTTCCAAGCTAAGCATGTAACCTCTCTCACCATATTCAAAGCCAAGATATGATCAGAGTCATCTTCGTCAGACACTTTAAAAGTGTAGGATCGGGTACTGCTGTTCAGCTCACATCCTGGGGTGGGGGGGGGGGAAGAGAAACAAACAAATATTGCAACTGATAAGTCAATTTTTCTAAAAGCAGCAGATTTGCAAGAAACTGAACAACTTCCTTCTTAACCCTTTCAAGCCAGCTATTTGAAACATTTATAAAACTTTTAGAATGGTGTTTTCTTCACATGCTTCTCACTTTAAGCTGTTAGGTATTCAATTTATTCTTGTAGAAATGAATGGGAAAGTGAAGCTACCAAATGCATAAGCTCACTGGGTCCCTTCTATCCTCAGCAATTTCTCAAAAGAGGGCAAGCAAAATAACTTGGAATTCTACCTTAAATTCATTTTTTGTTTGTTTATACTACCACTAGAGCACTAAATAATCTTCCTGTTTTTGAGGGGTGGGGAAGATATTCCTGAGCAGACAAAATGCAGTGTTGGACCCCAGGAGTATTTTTTTCTCCTGCGGACAACAATTCTGCTCTATGCTTGCTTTACCTTAACACAGAAGTTAACATTTTCATTGTGCACATTTATAACACCGTCTTCTTTGTAATGTCCTTTGTTTAAGTGGGGGGAACATTAGTTACCTTCCATTATTTACTATGAGTTCAATATTTCATCTGGGCATTTTGTTTATGTCCTTATTTTACTTCCCTCCCTCCAGCTATTCCTGATTGACCAATGAAGAAATTAAATTAAGATTACAACATCTGGGTTAGTCAGTGTTTTGTTGGACCCTAGTACCAAATTGATACTTTAATTAAAATAAGGTGGGGATGAGGATAAGGTGTGCGATTCAACTAAGGCGTATTTTTCACTATTGCAAAAGCAGTTGTGCCACTCTGCAAGATGGCGTTTGACCATTTGGAAACAAATCCACTCTTTACAAAGTATTCTTATTTACCATTCACACTTTTTAAATCTTCCCTTTCTTGAATGCGTTTTTGAAATTAATCAGAATGTCCCCAAAATCTTTTTAAACAATTTTCAAATGCAATAATTTGTTTCAGTTTTCTAACAAAAACTTTTATTGCTGTCATTAATATAGCTATGTTATCTCATACTGCATGTACACAGAATTTATATTTCTAATGGTTTCATTTGCTGGACTGCCGCAGAAGGATATAATCCACTGTGCTATGTTCCCGATGTAAACTAGAAGGCCCCAGAAACATTATTTGTAGTCTGATGTACCCGAAGGCCGAAGCTAGTCTCACTGAGCTCAGTGATGCACGTGGACTCCAAAACCCACGTGCACCGAACTGCTGTTCTAGGGTCAAGAAATATTCGCCGCTCGTCTGATTACAACATAGGCAGATCTTACGGTACGAAAGATCTAAATGCATTTTCGGTGGGAAATACCCCTCCTGCTCCTGCAGTGTAACGAGCCAAGCAAGCCACGTGGACGCATCTGGGGCTTTAAGAGGCGCACGCGGCACCGGGATAACTTAGCGTCGCCACGCCACGTGCTTCCGGGCCTTGAACATATAGAGACCCAGTTCAAACAAATCCCATTAAGGCTCAAGTCTAAACGACCCAGATCCCAGTAAGAGGTCCCTCTGAACATCCCCCAAATGCCTTTTCCTGTTTTGCCCCAAAGGGCCCCGTTTCCCCCTTTCCACCTACATGCTCGCCTATCCCCGTTTCCTCTCTTTCCAGGCAGCGACAGGCCAGCCCTCCTTCAACTCACGGAACAAGAAGCTGCTGGTGCAAATCGGCGCCTTGACTCCATCCGCGATGCACTCCAGATCCACCAGAGAGGCCATGGCTTGCGCCGAAAGAGAGCGAAGCAGGAAGACACTCGCGCAGCGGAACCACCGACTAGCCCGGCTTGGCTAAGGCCGCCCCACCGGCAACGCGGATCCCTCCTCCAATCGGCGGACGAGGTAGGCGGCCCCTCCGAGGGAGGCGGGCGAGGTGGGTGATCTCGTTTGCTTTGGGGAAGTTTTATCTGCGCCTTCTTGGAAAAGTCTCATTTTCCAGAGAGCGGTTTTGCTTTCGTTGCTTTCCTCCCGGAAGGAGAGACGGCGCTGTTCGTGCAAGGATCATGCAAGGATCCGAAACGAAATGCGTAGTCTTAGGTGGCGCGGGAGGGTGGGGGAGAGAGAGGGATCGCTCTGGGGCGCCTTGATTCCCCGGGCATGCAATAGCATATCAGTGGGTGAGTACTCCAGCTGCCTAGAAGGGGAGTCGTGGCTGCCGTGGACGACGCACGCGGTGTGCAGAAGGTCCTGGGTCCAGCCTCTTCCTGCAGTCGTGTCTCCAGCTGCGGCTGGGAACGACCTGCAGGAGAGCCGCTGTCGCCGTGCCTGCGCTAGACGGGTAGCAGCAGGGCCGGATTTAGGTTTGATGAGGCCCTAAGCTACTGAAGGTAATGGGGCCCTTTATATGTCCAGCTGTCCTTTGTCAGCAACAAATGGTCGCTGTTTTTTTGTGTTGAATATATGTTATATGGTAACTTATGGACCTAATCGGTATCTAAAGCCATTTGCACATGCAGAATGTAGGCACCCTATATAGAGAAATGAGCAAACCAGTGATATTTTAGGGAGCAGGTTAGCAGGTGGGGCCCATTATCATCATAGGAGCCTACACAACACAAAACACTGTTGCTGTATGTAGGTTTTATTTTGCTTTTTATCTTATATTTTGGAAATATAACAGTACAGTTTTCCCCCCTTTACTTTTTGGGGGGGCCTCCAAGAGAGTGGGGCCCTAAGCTATAGCTTGTTTAGCTTATACATAAATCCGGCTCTGGGTAGCAGCAGTGCTTGGATTTGGGGATGAGGCAGTTTTCCTGCATTTCCAATTATTCCTGGAACTCAGGATTCGCCCAGGAAAACTGAAGCTGCTCCACCTGCTTAGTAAGGGCCCCGCTGTTCTCTGAAGTGTCGGCAGCAGTTTCGACAAAATGCCAGGATCTTTCTGCAGTGGAGGGCGCGGAGACTCCCTTGCCAAGCATGGCTGCCCCCGTTGAATTCGGAGAAAGCAGAGAAAGGAGGGTTTGAGTCCTCTGCCGTTTACACTAAGGGGTGTTGGAAATGGTTGGGCTTAACCTACCTACAGGGCAGCTTCTCCAGCATTCGCTTCTCTCACCAGCTTTAAATTGCAAATGATCATGAGCTTGTATTAGAATCATGCTTTTCGCAATGTGTGAATGCAGCAAAATAGTAGTTCCGTCTGCTTTGAGCCATCTTCAAGATGCTTTGCTGCTGGAGCAGATATATACTCTAGACCAGGGATGGGGAACCTGTGGTCCACCAGGTGTGGGTGCTCCCATCAGCCCCAGCCAGAATGGCCAGTAGTAGTCAGGGATGATGGGAGTTGTATGTCCAGCATCATGTGCAAGTTTCCCATCCCTGCTCTAGGACCATCTCCAGGGAAAGGATTGGGGTAACTGAAAATGATTGGTTACAGGGCTCAGAGGCAGACTTTGGCGATCTTTGGTATGTGACGCCCTTTGTGAGGCCAAAATTTGGTGCCTTCTAATGGATCTTCTCAATTTTGCACCCCCTTGGCTTGGCGCCCTGTGCAGGGGAACTGTCTACCCTGCCTTAAATCTGGCATGGCAGGGCTGTGTTGCTTACAGATATATGTCATAGGTGGTATTTTGACCCAAGGCATCCTGGTAATCTTAAAATGAGAGCAAAGGAAGATCACAAGGGTCAGTCCCTTTCTAAATAAAATATATAGTGGCTGGTTTGCAGACCCGACCTGGCCAAACCCTTTTGGGCTATGGAGACCCACACTGTGGTTTCAGATGGGCAGTACATTAATGTCTTGGCCTACCTTCTGCTTTTAGCAATCCTACCTCCCTTGCAGCCATCTGTTTAGGTCATCAGGATTCTCCACCGCAACCATCCCCTCCACAGAATTAGGAACCTGGAGGTGATGATTATTCACTCACTTGCCATAGCTCTGTAGCAGCATCTAGGAGCCTTTGTTCTGTCATTATATGGTTTGGAAAACGACCTGTGCCATTCAGCACAAGGCTTAACTTCCTGTAGAGATGAGGATCATGTTAAGATGAGCTTTAGCAGAGATTTAAAAAACAATCAAACACAGTGGTATACCCTTTTTTGCAGCTCACTAGAATATCAGCTGGCCTCATTTTTGGGTCAGTCTCGTCAATTTCCCAGCTGTGAGTTGAAGGCAGGGGGTGGTTTGCTGAATGTCACATTTATAGTATTTTATTTCTGGGCAGTAAAAACAAAAGGGTTATTGCCCCAGTGGGATACTGATGAGTTTTCCTGGTAGCTAGTTTCTGCTGTCAGATGTTAAAAGACAGAAGAACTCAGGAGCAGTCCCAAAGCTACCTCGTACAGAAGCAGACATTCTCTCCTCGCAGTAAGGCAGTTTCCTTCCTGTCTTCTCAGAAAGTCCTGCTAGTTCTGAAGAGCAAAGCGTTTGGTCTTTGTACCTCCTGTTGATCTGATCCTATGTAGTTACAGCATGGTTGCAACCCTCTGTTTTCCAGCAGTCTGAACACAGAAGCTCCTTACCCTTCAGACGGACAGACAGAATCAGATAGGGTGCAAAGTGCTGTGGATATCCTCCATGGGAAGGAGATGATTGGAAGTTGTGCAGTTTCCAGCACTGGGACATACACAGAGATAAAGTAGGATCATAGAATTGTAGAGTTGGAAGGGAGGGCCATCTAACCCAACCTCCTGCAATTCAGGAATCTTTCGTCTAACATGGGACTCGAACTCACAACTCTGAGATTAAGAGTCTCATGCTCTACCTACTGAGCTATTCCAGCTGCCAAGGTTAGGCCTGGTGTATGGTTTTTCCTACCTGAAAGGATCGGTTGAACTGAACTAAACCTTTGAAGTGCCTTTCATGATTCTGCAGTCCTTCCTCACCAGTGCAGGGCCCCCAAATGGCTGCAGAGATGTTGGGTGAACCAGAGCACACCCTTGTTCATGCAGAAGTTAAGTCCCACAGGACGTAAGTTCAATGGGACTTACTCACATGTCAATTTATATAGGATTGAAGAAGATAAGGCTTGAAAAGGATTGGTCCATTTCTATGGAGAAGCAAACTACACCAGGCTTCTTCATATTATTTATTATATTTGTATACCTCCTGAAGATCACAGGGCAGTTCACAACATAAAAATACAAAAGGAAAAATACAGAATAAAACAAAACAAACCAATAACCGCCATGCCACAGACACATTTAAAAGGCCATGTTAATCAGCCAAACGGACGGTTGAAGGGAAATGTTTTCACCTGGTGCCTAAGGATATGCCTTACTTTTTGTACTTTCTCATACTGTGCCTTAAGAAACCCTCACCATTCACATTGTCCTTTTTATTTTCCCAGTTTTATTTTGTTTTGTTTTAATCCTGACATTTTTGTGCTGCCTTGGTGGTTTTTAGCTTGCCTTTCCTGTATTTACATTGCAATTGTTGGAGTGCAACCATCCCTGGGAATATATTTGAAAGATGGTATGAGAACACCTACTTTTGGGTTTGTGGAGTTCAAGTTCCAAGTTGTTCATGAACTAAGCTGTTCGAAATCCAAGGTACGACTGTATATCTTTAGGTGTCAGTCAAAAACTTGGAGGCTGAGTTCACGCTTCTGAACATGCCACACTCATGACCACAAGTTTCTAAGAGAACTGTTGCTGCATCCTCATTTCTATTCTTAAGAGTGCCTCATTCATTCACTGGGATACCCCTAATGACTTAAATTAGTAGTCTGCTGCTAATAAGTGTAAACCACAGAGTCAAAACCACAGAGCCTAGGGCTTGCCGATCAGAAGGTTGGCAGTTCAAATCCCCATGATGGGGTGAGCTCTCGTTGCTCTGTCCCAGCTCCTGCCAACCTAGCAGTTCGAAAGCACATCAAAGTGCAAATAGATAAATAGGTACCACTCCGGTGGGAAGGTAAACTGCGTTTCCGTGTGCTGCTCTGGTTTCGCTAGAAGCGGTTTAGTCATGGTGGCCACATGACCCGGAAGCTGTCTGCAGACAAACGCCGGTTCCCTCGGCCTATAGAGCGAGATGAGCGGCGCAACCCCAGAGTCGTCCGCGACTGGACATAACGGTCAGGGGTACCTTTACTTTTTACTGCTAATAAGTGTAGCAGTTGTATAATACATTGCTTTTTTTAAAAAAGGTCTTTAATCTTAACAAATAAATATGCATTACAATTCTGCTTAAGAGCGGGAATTAAAAAAGGCTCCCCAGTATCCACCACTCCTCCTAAGCCTGGCTTGTGGCTTTTTTTATTCACTAGCCTTCAATCTAGCAACTTGACATCTGGAATAGCTATGCTATGTCCAATGAATCCATCTCTCCTTCACTCTTCTTCCAGGATTCATCATTGTACACTGAAAGTGATGGGGGACGATACCACACAGAATACAGATGTATTACATTTCCATATCATCTCACTCAAGCATATATGACTGCTTCCCACTCTCTCTGCAGGCCTCTGGCAGGAGGCTAACCCTTCTTCGTGCACATTCTTTTGACCACAAACTAAGGCAGATTTTCAGAAGACATTTTTTATTTTATTTTTGACTATATGCCATTATAAACTACAATTCCTTTGCTGCTCAGTAAGAGACTTAAAACATAATTAATTATACCCCAAGGCAAGAAACAAACGAGTAACTCGTTCTGCAGACCACTCTCTTCTTTCAGAAGTTGTCTATTGAGCAGAATCCAACACTGCATGGACCTCTGCTTGCACAATGGGATCTCGTCTTCCTCTCCTGCCTCCCCCTAAATCTGATCAGGAGGAACAAATTTGGAGGGTGCATGGGGGCTGTAGAGAGGACAGGGAAGTCAAATCCTGCTACATAGAGGAAGACTATTTGGTTTGTGCACTGACAATTGATACAATTTTTGGCATCAGTGGCGTGGAGTGCCTTCCATCAGCTTCGGCTAGTGGCCCAGCTGTGCCCTTATCTGGACAGGGACAGCCTAACTACTGTTGTCTATGCTTCATTAACCTCCAGTTTAGATGACTGCGATGTGTTATACATAGGGCTGAAGATGGTTCAGTAACTTCTGTTAGTGCAAAATTCAGAAGCCAGGTTGCTCACCAAGGCAAGACTGTTTGAGCTTATTACACCGATCCTGGTCTGACTGCAATGGCCCAATATTTTCTGGGCCCAGTTCAGAGTGCTGGTTTTTATAAAGCCTTAATTGACTCAGGACTTCTATACCTCAGGGACAGTCTCTCTCCATATGAACCTACCTGGATCCTGAGAGCATCCTCTGAGGCCCTTCTTCATGAGCCTCCTCCATGGGAGGTCTGGAGGGTGGCAACATTGCATTTTTTGCAGTGGCTCCCTTTTTGTGGAATGCTCTGCCCAGGGAAGTTCAGCTGGCACCATCATTATACACCTTTAGGTGCCAGGCAAAAATGTTTCTCTTTAACCAGGCCTTTGGCTGATTTCAATCCAATGCCCCTTTAAAGTCTGTTGTGGAAAGGGGATTGGTTGTCTTTGTATTTATTATGTATTTTCTGATTTTTATATTGTGATTTTATGTTGCAAACTGCCCTGAGATCAATGGGTATACAAATATCAATGGCAGTAAACAAATTTAAATAAATAAGTAAAATACAACCTACTTTCAGTTTAAAAAGTCCAAACCTGGGTTGCTTTTTTTAAATGTATTTTTATTAAAGGTTTTCTTGATTTACAAAGGTATGTGCAATGTCTCTCTCTCATATTTTTTTCCCCATGTAACTTTTTTTTTTTTTACAAATCGGTTTCATTTGTTGAGATACTAGGAAGAATAGGGGGAAAGATGTGAAGGGGGGAAAGATGCGTGGGGGGGGTGTCGGGTGGTGATGTCTCTATTTTACTTAATATTATGTGGGGTTTTGGGTCAGCGTTGCTTGTGCAGGTTCTCTGCTGTTCCCTCTTGTTTGTTTGGCGGTGAGAGAGGTTGGGGTTGGCCTAGGGTGTGGTTGTTTGTTTGTGGTTGGCTGTGGTGTTTTCATGTGTGAGTGGGGGTGGGTGGGTTTTGGATCAGGTTAGCCATATTGATTTGTATGCTGTTGGTGGATTTTTGTTGTTGTCTTGTTGGGCTGTGTATATGATAAAGGGGAGCCATACCGGGGTGAAGGCATCTTCTTCTATTTGTCCCCATGTTAGTTTCAGTTTATTGGTTAATTTTTCTAGTAAGGCTGTTTCCCATACTATTTGGTACCATTGGTCCTTGCTTATTCCTGACAGGTCTCTCCAGTGTCTGGTTATGATGTTTCTGGCTGCTGAGAGTAGGTGGGTTGAGTTCTTTGTGGTGTAAGTGTTCATTGTTGTCTTGGAATATGTTTAGTAGGGCCAATTCTGGGGTGATTTCTAATACTTGGTTATTTTACATATTTCTCGTATGGCTCTTGTCCAGAAGAGTTGGATTTTGGGACACTCCCACCACATGTGGAGGTATGTGCCTGTGGAGGTGCACCCTCTCCAGCATTTTGGTGACCTGGGTTACTCTTAAAGCTAACCAATGTGAGAGAATAGGGTATATACACAGTAAGGCACTGCACCCAAGAGTTTGTAAGCATCCAACATCCAGCAGAGGCAGCTGAAATACTACTACAGCAACCTATGAGGGATGATATCCACTCCTATAGGGAATGTGTTAACTGCAGATCTTCCCAATCATGTATCTTAAATCACCTACTTTACCAGGACATACTTGTGGAGTGGAGAAGGGGTTAGATCAAGACCTTTTCTGGCTCACACAGCCCATCCCTCAACCGCAGCTCCTTTTAAACGGCCACAACTTTTCAGTGGTCTCTACTCTTGGTTGAGAAACGTCCCAAAATGCTTGAGCCGAATTTGCCAGGGATACATAAGCACTAGTTGGCTCCCCTGTCACAGCAAGCCAAATTCAGTCTTTTACCTTCCCACGCTCTATATGTGTAGCAGTTAAAGATATGTCAAGGAGTAGATCCTTGGGACTGACAAAAGTACACATTCAACCTCCAAGTTCCAAATCAAAGACTTTATTAAGGTTTGGAATAGGAAATCAAAAAATACAAAAGACTAGACAAGCAAATAGGAGAAAACACTTTAAAATTTGCATAACTGCCAACGTGCATGCAATTAGCACTGGTTCCGTATGTCCAGTAAAAGACAATTTTTGATATGGAATGATTCCTAATTTAAACCCTGTGGAATCTGAGAGGAAGATGAGTGGCATATTTGCCACATCCAACAGAGGTGAGCTTTGACACTCTTTGGATTAAAAGCACGGGGTGGGGGAGATGAGCCAAGACTTTGACAGATGCTCCACTCCTTTCCTCCTGAAAAGAAATAGTGAAGGCATCCTGGATTCAGGTCACTTGCTTTCTGTAAGTGGGATAGGCCACTGTGTAATAGGGAGCTAAACCATCTGGACAGGAAAACAACAGCGTCTTAAACAGAAGGGCTTCTAAACTAATGTTTCCTAAGTTGAGTTACTCCAAAACAATGGAGACTAACGTGAGTGATGAGTTTAACAAGTTGCTTTCTTATGAGAGGCTAACTGTTCTGAATAATAAATGTATTTGTGTTCATCATGCTTTTCATTGCATTGAAACAGCAGAGTAACGCTGGCCAAAAATGCCATCAGAAGCTCAATGCTCTGCGCCCCTTGCTCACTTTGCCCCACATTTGTCTGTGTATAGAAACGTGATGTCACAATAAAACACACAATTATTCTGCTCTTCATGCAATTTTAAGCTCTACAGCAAATTGGGAAGGAGGGGGGGATATTTAAATGCCTTGTATGAAGCAGTTTGTTAGAATCCTAATAATGTCGTTTTAATGGAAAAGAAATCAAAGGTTTGGGACAGTACATTAAGTAGGCTTCTGAATGTCTCATCTCCTCCCATCTTCAAAACTGTAGGGCATAACCTCTTTGAGGGTTTTTTGTTTTGTTTTTAAAGTGGTGTATAAATTTTAGCACCATGGGAGGGAGGGGTCTTGCCCTAAGCCTTGCAAGTGGCTTCAGGACAGCATCGTCATGGAAGGGATGTTTCTAGGACTAAGGTGAAACTTTGAAGCTCCCTTGTTATTTCTGCTATTGGAAGCTGCATGTTGTTTAAGTAATCTTGTTATATTTATGGTATTGAAATAGCTATTTTGCTATGTTATCATGAAATTGTTTTTACACTGTTTGTTTGAAATGTGTTCCTATTTTCTTTGTTGTAAGCCACTTTGAGCATGATTTTTTGTGGAAAAGCCACATAACAAATAAAAGGAATGAATAGGGTAAAAAAATGAAATAAATATTGTAAATAGCCAGCCTCAATCACAAACTGGCCACCACTAGCTTCATCATATAATTTTAATTGCTCTGATTCTTTTATTTAAAAAATACGACATTATATTTGACCTCCAAATAGCATCTTAGATTATTACACCCGCCCGCCCAAGACAAATTAACCTTCAGAAGTTCCCTATGCTTTCCCCCCATGCTAATAAGGGTATTTACAAAATAGCAATGTTTAGGCTCAGCAGCAATGAACACAGCTCAAAAGCAAATTTGCTGTACTAAAAGCCATCTCTTCAACATAATCAGCAGAATGCTCTGAAACACAGTATGAAGAATTATTCTTCTCCACCCACTTTCCTCATTCTGCAGCATTATACAGAGACGAGTCTTTACATTCACTTTGCAATTTATTCTATTTCTCACATGGTCTTCAAATACAATTTTACACAGTCCATTGTTCTGCTACAGATACAGTAGGTCTAAAGACAGTCATGAAAGTGGCATTCCAACTGTACACAATGAAAACTGATAACCATGAAAGTTGTGTCACTGCATCACTTTACAACCCGAGTGAGAGACTGACCCAGACTTTCAAGACCATCACACAATTAACTTAACAGTGATAAATTCATAAGTTTATGTTAACAGTATAAAACCCAGATACCCCCCCTCCCCTGAAATGTGTAATGCCATAAATCCAGATGTTTTCTCTGGGATCTAATTAAAACTAAACCAAGTGGCTAGCTGCTTTGCATACACTCAAAGCCATAGAATCCTCATGAAAACCAGCTTGGAATTATGCAAGATCTGTCATTATGATTTGGTGCCTTGCACTCCAAATGAAATGTATTTGCTGCAGTTTAAATAACTTGCTATTAAAACTGTTCTCATAGTGAACATATAACAAAGGCTGAACACCAGCATCTCAGAAGAGGCTGCAAAGTACACCAACAGTAAAATTCCATTTGAAAAAGTGTATAAAACCTCTTCAAAGTTTACACAGAGGGTTTTAAAAAAAGGTTAAACTCAATCCTTTCAAAAGGGAATATTTTCAATGGAAGCAAAAGCAGCTGACTGTAGCAGATGAGAAAAATGACGTGTAACGTTGACTGACTGCCTCACGGGAACAAGGCATTATATGGAATAGTAATAACTCCTTCCAAGTTATGGACTTACTAATATTCCTAAGCCATGCAGATTCCACTTATCTGATTTCAGGGGACAACTTAAATGCAGTGATAATAAAATTAGATAACTACTTAAATCTGTAAAATGTGCTTATTTTTGTCCACAAAGAAGTCTGTCACAAATGTGCATGACTTGAAGACCCTGATTTAGTCAGAATGACTGACATGGAAAGGTGGAAGCTGTAAACTGCAGTATTCCACCCATCCAACCAGTCTGGATAGGCAATCTGGCTGGCTGTCAGGGGCATCAATGATTTCATGAGGTTGCCCTCTGACCAGCTTTCCCCCAGCAGGAGGCAGTGTCCACTCCACCTCTGAAGAGTTTGTCCTCTAAAGGAACGGCCCTTCTTGATCAGCGCTCATTTTCCCCCAAAGCGGCAATTCTAGTGAAGGGCACGAGGCACGGTAGAAAAGGCCTGTAGTGAAGTTGGCATCAGCCTCTCTTGTGGTTTGACATTATTCAAAGGTGCTGTCTCAGAATACCGCTTTGCTTCAGAAAGCAAAATTACTAAAACGATTAAACACAAAGTATTAGCATACAGCGAGTTTATATATATTTACACACTGAAATTTACACTTCTGCCACTGAGTGACTTTGCCACAGACAAATGCACAGTTTTTATCCCTATGAAGCACAAAGCTTAACCAATTCTTTAGAAGTGATGGTCATTCAATTTCCCTATCAGCAAGCATGACAATCAACAAAACCTAGAGTTGTCAGTGTTTGTTTGTCCTTAAGCTGGCCAACACAGGCACCCTGTTTCCCTCTGTAAATGGAGAGATCCCATGTTCATCTCTCTCAACCCACTTCAAGAACAGGACACAGAGAAGAACTATTTCATGTCAGGACTTTCTGGAAAAGACAGCCATTCTGGTGAGTACAGAGGTGGATGCATGGAATTGCCACCAGTACCTCTTATGCAGTACTCCTTGGCACTTTGCTTAAGACCAGGAAATGAGGATGACCAGTATCCATTTTCTAATAATGTTTTGAGCAGCATCTCAGAAAGGGTAATGGATGAATTTTCACATAGCTCCTGTCAGGCCAGCTGACTGCTGCCTTTGCATGGAACAGCAACAAGATAAACCTCAGGCTCTCCAACCATTACGTGATTACAGTATCAAAAGTTCACCTTACAAGCTCCTTACAAGCTCCTTCCAAGAATAATGACATCCTTTGGAAATCCCTCCATTTTAGCTATTTCAAAGCATCCCAGTTTGCTGTAAAATTCCAGGATTCTTTTATCATCTGGTCTCACTTCACAGAAAGCCCCACGGGAGCCTGAAAAATACACAAGAGGAGATATTTGAGGAGAGAGTAGAAGCAGAGAGGAGTCTTTATAATGAAGAAACTTCACAAACATTGTTTGATATTTCTAATCAATTCACACTGCATTGTGCAGTTGAATCAAAGTCAAGAGGTGTTTTTTTCAAGTGTTTTATATTTTGATATTAATCTTATCATGAGCTGCTTTGGACACAGTTTATTATGGAAAAGCAGCATACTGTATAAACAAGCTATGTGGAACTAGTTGCATGCTTTTCTGGATCTCAGCTACTGGGTGTCCACCAGTCTTCTCAGGAAGCTTGCATACAACTGTTCAAACTGCATAGCTGTCTAGGACTTGCAAGGATGATGTGGGCTGCAGAAGTGGTTCTTCATTGGCTAAAAAAGGTGACATCTCATCAATGAGGTGACACATACAGATCCAACTGAAGAGTCATAATTCTAAAGCCAAAAGGCCCTTCTGAACAAGAAAACCAAGAGGGATGTGGGTAAATGGGCTTCATTTGGCAGGGAGTTCCATAGCAAGGGCATTACCACCAGCCCTTTCCTTATGTCTTAGTATGCCAGGTGCCCTCACTATCTAATGTTTGCTAAGGAGGGCTCTCTCCTAGGCAGATCTTATCATCAGGCCATGAGTGGAGATGTTCATATTAGGGCTGGGCAATATTTGGTTTTCAGTATCATGATATATCACCAACTAAACATCACGATATACCGATATATCACAATATCCTAAATAAGATGGTACTACGTAGATGTGAACATGGTAATGTCCTGACAACTACTACTAAGTTACGGGTCTAAATGACCATACACTGATGAAATCATCACTTTCATCAACAGGCAACCCAAAATGTATCCAAACAGGACTTTGGTTTTGGGCTTGGATACCAAATTGTGGTATTCAGATGTAGGACAATCCAAAATACAGTGATGAGTCATTGTGAATACAAATAATGCAGGAAAATATTGAACAACAAAGAATCTAAATTTGATGCATATAATTATATGAAAATTAACTCAATGATAGCATGCTTTAACTAAACCATTGAAGACTTCTGGAGAATATATTAAAGTTTTAGAGGCAAATTTAAAATTTACAACAGTAGTAGATTTAGTAAAAATATTAATTAAACTTGCATATGATTAACAATTTAATCTGTTTTCTACTCATTTAAGATAATTTATGTAATTTACTAGTGTCAAGTTGCATCTCCTTTCCCACTAGAGGGCCAACTGCAATTCTATGCATGAGTAAGCCCCACTGAATTCAGTAGGGCTTACTTCTGAGTAGACATACATTTGCTTGCACAACCACCCCTCAATCTCCCATTTCAGCATAAAGGCAGAAACAAAGCTTTCCCCCTTCATTTCCCCCTACTGTGACACAGAAGGGCCCCCCAAAAGCCCCCATCCCACCAATCTCTCTCTCTTTTTATCCAAGGGAAGGAGGAAGGGCAAGCAAACAAGATAGCATCCTTAATTATTATTATTTTTAAAAACTTCCTTTTTTTATATGAAGGAAGCTATTTAGGGTGAACCAGCAATGTTACACAGCAACTTGCACCCTAAAGGCATCAGAGGGGAGAGAGACGCTTAGCGCATGTACTCACACAGGTGGAAGGGGGGACGGGAGTAAAGAAAAAGAGTTAAATGACAGGGCAACGTTTTTGGTTCTTGCTCTGAAGAAAGCCATAGTTTCTTATTTCATGGGGGAAGGAGGGGGCAAGGAAGGGGCAAAGGGGGCTCCCAACAAGAAGCCCCGAGCCAGCTCAGAGCAGCATCTCTGTAAACCACACCTACTGGCCTGCCACGCTGGCTTCTAGCCTCCTGAGCCAGGGCTTGCTGCAAAATCGAAAGAAGTCTATTGTGAGGGCTGATAGGTTTCTGCTGCTGGCTGGCTGCTGCTTTTCCAGCCACTTTCATAATTGTCACCTGTTTTTGCAGAGGCAGCGGAGCTGAGCTAGGGCTCCTTGCACAATCTAAAGAAACATAGCCTGCTCTTGTGAGTCGCTCGCTGCTCCTGCAGGAGGTAGCGGAGGCACTAAGAAACACTGGCTAGCTACAGTTTTCTCAAAACTGTAATATCTGCCAAATAACATTTCATGAAACAGTTACTGTGATGTGGACTTCATAACCAATTTTGAAAGATATATTGAAAAATTGCCCAGGTCTAGTTTAGATACGGACACAGGCACTTAGTAAGGAGCCTACAGTTGCCTTTCATATCCCAACAGCTACAAGAGTCAGGAATAAGAGCTTACCATTTGCCTTCAGAGAAGAGAGCAAGCATGCCATCATGCTTTTAGCCACACTTGGATCAGTCACCTTCTTATGGATATCAATCTTTATCAGTGATGGGAAGTTGGCAAGGAATGTTTCTGGCAGAACTTCTTGCTCCTCATGGAAGCTCAGCATAATTTTCTACAACAGGCACAACAGAAATAGTCTTTCAACATCAAAAAAAATGTTCAGTGATCTATGCTGGAAACATTGTGTGCACTTGCCGAACAGGTTCTTTCTACAGACTTGGATTAGCCTATTCACTTGACAACCACATTAATCTCTAAACAAAAAGCTAAAGTAGCTAAATACAGTGGATTTGGTCAGTACCATTCTTTAAGTAATTAGAGATAAGTATACAGATTAAACTGGGTGGCTGGTGCTGGAAAAACAGAAGAACTTCCCTTTTGAAAGCTATGTTCTCTTTTATTGTTCTAAGCTTCTGATAAAAAACATCGTTTTTAAACAATGCAGACCTTAATGGCTGGTAACAAATCTTAAGTTTATTTCAAGGTACAATAAAGATAGCCATTATTTTGGCATACACTCAGCAAAACAAAAATAATGCAAAGAGTTTATTGAAATCCAAATAAATTAAATTTAGAGAAACTAAATTCAGCAGCAGCAGCAGAAATTGTATATCTAAAACATATCAGGCTAGTTAGCTATTCTATCCTAAATGCAAATATCACAGTGGTTAAAAGAAGGGAAAGGATTGAGTGTCATGACAGATTGGCAGTTAGATGATTTATGCTTGGGTTCTGGACAGTGAAAAGAAGTGAGGCTTTTCATCAAGCCTCTCCCAGGCACTGTTCCCAGAGCTTTTATAATATTGTGATCAGGAAGGGAGTCTCTGAAATCTAATGAACACACTACATTGCCTATTCTATGATTCATGTTGAACCATAACTACACTGTAAAATAGAATCTATGATTACATACTGCAGTGTACTAAATATAAAGCTATCAGTTAGAATTGTTCTGTTTAAGTAGTAAGAATGAAATATAACTCAATGTTAGAGATAATTGTAAGTGTGGATTTATAAAGGCACAGAGATAAACTAATTCTAGAGACTACTTGGCCATCACACTATCACAGTGTCATGTGTCTGAGGCCTCTATATTGGAATAAATTGGATAAATTGCCCCTACTCTTCCTAGGAGTATTATGACAACAGGAGATGAAAGCCTAAAAATAGCAATTTGACAACTCAAGCATACACCAGCATAACTAACCTCTGCCTCTGATAGCTCCTTATCACTGCTTGGCTTGCTGTATTTCTCCTGCATGAAAGGAAACCAGGCAATTTTGCATTTCTTAATGAAAGGAGTTACATCAACGGTGCCCAGTGCATAGCCACAGATGCCATCTTCATCTTCCAGGACAAAGCAGTAATCTGGGCTGAGGGACAGCAAACCACCTACTAGCCTGAGAAGAAAGGAATCGTCAGTAGAGCCCAAAGATAACTGATGCAAACAAATCTATGTAACTGTTAAACTAGTGAGGCCTCATAATGAGAGAACACAGAAGAATAAATGAACCACAGTTGCAAGTTGTACAAGTCTGAGAACTATGACTTAGTACTTTTAAATGCCAGTTAGTCAGCCATCATATAGAACATACAAGTGGCTAAGTACCTATCCAAGGGGGTTTCAAAATTAAGTGTATTATGGAAAGGTAATCAGAATTGGGAATTGTTATAATGAATTAGTAGGGATTATAAAAAGTGCAGAAGTGGGAGACGGCTGCTCCAGGCAGCAGAAGAGTACTTTGTGAGTAAATGCCTAAATCCTGGACAGTGGTTTCAGCTGTAAATTTACAAAGTAAAGCCAACTTCCCTACTCCTCCCCAAATGGTTTAATGCTTTTTAAAAAATAGTTTAAAAACAACAACAGTATTGCAGTATTGGGGATCATGAGAATTGGCAAGCCTCAAATGGGAGTGAAAAGGGAGGCTTACATGACAATCCAGTTAGTATATTCAATGGCCAATCCATACAAACATATAATCACAGTATTTGCAGCTGCACTACCTTCATTAAACAATAACATGTCTGAAGCTTACAAGAGCACCTTATAGGATGGGTTTTCCCCCCACATACACAGTTTGATCAATGAAACAGCAAGAATGTAGGTGGTTTTCAGTAAATCGTTGCCATGACTCAGCATGATTTCTTGGCAGCACTGCATTGTACTAACTGCGTAAGAAATTAAAGGCTGGATACCAGTAGCACAACAGTTTACAGATTCCTTTTTTCATACCCTGACCTGCATCTGCAGGGTGTGAAGATCTTAGATGTTAATCTCTAGGGGTTCATACTTGATTCAGAAGAATGTCTGGTGGCTTCCACAAGGGGTGATACAGACTTCTTTTATTTTTTCTGTTACTTTAGATTGGTGCCAATTCTGCTCTGTTCCTTAAATTTTGTTTCCCCTATCAAGTGTTTGCTGAGTTGCACTTGAATTTGCACAAAGTCTACAGAACTTGGAAGTCCGTCTTCAAGCCAGAATGGAGAGCATCTTTCAGATTAGAATTCAGATTCAACATGTGAACATGTGAAGCACAGGCCCCAGCCTTACAAAACCTGTGTGTTCTATTCAGCTGGCAAGGCATGGAAGTTCCCTGCTCTTCCCAGTTGTTTTGAATATTGTATTTACATTTCTTGATGCATACTAGGAGACAGACAATCTGTGACACTTCAGATGCTGCTGGACTCTAATTCCAATTATCCCTGACCACTGGCCATGCTGCATGCTGATGATGGTGGCTGGGCTCCAAGATCTGGAGCGCCAAAGATTAGCCACCCACAAGGAGTACTATTACTAAATGAATACAGTACAGTGGTACCTCGGCTTAAGAACTTAATTCGTTCTGGAGGTCCATTCTTAACCTGAAACTGTTCTTAACCTGAGGTACCACTTTAGCTAATGGGGCCTCCCGCTGTTGTCGTGCTGCTGCTGTGCAATTTCTGTTCTCAGCCTGAAGCAAAGTTCTTAACCTGAGGTACTATTTCTGGGTTAGCGGAGTCTGTAACCTGAAGCGTCTGTACCCGAGGTACCACTGTATGTAATTCAACAAATTCCAGTTTATTTCAAGAGTATACCTACTTGTCTCCAATTAAGTCCGGCTGGCTATGGAAAGGCTGATCAGTTTCATCATCATACATTTCTCTGCAAATCTTGTACACGGATGCCTAAAGACATATACAAATATTCATTGTGCGAGTTTTCCCTCCCACAGCACATACACCTGAACTGTTGCTTAGGAAGCCTTGTGTTCTACTAACTGACAGGCATCCTCACTACTTCATTTATTCCATGCCTCCACAACAGCTCATATTGGACAGGTAGTGGATGGCAGATTGGACGGCCTAGGGAAATGCAGGCTTAAATCCACGTGGAATTCATTGTGCCTTGAAACTAAAATAACTCCATGTAAGTCACATTGGAGGAAGTACACAGTACAAATGCGTCAGATAAATAACCTAACAGGAAAGGCCACAGCTCAGGGCTTGCAACACCTGCTTTGCATGCACAAGGTCTCAGGTTCAATCCCCAACACCGCCATGTAGGGCAGGGAATCTCCTGGAAAGCTGCTGCTTGTCAGGTTAGACAATAATGAGCTAGATGAACCAATAGTTTGACTCAATGCAAGGCAGCTTACTATGTTTCCTGAGCAATCCTACAATGCTTCTGAGATTATGTATTATTTCCAAATAGTTCAGGCTAACATGCATTTGGATTATGTCACTCCTTATTCATTGTCCTTGGTGATCAGTAGTTTACATTAAACTCATTCAGTGTTACCAAGGCAGTCAACTGGGCTGGGATCCCAAGGCTTTTCCTATTTATGTTCCCTTTGATAAAAGGGATCACATAAAAAGCACCTAGGAAAAATATATTTTTTTATAATACTGCTAGGGCTGCCAGAGACTTCCATGAACCCAGAATAAGCCACTCAATCTTGTTACATTTCCTCCATTTGAACCACACCTCTCCTAGGCATTCAGAAGACTCACAGAATAACAAAATATAGAGAAACAGTTGCTTTTATCAACATGCTCCTCCAAACAGCATTACTGTGTACAAGAATGACCAAACAAATGGGTTACCTCATCTTTAGGGAAATAGGGTCTGATGGTGTAAACTTTTGAAGTTGGAGTAAGAGGAGGTGGCTGAAAAAAGAGGTCATTTGCTCCTTCAATAGGCAGCAAACGCTGTGAAAACAAAAAATTAGTGTAAATGTTTGAGAAGCAAGATGCAATACATTCCTGGGCGTGCATTGCAGACTCCCAAGTTAACTTTTGCTACTGCAGGCACCCCAGAGGGAAGTAGGGTTTTGTAGGCTTTACAAATGTAAGGACCATTTTTCCATTTTATCTGAACAGAAGTTTTTTAAAGATACACAACTGTTACAACACTTAATGGAGTTTACATTAAACTCATTTCTGCTTTAGTATAATTTCACCAAATCTCATCTATGCTCTCAGCTTAACATAGCCATGTCAGGAGGAAAGGTTTGGTCTGAAGAGGGTTAACTGGCCAGAGGAGACACTAACCCCAAAACAACATGCTGACTCAATTGGCTGTGCGCAGAGAGCACCTGTGAGGGGGAAGAAAGTAAGCCCCTGAAAAATCCATGAGCAAATTCAGGCACAGAAGAAACATTTCTTTTGGAGTGGTTTGCCAACTGGATTATGAGGAACGCAAACGACAGATTTTGCTTAGAGAGGATCTTGGAATACACAGTATCGTATTTTCTTTGCTCATGGAGTTCTCGTCGGCAGACAAGCAGGCGCGCATTGTGCAATTGCGGGCGCAGATAAAAACGCTGTGCGACCTGCAAAGAAACAATGTGAAATGTACAACTAAAAGCCGCAGCGCTTCGCAGGCGCGTGGGAATGGCAGCATCTCCTTGTGATATTACTGTAGAAATGGGAGGAAAATTATTTAAAAACAAAGCTGTCAGGCTATTTGGGTTTGGACCAGAAAGCCTTCGGCAGACCAAGCCTTCCAGTCCTCCGATGCGCAATAAAAGATTTCTCAAACAAAGACAATGTCATTCAGTTGTGAATTCATATTGATACCTGGAACTCTCCTGCTAGACCACCTCTAAAGGCCCAGGGTTCTTGGTCTCCACTTAAGAACTGTGCTGAAGATTGACTACGACACCCTGTGGAGATCAGATCCAAGCGGAGAACGTTACGAGAAGGGGGATTGTCCTGAGATGCTAAAATGTCCAACAAGCTAATACACACTTTGTGGGAAAAGCTCTCTAACTGAGCTATAATCCAAGAACTTGAGGGGCTGCGATAATGCTGCCGTGTGTAAAGATTCCTGATTAGATGCTTTGTGCTCTTTGTTAATAAAATGAAGTTAGACGATAGCCTTAGACAGCAGAAAATTCAGTACTGTAAAAAGCCAGTATGCCCCGTTCTGTACAGGTGTAATATTTATTCCAAGAGTTGAGCTTGCCTTGTCCTTCTCTTTCATCACTAAGAACATGGAACAGCTCTCACATTTTCATTGATCAAGGTATAGAAAATAAGCCATTATCACAGCCCCATGGAAATACTTGGACCTGTCTGAAGTCACATTTTCATATTGTTTGAATCTTGCCAGAAAACCAGGTTTGGCGTGGGATGGAATAGCCCAAACAGCTATGTGGAACAGATACTTCTTTTTCAAGAGATTAGAAACCAATACTGTCCACTTCCGTAGCTCTGCTTACACAACAGTAACCACAGCACACATATTGTTCCCAATCTAGGCAACAACAGCCTCGGTTACAGTATTTTATTTTACCCACCCTCAACCATGTGAGAAATGCCATTAATTCCTGACAGGCAGCTGTGGCAAGGGCTTTAAAGCCCTCTCCACAATTTAGTAAGAAGGATATATATTTTTTAATAATGGCTAAGCTTTGATAACAGCTTTGATAGCCAAGTTATACAACCAATTAGCATAACTAACATCTTTGAGAGGGGATAGGCAGGTGAATTGTTGATGCAGGGATTAAAGTAACCTGCCTAGTCTTCTGATAAGATAAGCTGCGCAAGTTTGTTTCCTCTTGTGGACAGCGATCTACTTCCTGTTCAAGTAACAATCTCAGATCAGTACAGTCGAATGTGTCATACTAGCTAGGTAGTCTCAAAGTGAACCAAGCTGGATATCAATGCTTAGCCAATTATGAAAGAAAGCCTTTGAAATAGCAAGTTTGAGATGACTCAAAACATGTCAATTAGAGTTTCTTGTGTTTCCATATCAGAGTGCTTCATTAAAGAGGCTTTATATTATACCCTTTCGCTAGTAACTTGGAGTACTTCTCCTTTGAGACTACACCGTAACTAGCATTCCAACTATTATACACTTTACAGAGCTGCATGAATGAAGAGCTGTATGAATGAAAATCAAGAGTTAATGCCTGAGTCGCTGCGCAAATGTGACTTCAGGCCGTGCCTACTGCCCTAATCTGAGCTGCCTCATGGACAGAACCTTCCCATCTTAAATTTATTAATCACGACACGCTGAAAGCATCTGGCGTGGTCCATCCAATAGCAGTAGATACTTGTGCTGAAGATTCTCCCATCTGCACACATTGGGGAAGAAGACAGTAGAAGGCATTAGTAATCCATAGTAGTATTATCTACACTAGTTTCATAAACTGAATGCTAGCTGGATTGAAAGAAAGGGTATAGAGATCAGCCTTCAGCGGACCACCAAGTGTATCAACATTCAATGGCTAAACCATTCCAGTTTAGTGATTCTTCTGTATTCACATCAAATGAGAAGCAAGTTTTATGACTATATAAGTAATTATATAAACTAAAGAATGGTCTCAATAAACAGCAAGACCAAGATCTCAGCTACAAGAATTCACTTGGTCTGCGGCGAGATAGTTTCTTTTGGTGTAGATGCATCCAGTGAAATATACAAACGTACTGTATTACCAGATAGTGTCAGAAATGGGTAGCAAGCACTAAGTACTTCTGCTGGGAGAAGCCATCCTTATGAAAGAAAATGGCAGCTATGATCAGCAGCCTGCTCCAAAAATTGGGAAATGTTTCAAAAGCAAATCAACCTCACAGCTGAAATCTATGGTCAATCAAGTTCATGTTTATCATTGCAGTTGCTTAATGCTCCTTCCAGGAGAAATGCACAATTTAGTTTCCCATCTGTTTCTTTGACAAAATGGGTAATTTGGTAACCAAATATACCACTTAGAAGTATGGTGTGCCTCCCTTCCTGCCTTTAAAATAGGGGCTGACAATCTTGTTGTAGGGGTTGGCTGATTCTACCTTCCTGTTCCTCTTCCCTAAACAATCTATAATGCCTGAACCAATACTGAGGGGAGAAGAAAAAGACAAAGAAATAACTCAGTATGAGAATTGGTCTCAAGAAGGTACAAACTCTATTCTAAGGCTCCAGTTTTGAATTATTTCCTATTTATTTAGTGGGAAATGCTCCGGCTTAAAAAACCTCTCTGCACTAAGCCCTAATTTTTTTTTGCTAGAACCATATGGTCTTCTGCTGAGTAACAGCAAAATGCAATACTGGATATCTTGGCAACTAGCGCAATACGACCTATGAATACTTATGAATGTATACAAGTGATTACAGCTTCAAGTGATCCAAGAACTGTAGGCTGATCCAGTATGGTGCAAGAGGTTTATTATGAGATTTGTGACAACTACAGAAATTGTGACAGGAAACCATCAGCGTTGCTGCCTGCTGTGTGCATCAAGCAAGTCCACAGCATATTCCTTACAGTTGGATTGAAACCTGAAAGTGAAATGAGGTCACTAGAGGAACCCAGGCCATGCTGGTGCTATTCCAAAAAAACCCTGTGTAATTTAAAAAAGGCTGCAGGCAAAAAAGGCTCTTTGATTTCTCTTTAGAGAACAGTCTGGTATGAAAGCAGACTTCAGAGCTCTGGAATTTCTTCCCTTGCCCAAAATCAGACATCTTGCGAATGTTAAAGCAAATCACTTTTGCACCAGAATAGCCTTATGCTAAAGCTCGCATGCGCAGAGAAAGGGCTGGGAGGCTCGGCTCCCTCTTGGCCAGGCCCATTGAAAGGTCACATCTGCAATTGTTCTGTTGAAGACAGCAATAACGTTATTGAGACAGAGCAAGCAGCAGATAGCTGAGGCATGGTCACATTTCATAGTGTCATTTCCAATTTTGCAACAAGGCCGGGAAATACTGCATTATAGTCCAGTGTGCATTCAGTCTGAGTCAAAACTTATGTTTCAGAGATCAACTTTTATGTTCCTTAGCCCAAGAAAAAAATTTCAAGACCAAGAGATATATTCAATGTATGTCCACTGTCACTTTTATTGCCAGTCTATAGTGAAACATGAATGGCGACCAATAATAGAAAAAGTAAGAAGGATTTAGGGTCAAAGCGACCATAATATAAAAACATTCAATTGACATCATTTTTTCCATGGGCTAATTAAAGACAAGCATTTATGCTAGTTGCCGCTCTAACTGGTTCCTAAAGAACATACCTAGCCACTGCACAAAAGATTTCACCATAGACATGATGCTCTTGATGTCCCAGACGTATGAGTACATGTCATAGAGGATTGTCCGGTTGGCACAGTTGGAAAGACGAGTGAACATGCCCATCACCAAGCTACACATCTCTTCAAACTTGGCGGCTCGAGCATGCCATTCTTCAATCTAAGTAAAGATAAAAAGGAACAAATTTCATACAAATTGTATTTTCATGTTGAGGATGAAACTAGATGGATATTATGACAATACCTATTGACTTTTACATCTCTAGCCAGGATGACGCACGAGTAGTGCACACATTCAAAGCGTGAAGATACATTCTACAGCACAAGACACTCAACCACCAACCAGCCTACATGCATGATATTCTTAATTATCTACAGGCTAGGTTCAGCTCAGAGACTTCCAATGCAGTTGCTCATTATTTCTTTTGCTATTGTGCTTTTTTCATATAGGAAATATGCACACCTACACCAAATGAAAACAATGCAGTCACTCACCTTTTCAGAGTCCTTTCCTTTACAATTCACACTAACAACACTGCTGTTTGCTCTGAGCCACTGGAACTCTCGTAACATTTGGGCCCCTTTGACTCCATGTTCATATGGGAGATAGAACAAATCTGCAAGCAACTGTAGATCTTCTAGAGTTACTGGTTCTACTGCATATAACGGCTTCTCATGGGGACCAGGCACAAACTGCTCCTTGTTAGTTTGCTCATCTGTCTGCATAGGTGCAATATCACCACAATCATCCTGCATTGACATCTCTGGAGATTTTGATTCAGCTATGCTCTCTTTATCCGTATCCATTGGTTTTAACTCTTCTGACATTTTTGCTTCAGCAATGTCAGTCAATATTTGATTGATATTCTTGTCAGAATCCTCTTGCTTTTCCACTACCATGTCCATTGGCTCCTCATCCAGTTGCTTCTTTTCTTCCTCTTTGACCAGAACCTGTGATTCGTTGCTTAGTGCAGTTCCCTGGCTCATTATGGGTTCTTGGTAAACGGTAGTAATCACAGTGGTAGAATTTAAAGCGGACGGTGTAACCAGAGGCACATCCACAACACTTGTTTTAGCGCCACTATGGGCCACTTGTCTGCCTGCAGACAGAGCAGACAAAATTCAGTCATATCTACTCAGCTTTTTCATACAACCAAGTTTCACATATATAAATAATTTGTGAACACACACACTCTCAGTCTCTGAATGACATACACATACATGCAAGTGTCTATTTTGCTGCAATTAGACATATATTGAAAAGGTACAACACTTGTGCATTTCCCTGAAATACATTTGCATGTACCAAAAATATGATGTGTAATTCAAAACAATCCCTTCAGATGCACAAATTATATCGGGTGCAATGCAATTCCACATATTTTCAATACAGTATTTTTGATAGTGTCCTCTCCCAACAAAGACAAATTGAGAACACCCCCACATCCGACACAGAATCTCTTACAAAGTACATTGCTTCAGGGAAATATACTTGTCACTCAGAAAGAATCAGTTCCTTTAAAAAAATTTAAACAAAAACTGTTCCTGATGCATAATGAAACCGTAACAGCAGCAATCTTTTGAAGTATTTTATTCAGCAGATTTTTTTTTACTGAACTCTAGAAAAACATTTTTGGTTTGAGTAACATTCTTCATTCACTCCAATATTGTAGGCAAGACAAAACCAAAATTGCTTACTCACTGCTGTACTGATGAGGTACTGCAAATTCCTGTAGCCACTCTGTTAATGACAACTTCAAGGCCAATTGTGGGCTATAGAGAACATCTGTTTCAATATCTTCATCACTGCCTTCATTCTCCAGTTTAATCTGAATTGAAACAGTACTGTCTTCAGTGTCAGCTGCACAGATTATTAAGAAACAGAATATTAATTCAAGAGCAAGGTTCAAGGCTGCCATGTATTTGCATTTAAAGACAAAAGTACTAATTTATTAAGATGACATTTCCTGAAACTCCTTTTATCAAAGTGAAAATTTAAGATTATTAAATTATTAAGGTTATTACATTATTTCTAAAAGCATTGTTCCTAAGATAGTGATTGAGCACTTCTGATCAACTTACTCATCACAACATCTTTCCTCACTCCATTCATGTTGGATTTATACCAGGTTGCAAGGGTGTGAATAGCAACAAAGTTGGCTTCAAATTCACAATTTGGATTGGTCAGGACTCCCTTTAAGCGTGGGATGAGTTCCGTTGATCGACCTTTATATGGACCAAGAAACAGCCTTTTCTGATCATAGTCGTTGGCATGAATGTTGTCCCAGATGACCGGAGCTCTGCGAATTATCTTTGAAACCTCTTCAATGGACTCCACTGGAATGTCTTTAGATACCACTTTGGGACCTAAAATGTAGTTTCACAACTGACTCAGAATGAGTTTAGTGATTAGCCATAGGCCAGGATGATAAAATTTAAGCAGCATACTAAAACATTTAATAAGAATGCTGAACTAAGTTGGCAATATCAACCTCAACAAAGCAAAATACTCACCTGTCCATAACACATCAATTCCAGGTAACAGCTTTTCCCCTACAGTTCGTAAATAAGGAGACTGAGCGACATTTGGATAGCAGAAAGTGCCACAGTATTCTGGAACAGAGAAAAATACAAGTTAAAACCCACTATCCATTTTGCTCTCTTGTGTGTGGCACTGCTAGATGCAGTTCCCAATATCCTACCATGTCATTTCTGACAGATTTGCTTTTATGCAAAAAAAATTATTGTTAACTCTTGCAATGGTTGAGGTAGTGTTTAAATGTAAAGACCAAAAAAAATATGTCACAACAACACAACTTTAGGGACTCCCACAGGAATCCATAAACATTCTCAACAATGCAAGTGCCTTCCTAAATTCCAAAAGGCTCATTCCCGTTGCCCTCCAAGGCTTAAGGTATTAGGGACACTCTGACAGTTAAGAGGTTACTGGGACTCAATGATCTGATTACTGCTACTTATTTTAATGGTGCTAGAGCTGATCCTGGCTACTGCTTATCAACTGGGATATGTTGCCGGTATCTCTTCTTGTTTCTTTTGATCACCTGTGTTTTGGGACCAACTGACTGGTAACTGGGCAGAGGCTTGACAGTTCTGAGACTGCCATCTCTTCTCCAGACCTTTGTTCAGGTGTTTCCACAGTAGCTGGCCGTAAGCCCATTTTACTTCCATTACTTCCCTGTCAAGTAGGGATTCTACCTCTTCCTTCCTTTTGGAATTGAGTAGGTTTGTCTCAGCTATGCATGCTCAAAAAGCTGAATCCAGAATTGCAGAAATTTATTCTTAAGAAGGCATGCCTGCCAAAACAAGTCTGGAACTCTGTTATTTTGCTACACATGCAGGATTACATTTAAGCTCTGAAGTAATTCTGAGAATCTCCAGTAAGGTTATCTTAATACCATACCTATGTACAACCTGGCAAGATTGATAGCAGGGTTTGTCTAGGCAGTGAACCTTTGGTTAGCTCAACACCATTGTTGGGGAACAGTCAAAAGTGTAACAAGTACTTTGGCAAATAAAGTAATTCATGCACCAGACCCTGGGCAACAGAGAATATGTATGAACTTATGCCAAGGACACTTCACATAATGTAAGTACATAAAGGAAGGAAATGGCAAGGAAGGAAAGCCTCTCACAGAATTTTCTACGCTCTAGTTCCAAAACTAGCAATTTTAGGAGCTAGCCATTCCCCATGTGAATGTTGTTCATTAGATTTCTCTCCCCCCCCCCCCCGTTTGTATTTTCTTTTTAATCATTTATTCTTCTCTTGGTACGCAGTGTATATAATCATTCATTGCACATAGTTCTAATCCGTTGATGAGGAAAGTCAGATTGGAAGTCACTCAGGAGTCTAGTGAATACGTTGTGATTTCATAAAACACGCTGGATACAAGCAACAATAGCAAAACACAAATTACAACCAGCAATTGTTCATTTCATGACATCGCAAGTTAACCGTTCAACAGTTTTCCTCTGCTTCCTCTTTCCAAGGTATTATTATTATTAAATTTATACACTGCCCTTCACCCAAAGATTTCAGAGTGATCACAAAAGAAAAAAATACTAAGACAAGAACCTGTTCATTGGCTCTGTATGCTGTGACTTTATAGGAGTGGGCCTTCCTGTATCTGATGAAGTGAGATCTGCTCTACAGAAGCTTATGCCACAATGTAAGTAAATTTTTTTAAACTGCTTTTTACTACAACAGACTAAGATGGCAAACCTGCTAGAATCCCACCCCCACCAAACTCCCGAAGAAAAAATATTCAGACAGTGTGAAAAAGTATGCCACATACCAGCAACTAGAAGTCATAAACATGCACCCAGTTTACCATAGACTGCTATTAAATTTGTAACAAGTTCAAGTGAAGTGTGGCTAAGACAGAAAGGAGGGTTGTACCCAACTGTTTGAAGATGCTCAGGGTGTCTTTAAGGAATGGTGTCTAATCGGCAATTCTCTTCACCAACCCCTCCATCAGGAAAGGTTTGCCTTGAGAGGAAGGGGACAAGAACAGAAGGATTTTTGACCTCATTCTTGTTAAAATGCAGTATCTGCATTGTCACTTTACCTGTGGGACAGAACAGGAATGTTTCTGGCTCTCCTAGATACTGGAAGATTTCATTAGTGATTGAGATCTGGGCATGTGCAAAGGAACTGAACACTTCTTTGTCGGCTGCACACATATTGTGATCAATATCATCAAATAACAGTGCAAAAGATCTGCAGCCAAACTGAGAAACCTAGCAGGATAAAGAAGAAAAAATATTAACGCTTGTTAATATTGTACAACATAAAAGCTAGAGAATGTAACCCCATCTAGAGTGCAACACAGGTAGGGGCATATTTCCTTTATCCAGTGTTTTTGCAATTTCTCATTTATGTTTAAAATTATAATATACATAAATATAAGATACCTGGTCCAGCTTGCGTTTCAATGTAGAAACTTCTTTCGGGTTTGAGAAGGTAATATCGAGTCCAGGAGAGATAGCATAGATAAACTCTATCCCATATTCTTGAGCAGCCGCGATGAGAGTCATGAGCTGCTCTAGAAATCAAAGCCAACTATTTTAGCAACAAGCAACTATGAAGTTAAGGCATTTTATTAATCAGAATACATTTCAATATATGCAGGCAAAAAATACTTTTAAGGCCCAAAGAAATATGAATAATTAACATTTTTTGTCAAAACATATTCAGTCCTCCATCTGATTCATTCATACACACACACGGTAAAATGTGGGGAAACTGGGATCTGGTTTCAAGTAAGCATGTATAGGATCAAGTTGCACATGCCAATTTGGAACAAAGGATTCCTTCTGTCTTTGACATTAAAATATTTTGGGCAGATCCAGTGTTACAATGGCATTTTTACTAACAAGGTCAGGCACAAATCACATCTATTCACTACAATCATTTATATTCCACCTTTCAGGATACAAATATTTTCAAAGTGGCATATAATGAAATATATTTTTAATATTGTTGTTGTATCATTAATGTAACTTTCTCATCAAAAGCCTCTTCACAGGCTACTTAGAGGGCAGGAGCAATTCTGGCTGGAGCAGGCTCTGGTGTCTTTGCTAGCCAACCTCTCTCTTCTGGAATCTGTCCCACAGGACTCTAGGTGGTAGATGACACGGTAGAAAGGGAGTGGGGAAGTGGCAGTCCAGCTGGAACAGAAATGGATTTGCAAAGTGTGGTTCACAAAAATGCTGGTGCAAATGTAATGCTGCACCACAGCTTGCTCTGAAAATGAAAGAATTGGAGGAAATGATGATGATGATGGGGAAAATGCTGAGCACATGAACCAGGGTTAGGAGAGAAAAGACTGTGCTATATCTGTACCAGGCTGCTATAATAAGAAACTAAGTCAGTTAGGAGCACAGGCATTGTTCTCTCCTCCATTAATGAAGCATTGTGGGTTGTCATTGCTGAATATGTCTTCTTTCTCCCTAGCACTGAGGCAAAGGGATCATCCCATGGCATCATTCAAGGTGATATAATGCAGCAACCTTGTTAAAGCTAAGCAGGTCCGGCTATAGCCAGTGTCTGGATGGGAGGACCACCTAAGAATCCTATGTACACTGTCTTGAGTTCCATGACTGGACTGTTGGGTTGGGGAGGATATTAAAAAATTATCTGTGTGTACTTTAACAGAACACTGATTTTCTCTCATCCAGCTAGGCAGGAAAGCCTCTAAGAGTTATTTAATGCATCTTCTAATTAAAGCAACAAAAAGCTTACCCCTCTCAACTTCACTTTTATTTTACCATCCAAATGTGGAAACAACTGTAATTCAATGAATATATATATTTAAAAATGCAATAAAGTTAATTACCAGCTTCCTCCACAGAATACATTTCTCGCCAAAACATCCTGTGCTTGTAATCATCTTTTGGTGCATATAGGTATGCATTCAGTCCCCATTTCTGAAGTCTACAAAGCAAAATTAAAATGTTGTTTGAAATACATTGTACAAATCTGCATTGCTTAATTGTATAGCCAAGAGTACCATGCAAGTTGTGCAACACCCCAGGGAGAAAAAGCAAGAATGGTACACCTGAACAAATAAGGAAGATAAATAAGAGGACCAAATATACAAATCTAAATCTGTGACCATGGTTAGATGCTTTTTGTTCTACAAGCTTCTACTTTTTGTTATTTTTCTTTAAAAATGTTACTTCAAGGTTTTTTCAGGTGGTAGTACATCCTGGGAAACTGCTTTGCTGGAGGGACTGTGGTATGAACAATGCATCTTATGTGGTGGGAAAGTGTGCAGATGCAACCATTCTGGCAGATAATTTTCAAGGAAATTCTAGATATAACACAGAAAGTCACTATAAATCCATTATTGGTGCCATTCTATTTTCCAATGCCCATAAGTTTGTTGCAAAATAAACTGACATATTGATTGTGATACGCTTGGAAACTGGAGGACACTATTCATTTTCTTAACTTAAAAACACTGCTCAGAGCTTTTGAAATATTAAGTGGTATATAAATGCTTTTTGCTGGATTCTGCTTATTTATTTTATTAATATTGTTGATATTGTTTACATGTTGTATTGATTTGTTAATTATATATGACTTTTGCTTTAATTGTGATGTTTAGCTTATTAGTTGTTGCTTTGTTAACAGTGTTTTATATATAGCAATTGTTTTGCTGATGATTTGTTAATTACTTTATGTGATTTATACTGCATCTGTATTGTTTTATCAAACTGTTATTAACTGAAGCCACTTTGGGATTCATTTGAATTAAAAGCAGCATAGAAATTGAATTTCAGAGGTTTGATTTGATTTATTATGAGTTAGCTTAGAACAGTCACTGAAAGCAAAAACCACTCAATTTTCTATGACCTTTTGGCTCCTCCTCTCCTCCCATACTTTAGTTTTCAGTTTTCAGAACCTATGCCTTAATTCTGCACTAAACAAATTCTTTATTTTTACAACTAATTGTTATAATTTACTTACTTGCTTACTGTATTTCGTATACCACCCTATACCCAAAGGACTCAGGGCAGATCACAAAAATATCAAATACATAAAATCAAAACAAAAACAATGACCCAATAAGCCCCCCCCCCAAATTATGTATTAGAATGCTACAGTACACAATGCCACATACCTTCTAAAAAGCTCTTTTCTCTGTTCCATAACCCAAGGCCTTCCATAAAATCCTGTGGGAAATATTGATGGTAGACAGTTTCAAATATTGTGCTGCTTCTTAACAAAATATCAAGTGCAACATCTGAGCCATAATAAACTAATAATTATTAGTTTAATAATTCATTATACAAATTTGTTAAGCAACTTTAATTAGGGCATAGTAAGAACTAAAGAGGTAAACTTGTACAAGTTAGCTGTCAAAAGCTGCATCTAGTGGGTTTGAAATAAATAGGCCTCAGTTGTTCCTTTAAGTAGTGCCTGAAGCGCTACATATAAACAAGTACGGCAGTGTAAAATGCTGCGAGATCAAACCTGTATGCATGATACATGTTGGAACTTATGTCCTGTTTAGCAGTACTGGAATGCATTTCTTGGAGCAAAGTATGACCTTTCAAAAATATGTTCTAATGTACACTCAGTTCATTTCCCTGATGTGAACGAGGCCTGCCATCATAGTGACTATGACACAAGCCGCCTTTCCAAATCTGTTACCAATGGAATCCATGCACCTGGGTAACTCACAGAAAAATGCACACAGGTCCTGAACGTTACATCTCAGCAAGTGCCCATCCACAAACAGCCAATTCACAATCATGTTATTCCAGTAACATGGGGAGAGGGACAAGGGGAGAGGCAGGGTCCTGGCAACCACAAGTTTTTACAAGGCTACTAGCCCAGTCAAAAATAATAGCCTCCTGAGCTCACATTTTTTAAAACCCAACTTAAGCCCTGAAGCAAAGCATTAAATCAGAAGTGGAGCTAGAGTGTTTTAAAACATGATTGTAAGGAGGGTAAGAATGAACCCTCCCCCGACAGTGCCTGCAAAAATACTCAGACAACTGCCAGCGTGGGAAGCTGTTATGCTCTTTTCCGGTTACCAAAACCATCAATATGGCAGTTTTCATTACAAGCTTCTCACTCCAGGAACAAAGGGTTTGAGGGAGTTATGTCTGTGCCTGGCTGTACTTTCACAAAAGTGCAAACACGACTGGCATGAGACAATATATACACCTTGTAATAGAAGTTGCTATTTAGAAGAGGCATTTTGCATATACACAAATCATGACTGATTTAATAAACCTATTTAATTCCTGACAACATCTGGTAGCCATCTGACTTCTCACTTCTCCCACAAAAACTCCACACAAAGTAGGCACACATACAGATAGTGTGTATATTAAGGGATAGCCAATGTGATACCCTTCAGATGTCATGAAGTACAATACCCATCAGTCCCAGCCAGCATAGCCAATATTCAAGGATGATGGGAGTTTCAGTCTAAAATTTCTGGAGGGCAACACATTAGCTACCCCTTTTCTATATTAATCAAGCTGGAAATAAACCTCCTTTTCCATATTGAGATCTCATCAAAACCACAAACCTACAACATGCCACAGGAAAAAATCATGTAACACCACAGCTAACAACACCTACTGTGTGGGTGGAAAAAAACCACCAACATTTAGATTTAGGCTGATATTCACAGCTTTATGCTAGATCAAAATTCATGCATGCTCCTCTACCACCAACTGTGAACAAGATTATATCTTCAAGCTGAAGGAACACGCCTTTCATAAGCCTGCAGGTCCACCTCTCCAGATTCAGGGGTAGCCAACATGATACCTTACAGGCTACATAAGAGCTTGCTAGATCAGACCATCTAGTCTATCCTACTGTTCCCACAGCGACAAACCAGATGCCTATAGAAAACCCAAAAGCAGGACCCAAGAGCAAGAGCACTTATTCCTCTTGCGGTTTCCAGCAAACAGTATGAAGCATATGCCTCCAATAATGGAGGCAAAACATAGCCATCATGGATCACAGCCACGGATAGCCTTGTCCTTCATTAATTTGCCTAATTCTCTTTTAAAGCCATCAAAGTTGGTGGCCATTATTGCCTCCTATGGGAGCAAATTCCATAGTTCAACTATGCACTGTGTGTATTGTATTTTTCCGTCTATAAGACACCCCCATGTATAAGATGCCCCCTATTTTGGGGACCCAGATTTAAGAAAATGGGGGAAGATGTGTCTGTGTATAAGACGCCCCCTAATTTTTGACATTATTTTAAAGGAAAAAAACGTAGTCTTATACATGGAAAAATACTGTACTTTCTTTTGACTGTCTTAAATCTCCCAATGTTCAGCTTCATTGGATGTTTACTAGTACCAGAAGTATGAGGGAGAAAAACTTGTCTATCCACTTTCTCCAAATCACAGATAGTTTATCCAATTTTATGCTATCTCTTATTCACCTTTTCTCTGAAGTAGAAGTCCCAAATGTTGTATGCTTTCCTCAAAGGGGAGTTTCCCAACCCCTTTGATTATTTTGGATGACCTTTTATGAAACTTTCTCAACTCTGCAATATCCTTTCTGAGGTGAAGTGACCTGAACTGTATTCAGTATCCCTAAAGCTGTTGCACCACTGATTTGTATAACAGCATTATGATATCAGCCGTTTTATTTAAAATCCCTTCCAAATGATCCCTAGCATGGAATTTGCATTTTTCACAGTTGCTGCACAATGGGCTGAGATCTTCACTGAGCTATCCACTATGACCCCAAGGTCTTGTTCCTAGTCACTCACTGCCAGTCAAGACCCCATGAGGATTATGTGGGACATATCTCCCATGACAGCCTGCCAACGACCATACTGTCTAGGGCAGGTGGGAATCTAACAACTTAGGGGGGGGGGGGCAGGCTACAGGTTCCCACTCCTAGTCTAGGCAGCAGCATAACACTGGTACTTGAAGAACCAACCAGTAAGTATCAATAAACACCTCAGTGTTTTTCTTTCTTTCTGTGTGGCAATGAAAGAACACAGGAAGAAAACAAGCCTACTACCACTATCCATTCCAGAACACTAGCTGAATTGTAACCCTATCAGCAACCTGGTTACTTCACACATGGAAAAACCTTGGGGCACAAGAAAGCGGTTAGTTTTCAACTGTGTCCGTGACATAGCTGTCAACTTTTCCCTTTTCTTGCGAGGAATCCTATTCTTAATAAGGGAATTTCCCTTAAAAAAAGGGAAACCTTGACAGCTATGGTCCGTGAACTGTTTTTGTTTTGTTGCACGTTTCGTAACGTTTTTCCAGTGTGTGCACTCACGTGAACGGAAGAACCAACATGTGGCTCGGAAGTTTGCAGCATTTAAATTCAGCGAACTGGAAGGCAGATGCCCTGAAAAGGGCAGCTTCGTCTTTACCACGGAAGAGAGCAAACGGTTTTAACCCTCCGCCGCCAGGTTTCATTCCCAGGGCGGAGCCAGAGGAAAATGGAGCGGGGAGGAGGAGGAGGAGGAGACGACGGCGCTGGAGGGAGAGGCGGGGATGCTTTGTTCCGGCTACGGCCTCTCCTCCTCGCTCTCGACCGCGAATTCGCCCGGCCCCGCAGCCCCTCGCTCTCCCCTTACCTTCTACGACGCCGCAGAGGAACCGCCGAAGGCCCCCGTTGCCCACAGCTCCGGAGCCGCTGTCGGGATCCGCTTCGGGGCCTGCCGGGTCGGGTCTCGCCGGGGACGCCTCGTTGGGCGAGGCGACGGCAGCCGCAGGGCTGGGGCCAGGTGTGCCTTGAGGCTCCCCCCGCGCCTCGTCGACCATCCCCGCCAGGCCTGCTCCGGGACTCCCGTCCGCCGCCATCGCCCTTCCCTGCGCTCTAACCGGGGCGGGCTGCGCTTGCGCGGGGAAAACCAGCCCCAACCGGTCCGAGCCGGAACCAACCGCCCTGCTCGCTCGACTGCCAACCGGGGCCGCTGCTGCTGATCACGTGCCGGCTCCACCTCCTTCCCACCGCGCGCCAGGCGAAGGGAGCAGGGGCGAGCAGTCCAACAAAGCAGCTGCTTGAGCGAACGAAAAGGACGTGGGGGAAGGGTGGCTGAGAAAACTACCTAACCGCGCAGGCGCGAGGGACCGGCAGGGCATTTACTGCGCATGTCTCGCGGGGGTCGGCGGGGGAGGGGCGTGTCAGTGCGCACGCGCGAAAACGAGATCGCGGCCCACTGCGCAGGCGAGCAACGGCAGCTCTGAGCAGCGGCCTTGGAGCGCATGCGTAGCTACTGAACGGACCCCGTAAGAGGCTACTGCGCACGCGGGAGGGGAAATAAACAAAGTAGCGGGGGTTAAGGCGCAAGCGCAGAGCGTAGCCACGGGGGGTTTGTTTGATTAAACGTTGCGCAAGGGGCGGAGTCTTGCGTAGGCGCACGAAAGCGGTAGGCTTCTCCACCGCCGACTTTCCGTCTCGCTGCACATCTGTGGAGAAGGAGGAGCTTGTGGTCCGCTGCCTTGAGGTTTGACCTACTTTTCTAGGCTGGGGCCTCCGTAGACCTGAGGGGTAGCTAACTGGGCGCGCCTCAGAGCACGCTTTTCACCTCGGGGAAGAGGCCGGCTGCAGGAATAGCGAACCAAGGCGGTTCAGTGATGGAACTGTCACCTGGCTCAGGCACGAAGCTCACTCGGTGACATTCCTAGTCACTTTCGCAACCCTACCTCACAGGGTTGTTCTGGCGGCTCCCCCCCCCCCGCCCCAGTGTGTGACGCTTTGAGTTGCCCAAACTCCTTGGCTAAAAAGCTGGATAAAAATGAAGTAAATAACGAACAGGGAAAGGGCTGCAAGCTCATTGGCAGAGTACACGGTTTGTAGGCATACAGTTCCATTTCTGACACCGACAGGCTGGGCTGGGAAAGGCGTCTGTCTGAAACCCTGTAGAACCCCAACCCCTCTATAAAGAAAGTGGACTCCTGGGTTGCTCCTGGAAAAGTCCTGCCCGTTTCCAGTGGGTGAACAATAATCTCCAATGTCGGTAGATGTGCTTGACTGACGTATTCCCTTGGTTACTCTGTTTCGCTTTTGAAAAAATGCCACCTCTCTGGCAGAGCAGGGTGCACCCGATGCAGGTGAAGCCCGGACAGAGTCTGGTGAGTGAGAGTACAAGATGGGTGAGGGGAGGAGCCAGGACAGAATCTGGCATGTTTTGGACCGAGCTGGTCTTTTGCTAGCTTTTCAGGGTTGCTTACTTGGCAAGAGTACAGCTTTATATTTGGACTAGTAACATAGTGGTCTGTTGACAAACCTTACTGAGGAAAGATTGCTGCTTTTCTGTACAATTGTCATTGCTTTATTTGCATATGTAACACTTTTACATTGCCCAAAACTAGGTGCTAATAATGAAAGGATAATACAAAATCTAGTTTCTTTTTTGAGGAGCAGACACATAAAAATTATCTTAGCGGGAAAAAGTTTAGGTCCCACATTTTTGCTGTGCCTGCTCTGGTGCCGTTCAGTGATAATACAGAAATTGTACAGGCAAAGCATTGTTTCTAGGAAAGCTTTACCTACCAAATTTCTATGTGGCTGGCTTCTTTTAATTTTTAGTCATTAAAAAAAATTGAATTGACTACAAATACTTAGGATGGTCTAGAATTTCATAGGGGTGTGATTTAAAATCTGTTTTGTTGTTGCTTTATTTTATGTCTTGGCTTTAACATTTTCATATTGTTAAATAATAAATACTTGCATCCGGTTTGCTTTTTTTTCTATGCATCATTTTAGGCTTCAGATAGGGTTGAAAGTAATCTGATGCGTAGAAACAAGCAACTTCATCAAAAGATCAAAAGTTTCTGTGATGGTGAGGCTTTTTGTCTCAGAAATAAAAGAAACACCTGTGTTACAATTGAGATGAAATCTGATTGATGCTGTTTGCTTTGACTAGCCACTTTCTTTTCTCCACTTGCACTAGAGTTGTTGGTACTTTGGGCAGCTTCTCTGTGTTAGTACCAGACACACCACATCATCAATGACTTCTGTTCCTCACAAGTATGAGCCTCTTTAATTCTGAGCTGCTTTATTCTCTTCTTGGAAAATGACTCCTCACACCATAGGGCAAGGATGGGGAACCTGTGGCTTTCCAGATATTGTCGGACTATAGCTCTCATCCCTGACCACTAGCCATGATGACTGGAGCTGATGGAAGTTGGAGTTCAGCAATATCTGCAGAGGCACAGCTTCCCCATCCATAGTATAGTGAGTTATGTGACTACCCATTTCAACTTTCTGCTGAGTTCTTAGTATGCAAGGAGGAGGAGTAGTGAAATGTTATAGGGTGCTGCTGTTGCATCCATTGGTCACTAGATGGCACTCTGCTTATAGATTTGTGTTTTAGGACCCTTGCTCTTTCAGGATCATAAGGGTGCAAGAGGTGGGGAGAGGCAAATCTCTCCATTTTGCAACCTTCCCCACCCCAGAGGTGGCATGACCAGTCCTCCAAAAGCTGCAGCATTGACCTTGGCAGGCCACAGATGCATTTTTGGTGAAATAGTAGAACTCATGGACATCCAATGAAACTGAATGTTGGGAGATTCAGGGCAGATAAAATAACACTTCTTCATGCAAGTGCATAGTTAAACTATAGAATTTGCTCCTATAGGAGGCTGTGTTGGCCACCAACTTGGATGCCTTTAAAGGAGGATTAGACAAATTTATGGAGGATAATGTTGGAGGAAATGGACATGAAGGCATTAATTTATTTCATGGCCACAAATCACCCCATGTCTGAGATAAGCCAACAGATGCAAGGTCAGCAAAGCCGGTTGCTATGGCCCAGTGTCGTGTGTGTGTGTAATTAAGGCATGTTAGCTCATCAGTTGATGAGTCTGTGTCTATGTCTTGAATTGCTGGAACAACATAGATATTTTCTACTTGTATGTATCTGTATCTGCAAAGCTTACAAGCTGCATGCATATGTCAACATCTGGAACTGTATTACTGAGGCCTGATCTTTTGCAGCAGTAAACTGTTTTGGACCTTAATCTGCCTCTGTGTAGTGACTGGAACTGGGAGAAAGTTACACTGCATGAGTATCTCACCTCAGATTCCCAACTGCGCGGGGGGGGGGGGGGGATCTTGCAGCACCTAACTTGGGAGAGCCTGATGCTACACTAGGTATAAAATCAGGGCCTACCCCTACCCCAACTTTGATACTGTTTTGATTGCTTCATTTGTCCTCATTTTATTCTTGGAAGATCAATGCCTCCAGCAACTTTTAAGGAGGGTTCTCTTTATGTGGCATCTGTACAGTTGACCAGAAGCAAGTTTGCTGCACTTTTGAAGGAAGACTTCAGATCCCATTTGCAATGAAGAGTCTGAATACTTCATATTGACACAGAGATGAACCACAGCAGATGTTTCAGTAGTAGTTGCACATATGAAGGTACAGCCCCTGCTAGCCTTAACAGTAATATCAAGAGTGAAAAGGAGGCACACACAACCCATTTGAATGCAGTACCCAGCACTTCCCTGTGAAGATATGTGGGAAAGCAAACAGCAGCAGAGGCTGTGGTGTTTGTGCATAGCCATTGTGGTTGCATTTTATTGTCATACTTGATCTTTATTATTATACAAAATATACAGAGTTGAAAATGCAAAGCTGATAGCAGAGCTCAATGTGCCCCACTAGTGCAGTGGGAGTGGGCCATCTGGCCCTGATTTAGTGATTGTAGTGAGAGCACAGGTAGAAATATGCAGCTGGCGTATAGGTGAGGAGTGGAGCAGTAGCCCCACCCACATAGGGATTGCCATCTGGTTAGGAGTATCAACAGACAGGATGAAGATGTTTCAAACAAAAGAACAATCTGCAAAGAGATGAGTGATGGGTCAGGGTATGGGCTTTGCAAAATCAGAGAATGATTCTAAATAGAACCAATGTAACGCTGAATGAAAAGGTCATGTCCTCCTACTTTATGTTCATTCTTTTAGAATAACCTGGTTTCTGTAATGCTCTCTTAATTAGATTGAAATCACCACTTTACCCATAAACATGCATTAAAAGAGTGATGGTGGGTAAATTCACCATCTTCTCACTCTGACCACCCTTACTACAAATGTGACAGTTTAGTTAAAGGGTGTCAGAAGGACAAATTCTCTGTATTAGAAGGGATGTTGAGTATGCAGCCTAAGACATACTTCTCAACTGCAAAATCCCCTGGAATAGTGAAGTACTTTGTCAGAAAGGGAATAAAAGCCCTTTTTAAAGGTGAGTATATCTGGGCCGGGCTGGGCTGGTGGAAGATCACTGTGTATGGGGAGGTAATCTATGTGGTGTTTCTTTACTCTCAACTCCCCACCATAGTTTCTAATGGACCTATGGCTGTATCTGTTAACAGACACAGTGAAAAGTGGGAAAGGCTATCAACATTTCATGGGAGTGGGCCACAGCTGCATTTTGAAGACTAATCTTGAATGCAGCTATCTCTGGAAGCAAGGAATTCTGCCTAAACCTGGAAAAGACAGACCGTATCAGGCTGGATGGACCATTGGCCTAACACGGTATAAAGCACCTCCTTTTATAATTTACTTGGGCTCACCAACACCCATCTTTATTTGGTAGCTGACAATATGAGGAAATATGCTCTTGGCCCTTCTTGAAAATGCAGCCCCAGAAGCCAGCCTGTATCTGAGCAGGATAGTCTTGAGTCTGGACTAATTTTGATTCCCAGTTCTGATTACAGCACTTTCCACCCTGACTTGCTTGTAACCAGGAAGGCCTTTGAATTGTCACGTCTGTTCTTGAAGAACAACTCTGGGTTCTTAGTAAAGTGAGACAATCACTTCTGCTAGAGTGTTCCAGCATAAAGACCCATCAGGAAAAGCACAGGGCTACTTTAGACACACTTGGAAGTGGCGGTGTTATAAGGGTAGTGTTAACTTTGCATACCAGTCAGGTTCATCTTTGATGAGGGTAGTTCCCTCAGCAGTGGCCAGCTGTCAGCCATGTGGCTTGCATCCCATCCACAGCTAACAGAGCCAGTTTAAATATTATGGCTGCTTCATGCAGTGACCATAAAGTGTGGATTTCCCCAGATGTGTGAGAAGTTTCTACATCACCACAAGATATTCCTAGGAATGGTAGCATGGGAATTTTCTGTACAAGGGAAAGTGATCTACCATACACATTATGGCCATATCAATGATTTCAGGATGGCAATTAGAACATGCTCTGATGTCAGACATACACATGTACCACAGTAGGCAACTTTTATACTGGAAGCTGCCCTGTGAGCAATTGCAGGGTAGCAGAGCACTACTATACTATTCTGACTGGTTATGAATAGCCACAGAGGGTGTGACTCTTCTCTTCCCCTCCCCCCCTCCAGCTTCTCCTATAGACCTTAAGGGGTAAGAAATACTAGTGTAAACCCTTAAGTTTGAGATAAGCCAGATAGGATGGTACCGGTGAGGAATGAGGATGGGAGAGATGCAGGAGAAAGGAAACTGTTGTGTTGTGCACAGAAACAGGCTTTCTTGGATGGAAGATGGGAGTGCAAGATGGTAGGAGGATGTTTGTGATTAGAAATTGTTTCATTGAAGAGAATGCATGTGTGGAAGGGACAGGCTTGGGGAGGGTTATACAGGGATGGGATTGTTAAAATCATTTTGAGGCATGGGGAGGAGAAACTAAGCCAAGGTAAAGGAACTTTAAAAACATAGTGTGGTTATGGGTCCAGGCATTGTACAAATTTAAATAAAAATAACCACCATGTAGATGCCAAACTGTTTCCAATCTCCAAGATTTGATCCCAGCTGTGACCCTTAGCAGAAAACATGTCTGAACTACACAAAGAGGGACCCTTAAGTGCTGGCATGATGGGTTGGCAAGAACTGAAATGGCAGCTTCAGGAAGGAAAAGAGCCAAAGCTGGGCTCCAGTGCACATGGAAGTCTGTTTGCATAGCTAAAAATCCTGAGCTGGCCAGTTCCAATTCCTGTCCTTCACACACTCTTGAATGATACATTCCACTTTCAGACCACAGAACAAAGAAACTCATTTCTGTGGGTCTTTGAATCTTGCTCTAGACTGCCAAGTGCCTAAGTGCTTACTCAAGATTGCAACTGTAGTCTGAGATGGGAGCTAAAGTATAGGGTTGGTTGTTAGGGTGCAGGAACAATAACTGAGATGAGCCTGAGCGGAGTTAAGTGCTGGGATAAAACTAGGGCTGTGGGTAAGATATTAAGAACATTGGTAGAAGGGGATGCTAGGCAGGGCCAGGATAGAGGGTGCTCATCTCTGCCATCTAGATATTGCCTGCTGTTGAGTACCTCAGCCTCTGGCTCACTAACTCTTCCCTCACTTTTCTGCCTTCATTGGGATATAGTACCTGTTTGTGTGGCCAAAAAAACCCAAACCTATTCAGTATCATCCTTGTCTCTTTCCTATACTTTGCCTTAATCTGAGTGGTCTTTTCATACTAGAATTAGCTTCAAGATTCTAGTTCTTTTTAAGCCCTTAATATCTCTGTTACAGGCAGTTTCTCTTTCTTTGTCTTTGTTTATTTTCCATGTTGGCCTCTGCAGTTTGCACAACTCCTCTTTCATCAGTTTTCATCTCCTATATTGCCATGCCACTCTTTCCTCCATGCATCAAACAGCTTATTCCAATTTAAGCCCTTCCAGAAGACCTACATTTTCAGCTCCTCTGGCTAGTCCACTCCCGCTGCTCATTATGAATCTCTGACCCATTACAGTATCCTTGTCCTGGCCAGCTAGTGTGATCTGTAAGCCCTCTACACAGGTACAGTGTTGCTGCTGTGCTCTGTTCAGAACCTGGCACTCTGTTGGAGATTCATAAACACTCTGAAGATGCTGGTTGCCTATACTGTTTCTGCTTCTGAATGACCCAAGGGCTTATTTGTAATAAAATATGAAAAGCGGGTAAGCATCACAGAGAGATGAGCAGCAGCTAAAGAGATAGTTGGCACAGGGAAGAAAAAGCAAAGCTCTCCCCACCCTCTAATGTGATTCCTAGGATTTTCTTTTATCTACTCTCACACATGCCCTTTCCATTCACCATGATCACTGTAAGTCAAGGAGCTATGTCATGTTTTTATCTTTCAGTGAACTTAGTTCAAGGACAAAGCATACCCTTGGCTGATGCCAGACTGTCACCCGTAAACCTTAGCTGAACCCTGAGTTTCTTCTCATTGAAGGATGTCTGAGCTCTTGACACCTACTTTCTGTATGGCCCTCAGTTGTTGGAGCTGCGTAACAGATAGTATTATCATTATCTCAGGCCGCATAGAGACCCTGCCCAGTGAGACCAGAGATTCCGTCCTCACTTAAACGTTTCTAGTGACATGTCCTCACCACTTCTACCCCTGTTTTCATGACAGTTTATAGGGGGCGGGATGCAAGGAAAAGCTCTGATCAAGCTTAGTGTACTTTCTTGCCATGGGAATCCAAGCATAATTCACCCCTCCCTCCTGATCTGTAAATGAAAGCTAAAGGTTGTGTTGTACCTGCCTCTCGTGAGTGGCTCACAGTTTTCATTCCCTGTTGAGGATGCAAAGGAAAGAAACCACAAAGCAAAATCCCACTCACTCTCTATTTCTTTGCCTCAGCTCTCCCCCAGAGTTTAGTGCCAGGATTGCAAGTTACCTTGACACTGGGAAATTTATCTCCCAACTGGAAGCCTCAGGGTATTGCAGTGAGAGCCTTGGGGCAAATTAGATGGAGTCCACTCCTTATAGGCAGTGGGTAAGATTGCACACACACAAAATCCTTTGAAAGTCCTTGGCAATCAGCTGTTGCACTGCCATTTGGTGGTGTGAAACCTGCTTGGAACCCCAGTGAAAGGTCAGGGGTTGCTGTGATTTGGAAGGCCCTAAAGGGTGGGCATACTACTTGGTGACAGGGCAGTGCAGCTTCCAAGGGGAGGCAGCAGGTTGATCCGGGTTTTTTTTTCTTTTCAATGCCCAGAGGAAGTGCTTGTGGATGTCAGGCTGTTCCCCCTGCTGGGCCTTGGTCCAACCCAGCCAAAGGCTCCCTCCCACCCCTGTGGTTCCCATTGCAGGGACTTTCCCCCAGTTGCATCTCGAATACATGGTCTCCAGAAATGTCTCCCAGTCCAGCATGGACAAGGGGCTGCTTTGTCCATACAGCCAAGAGAAGAATGCCTCAGAGGGATACACCAAGAAGAGAAGCCCCAGGAGTGTGTGTGAAGGTCTGGGCTCCAGGAGTGGCCCGCTAGATCACATTGTCAAAGAGCTTCATGGAACTCATGATGTTTTCATCCTGCCAAAGAAAAGAGGACAAGTTAGAATAATTAAGAAGTCCTAGAACTAATTATCAGCTTTGACTCCCTCCGCCCCCCCCAAAAAACGTATAGGGGGTGTAAAGGACCTTTTCAACCCCCACCCCCTTTTTATGCGTGGCAGAAAAATAGCAGTGGTCTGTACCCACTGACAGTAATGCAATATCCCCACCCTTCTCTAACGGGGGTATGCTACCTTCTGGCAGGACTCAATGAATTCCTCAATAGTCACCACTCCATCCTTGTTCCGATCCATTTTCTGAAATGCAACAACCAGGGATATGAGAATTAAAGGCAAGGTAACATCTGTTTCCTAGGAGCAGCTTCAGGCACACTACAATACCCACAACCAGGAAGGACATCCTTGAGGCAGACCTGGTCAGGGAACCGGTCAGCTTCTAGGTAGCTTCAAAGGCATTTCTGGCAGAGAATGGCCCCCTACCTCACTAATGGCATCTTGCAAGCATTCAAGGAAACAGCAGTGGGCTGGTGCTGCAAACAGGTCCACTACTATGATTGTAACAGTAAGAGATGGGAGATGCTGCCTCTACTGGAAAGAGGAAGGAAGAGTGGCCATTGGGAAAGCTTAAAGTTCTGACAAAACCCTGTGTTGAGTTTTCTACTCTGTGTTGACTCTGTACCCAAATGCACACATTTGCATTCCAAATGTGTTGAACTACAACTCCCATTATCCCTGGCCATTGGTTACGCTGGGCAGGTATGGTGGGAGTTGGAATCCAAAATGTCTGGAAGGTGCCAAGATGGAAAGGCTTTTCTAGGAAGAGGGCAAATCCAAATATATTGACTAAAATAATCCACTCGCTCAACTACCAGGGATGGGAAGGTTTTGTAGAACTGCAGGATGCTGACATGGGGTGGTAATTATGTTTTACTCAGAGCAGACCCATTGAAATGAATGGTCCTTAGTTATGTTCATTAATTTCACTGGGTCTTCTTCACCCATGGAAATGTCCTGACTCAAGGCTCACCTGGAAAAAGCTTTCCACATGCTCCTGAGGTGCTTCTTCTCGCATGGCTGGGTAAGTGTATTTGCCCATCATGTCATAAATGGATTTCATTATGTCCAGCATTTCCTGCAAGACAAGAGCACAAAAAGAATGGCAAGCAGAAATCAGAACTCGATTGTGGGCTGAAGGAGATTCCTAAGAAAGTGGACAACAAGCAGGAGAGCCCAGTATCTTCTGGTACCATTGACTCCATCTCCCTCTATATGTACCTCTTTGGTGATACAGCCATCTTTGTTCAGGTCATAGAGGTTGAAGGCCCAGTTGAGCCGATCATCTATAGTACCACGTAGAATAATGGATAAGCCAGCCACAAAATCCTGCAGGGGAATGAAAAAGAAAAGGCTGGGGTGGGGTGAAGAAACAATCAAGTCTAGCTCAAGTGCCATGAAGGCTTGAGATTTAAGCAAAGCAGATTCTGGGATGTGGAGGGGACCCAATGGCAACAAACTGCAAAGAGCAACTCACAGAGTAAAAAAACCCACCTGGGGAAAGAATTACTGAGAATCTGATTGTTTAATACCCTAGAGCAGGGGTGAGGAGCCTATGACCCTCCAAATGCTGCTGGACTACAACTCCTATCATCCCATCCCATTGGCCAAGCTGCCTGGGGCTGATCAGAACTGGAATCCCAACAACATCGGAAGGGTTCCTCACCCCTGACTTAAGAGCTTTCCTGCTAATCTTCCTGCTTCAACCTTCATGATTATTTTTTGACAACAGAATTTGAAATTAGAACAAGGCAATCTGTCAGCATAACATTTATTCATTCATTCATTTAAATTTGTTTCCATTAGGGCAGCCATTCCATTGGCTTTATTTAAGTGTGTAGACTGAGGAAGTTTCAGATATCTAGTACATAATTACTTTATATTTTTTAACTTATTGCTACCTGCCCTAAGCTTCCGGGGTTTGAATCTTGAAGTAAAAAGATCTACAGAGTGTACTTGAGAGGAGAGAAATATAAATACACACAAATGAAAGTTCACAAAACTTTTGGGAAAATCAATAGGCAAGAGAGAAAAAGCTGTTGTGGTTGTTCACTGGAGAGAGTGGGAAAGATGCCTTCCTCAGGTAGGATGTCTGTGTTTTTTTATGTCATTTGCCCTCACTCTACTTAGCAAAGAGCTCAGAAAGGCAGGTCCATGCACTTCTACCAGGTGGCCTCACTGACCTGAGTTGCAGGGTTTAGGTGCATAGACTGAAAGTGCAGAAATAATTGTGAGATTTTAGGATCAGTGGAGCTGTAAGGCTGAACATGCTGGGAATCGACCAGGGTTGTTTTGCATGCAAAGCAGATGCTCTACTACTGAATTACCACCCTGTATTTAAGAACTCATTTGGTACTCATAGGTGACAACGAATGTCTTAAAAAATTAAATTTATATCCTGCCCTTCTTCCCAAAGGGCAGCATACACATCAGTGATAAAAGTACACAATTTAAACACCTGAAAAACTGCACACAGGTGAGCAGTGGTGGAGGGACTGTGTGTTCCATCTCTCTCTTGCACTCAGTATAGAAACCAAGTAGGCTGTAAGAAGAGGGAAGTGCCCTTCTCTGCTTAGAAATGCTGTGGGCTGCTGGAGAAACAATATTGTAAGCCTGCTTTTTGTGGGCTTGCTTGCAATGCCAGAAGCACTGTTTTTATTCTGTGAAACACCCAGTCAAGGTTTGTTATAAAAGTTGCTCTATAAATAACATACCACAGAATTAAAAGACGGCTGCTTCTTGGGAGAAAAGCAATGACAAACCTAGACAGCATCTTAAAAAGCAGAGACATCACCTTGCCAACAAAGGTCCGTATAGTTAAAGCTATGGGTTTTCCAGTAGTGATGTATGGAAGTGAGAGCTGTACCGTAAAGAAGGCTGATCGCCAAAGAATTGATGCTTTTGAATTATGGTGCTGGAGGAGACTCTTGAGAGTCCCATAGACTGCAAGAGGATCAAACCTATCCATTCTTAAGGAAATCAGCCCTGAGTGCTCACTGGCAGGACAGATCCTGAAGCTGAGACTCCAATACTTTGGCCACCTTATGAGAAGAGAAGACTCCCTGGAAAAGACCCTGATGTTGGGAAAGATGGAGGGCACAAGGAGAAGGGAACGACAGAGGACGAGATGGTTGGACAGTGTTCTCGAAGCTACAAACATGAGTCTGACCAAACTGCGGGAGGCAGTGGAAGACAGGAGTGCCTGGCATGCTCTGGTCCATGGGGTCACGAAGAGTCGGACACGACTAAACAACTAAACAACAACAAAAATAACTGCATGTAGAATCTTACCTCAAAACTGACTGAGCCATCATGGTCGGTGTCAAATGCGTTGAAAAGGAAAGTTGCATATGTACTGGAATCTGAAAAGAAGTGCATCACAGTAAATGATTAGGAGGCCTTTTACCAGATGTCAACAAACCAACCGAATTGCAGGCAGAGAACAACCAGAGAAAGTGACTATAGCTGCAGCTTTTGGAAATACTTTATCAAGTGCCAGGAAATTATTGTTGCTTCCCCTTAGACATAGATATCTTATTTATTTATGGCAATATTTATTGTCTGCCCTTCTCTAATAAAGTATACTCAAGGCAGCTTACAAATAAAAACATATTATCATGATAAAGAACAGTCCTGGCACTTAACAAGAAAAGCCTGCTCAAGTAAAATGGTCTTAAAAGCCTGTTTAAAATTGAGCAAAGAGGAAGCCATATTTAACTACAAAGATGTGTCATGGACCGTTCTCTTGGGCAAGAAGCTGTGCTTGGCACAGCAGGCAGGGAAGCTATGGGCAGCTGAAGATGACTGTGCCAAGGCCCTCAAGAATATATCCCAAATTATTTCTAGCAGCCGCCAAGCCACTCACTGTCCTTATCTGGCCTCCCAGTTCCTCCAAAAGATCTCAGCTGGGAGTGGCACTCACCTCCCTGTGGGAAGAATTGTGAGTAGATCTGCTTGAAGCTCTCTTCATTAACAATGCCACTAGGGCACTCCTGTCAAATGGAAAAGTGCAGACAAGTTCACCTTGGAAGAGCTAGTCTAAACAATACCCCAGAGTAGGGCCAGTGTGGTGAGGTATGTCATCAAAGAGGACTTTGAGGAGCTGACTCTCATAACCAATGACAGAAAGCAGATCACCTCTTAGGGGAAAACTTGAGCAGTGTCTCTCAGGCTGCGGGTGATCCCACTGTACACGGGTGTGTGTGTGTGTGTGTGTGTGTGTGTGTGTGTGTAAGTAAGCACGTAAGTAAAACAAATGCTTCTGAAAGCAGAAAGCAGCATTACCTTATTATCTACTGGTGGTTACACTTGAGATAATATAGGAAGAAATTCCAATCAGAGTGCAGAATATAGCCAGTAAGATATAGCAAGAGGGGGCTATTGTGTAGGGTGCCTCCCCAGGCTCAGAGGAAGTCATAGCATGTAGCTGGATTCTTCTGGCATCCAAACATCACAAAGAAAATCCCTCTGTGCTTTGGAGGCATCCATTCCTGGCCTAGGAGGGATGAGTGGTTCAAAAGCAGAAAGAAGCATGCCACCCCATGTCGAAGTGCTGGTGCAATTTCATTTATATGAGAATTAGTGGTGTGTGCTGCTGTATAGACACTCAAGGGGGAAATATGTGTGTGTGTGAGAGAGAGCGAGAGGGCGCTTACTGGAGCCATACAAGAAGTCTGACGCTCCATCTTTGTTCCTGAGTAATGGGAAGCACTTTGGCTGGGCAGTGTGTTGGAAGTGCCTGCCTATAGTCACAAAAGAGGATTTCATTATAGTTATAGTTTTTGTGACTGTGAGTAAGTTACAAATTGCAAATTTGATGTGTAGTGAGTGGATATTTTAAAATATGCTCTCTTCAACAATATGGAAAAGGATAGTCTCTTTCTTTCTATCCAAAAGTTTTGTACTTGTTTTTTTAAAGCCTAGTATAGGGAAAAGAAATGGCCCCCAAGCAAGCTTGTAAGTGCACCAGCAGCAAGGGGAGTTTCTTTCCAACTCACATTCTTGAAGCCTCGGTACAAGACCTGCAGCTCCTTGCGGGTGAACTTGGTTTGCTCCTGCAGCTGATCCAGGCCCTCGGGCCGATGACAAACAGTGGAGAGCTCAAACTCATCCTCTACACTGTCTGCAAGAAAAGAAAGAGCTTCAAAAGTATAGCATGGACAGAACCAAAGCATCCCACCTGCATTCCTTGAATTAATTTTTTTCAAAGTGAGGTGTTGAATTTCCTTTCCCACCCTGCATTGGCACAAATAGACCCATCTCATGTGCATGTACTCTGTGGAACTACCTTTAGATGCAAGATCTCACACCTGGATTACAGCCAGAAATCAAGTGCTGCAGTATCATCCTGGCCTAGAGGAGGTTTAGAGAGCTTTGGTCAATTCAGGATAGAGCCCTGTTTGTGAAATGCATTAATACCCCTCTCCCAATACTGCATCAAGGGAAACGATAAGTATTAAATTCAGATCAATTTGGATAGGAACCAGAGATAAGAGTTGATTTACACCATCTTCCATGGACACAGGCTGTGAACAGTGTTATGCGCTCCTCACTTCAATGCACATTGAGAAGACTAGGGTCAGTACTACCAGGTTTACTTTCCTTTGGAAGAAAGAAATGCTTGTGGCATTTTTGTATTTTCTGTTGACTTACTGATATACAAGCAGAGATAATGGAAGTAGAAAAATTCTTATGAAAAGAAGCAGAACCACTAACGCTGCTTTGGATTCAAAAACATGTTAGTTGCTAGGTAGGCAATTTCATAATGTCAGGCCCATTCACCAAAATCAAGGAAACCAAACTCTTAACAGCATCAAATAAGTGACAGAGGCATTGACTGAGGCAGAAGCAGATTTTAATTGGAACCACACACAAACTCAACCCAATCACACTATTATAAGTAATCAATCAATGAGATGCATCGGCTGTTGTCATGATGGCTGCATATATTGCCTCCACATACAACCTGCCCTCTCCAGTGTTCTAGGACAAAATCCCCACCTTGCTGTCCTTTGTCTTCCTATTCATTTTGAGCTCTGTCAACTGGAGTAGAAAGCTGGAGAAGACAGCTATTCCAGACACAAGTTCATCCACAAAGCAGCCATACACAATTAGCGGCTTGAGGCAGAGAGCCTACATTTTGTCTCCTCTATTCCCTTTTGTCCCTGCCTACATCACTCTCACAGTCCTTTTATAATACACTGCTTTGGATTGGTGTTTGAGAAAAGTGGCCTACAAGTATTTTATATAAATACTATACAGAAGGAATCCCTTCTCCCACTTCCCCTGCTCCTGGGAGTTAATGATGTCACAGAACAGAGAAGACACACAGAGAGGGATAAAGTGTCACTTGCTTTCGCTGATTGAGGGGATGGATTTGGGCTGACGGCAGCAGGACAGCAGCTTGAGGAACCGCTGCTTCAGGGCTTTTTTAGCGTGGCCAGGTGGGTTGCCTGCAAAGAAATGACAGTTGCCAACCAGGAGAAGCATTAACATATGCACCCTTTGTTCCACCCACACCCGATCCCTAAGCACCAGCCACAACAAGACATGGTATGGATCGGAAAGACAGTCATGCATAGCTTCAATGCAACAGGGAAATGGATCCAGCACTGTCACAGTACACCCAACAATGACTCACAACTCTTCTAAAGCACATGCATGCTCCCACTGAGCATCAGTTGGGCACGAAGAAGGGATGGGGAACCTGTGGCCCTTTAGATGTTGTTGGACTCTCATCAACCACTGGCCATGCTGACTACAACTTATAGAAGCTGGAGTCCAACAACATCTGGAGGTCCACAGGTTTTCTGTGCCTGACCCAAAGGAAGCTGCAACACCGGGAGGGCCAAAGAAACTGCATCCAGGTGTTTAAGTGTGCACTCTTTGCCCCAAGAAATCAGCTGCTCCAATAGATGAGTGACATGGCATTTTCCAGCATGATACCCTGGATGGCTGTATCATGATGTGCAGCTCAGTCAGTATCACATGATCTTAGGATCATGGTTTTGAGCCACATGTTGGGCAAAAGATTCTTCATTACAGGGAAGTTGACTAGATGACTCTCCTGGTCCCTTTGAACTCTACAATTCTATTATTCTAAATGAGAATTAGATCTAGTAGCTCAGAGCAGGTGAATGAGGGCTTTAGGCTCCACCCTTAGCTCTCAGGAGAAAATGGCTGGGAATAAAGATGTGCACCTTCCTCTTCCTGCCTCTAGGAAAGCAGCAGAGGCTGTGTGGAGAAGGAAGTTCCTGTAAGAATGGTCAGCATTTTAAGACAAATGAGGTATAAAGCTGAGCTGTACAAATTAAAACATAACATGCGGTTGCAGCCCACAGAGGATGAGGAATAAATGAAGGGTGCAGATATAGAATGTGTGCAAAAACAGATAGGCAGGTTGGATGAAAGGCAGCTGTAAAGGTTGGCATGGTTGCCATCTTATTGCGAAAAAACCTTTTTATACACCTTGGTAAAAATGGCTTGGAAGAAAATGTCATTCTACAGCACACCAAAATTAATCTCTTTTTACAAAAAGGATAAACACTTTCCCGTTGATAAAATAGTTTTTCAACTATTGCAGTCCAGCTGTAACTGATCCTTGCCTTTTGTGTGTTGGGTATCAGTTGCCTTGTTCTCTGAGCTTTGCAGGTCTCCCCATCATCATTGCAAATGTGGGACCAGAAATGTCTTGTTTCCCCTGCATTCATCAACAAAATCTCTTAAATAAGACTAAGGCCACAACTCCTAAGACTGCAAACTCTTACCTGGGAGTAAGCCCCACTGAACTCAGTGGGACTTACTTCTGATTAGACATGTAGCATTACACTTTAAGTGCAGGGCCGTACCCAACAAAGTCATTCTAAGAGCAGACTCATTAAAAGCAATGGACTTGACTAACTTAAATCCATTGATTTAAATGGCTCTTCCTTGAGTATGACTTAGTTGGATACATTCCAAAGTTATCAGGATGCAAGTTGTGCTGAACTCAGAGAGAGTAAATATACTCTAGCTCAGGCCACTGAGCACTTAAAGGTAAAGGGACCCCTGACCATTAGGTCCAGTCGTGACCGACTCTGGGTTTGCGGCACTCATCTCGCTTTATTGGCCGAGGGAGCCGGCGTGCAGCTTCCGGGTCATGTGGCCAGCATGACTAAGCCGCTTCTGGCAAACCAGAGCAGCGCACAGAAACGCCGTTTACCTTCCCACCGGAGCGGTACCTATTTATCTACTTGCACTTTGATGTGCTTTCGAACTGCTAGGTGGGCAGGAGCTGGGACCGAGCAACGGGAGCTCACCCCGTCGCGGGGATTCGAACTACCGACCTTCTGATCGGCAAGCCCTAGGCTCTGTGGTTTAACCCACAGCGCTTAGTTCTGGGGTTTTTCCAGCTCTCTTTATCAATAAATTTATATATCACCTTTAAATTTATTTATTTATTTTGTAATTAATTAATTAACTAGCTAGCACTTAAGCACACTTACCTATTTGAGGGCTGGGGAGGGAAGATCCCTGAGGCCAGGGAACGGAGTATCTAAAATGAACCTGCCCCATTGTTAAGAGGCTCTGCTCTGAGTGCTGCCATGCTGCCACCTGCAGAAGTGTGGTGAGTGGTGATAGGGAAGACAGGGCTTTCCCAGTGAATTCACCCGTGTAATGTGGAATACACTTCCCAGGGACACTTTGCTGGCACCAACTCTCATTGTCTTTTTGATGCCCGGTGAAGATATTCCTGTACTTGACTACTAATGGGTACTTAATTTCTGCCATTTCTCACTTTATTGCTGGATTTATTGGTGATTTTATTTGCTATGTTATTGTTTTGTCTGATTTCAGTTGTTTTATTATTCTTTCACCTGGATGTTTTGGCCAAGCAGCAGCCTAATTTTTGATAGGAGAAGATATGAAAGCAGATCATTTCATACTTGTCTCAAGAATGCACGAGAATAGTTTTTTACCAGGGTTGTTGCACTGATTGCCCTCCAGATGCTGTTGGAATCTATTTCTTATTAACTCCAGCCAGCATGTTCAATTGTTGGGGATGATGGGAGTTGTAGTCCAGCAGCACACACCAAGATACTTACTTGTGGGGGTAATGGGACAAAAATTTAAAGGCATTATTTCCTCTAGCCTCAGTTATACTAGATTGCTACTGAGGCCAGTAGATATCAGATAAACTCACCTTTTATTGCCCAGAAATGAATTTTTTTTAGCACCATTGTAATATTACTTCCTATTTACTTCCTCGGGTCAATTTAAATGTTGCTGCTTTTAAGCTTGTGTACAAGTGTGTGTGCATGCATGACTCATGACTGCAAGGATGTTCTGAGCATTATAGAAAAGAAGTGGCAATGACTGACAAATGGAGACAAACAGGAATAGCTAGAGAGATGAGCAATACAGGAGAAATGAGAGACACCATGACCCAGACAGCCAAGCAGTTAGGGACATTTGCCTCAGACCAGACCAGGTCAGGTGCAAAGACACTTCCAGGAAGGAAGGGAACCCAAACCACCAAACCCACAGCAGCACCTTTCAGTAAGAACACTGAGAACACAGCAGTCAAACATGCACTTAAAAGGAAAGATGGTTTGGGGAAGCAATAAAGTTGTTTATTTGCTCTCCTGGCTTTGGGCATTTTGTTTCAGCACATGCTCTTTGGGCAGCTTTGAATAGTGCCATAGATAATAATTTCACAAGGAAGAGTAACTTTAAAAGGTAGTCACTCACTTTCTCACACACACTTTCCCCCCTCTGCTGTATGATCCACTGAACATAGCACACCTATAAAGACTGCAAAAGGACATGGGAGTTTTGCACAACATGAAAGCTACATACTCCATCTTTTTCACAAAACACCCACTAGGGAGGCTGGGGAACATTTGCTCCAGTTGATGACCACATAGATTTATGATCGTGCTCTACAGAAAATAGCCTCTAGATGCACAATAAATAATAAATCAGCCCAGGAAGCAAGTATATCTTTATCCTGAGCAACTTGCTCCAGATCATACACACTGCCTCTTTTGCCAGTAGAGTGTATTTTTATTTCTCATGGAAGACTAATCTCACTATTGTGAATAGAGGTCTGATCCACTCCTATCTGTGCCTTGCCCCCCACTTCTCATTGGTTGTTGTGGATCCTGAACTGTATAAAAAACTTTCACGTCTTGCTTCAATTCTAACCTGAAGCACAGGTTTAGTCTCCACAGAACTAAATCATCCTTTCAGGATGAACACAAACAAGTCATATGAATAACACTGCCCAGTGTTGTATCATCCAATTTCACCACAGCTCTCTGAACAAGCTTAAAGGAAGCTGGGATGAAAACACCAGAATTCACTACAAGAGACCAAAAGCAACAAAGTCTATGCAAGTACCTGCACACAGGGCTACATATGAATTAGCATTACTACCAGAAGAGCCCTATACACAGGAGAGATGCAATCCACAGAAAAGGGCAGAATATATTGTTGTGGCCAGTCCCCCAAATGCAACTCACCCCAGAAAAGGTCGTCAGATAGGTGAGCAAATTTAAAGCTATACTGTATTGACAGCATTTCATACACAGCTGAAATAAGCCACAGAAGAAGGACAATTAGCTCAGAGTCCTCTGTTGAAAGTCAAAAATGAGGGTGCCACAGAACACTTTAAATGATTGTGTGCACCTATCTGCTGGAAGGAGAAGGAAGGATGCAGCCTTCTAGACCTTGGGAAAAAGTACACAGCAAATTTTGGAGCTGTCCTTGGTGCCTACTCTCGCTGCAATTTCATTTTCCCATTTAAAACATCCAGGGAAGCCAAATCAAACAACTTCTCCCTCCTCACTCAGAAACAACTAACACCAAAAGATATATAAAGCTGTAATAAAGCAAAACTTAAACACAGTTCTTTGCAAAATCAGGCACAATCCATATAATGAATAAAAACTTGAATATGTATGCTGTCCCTCCAGCTACCAGGTGGAGCTAATATATAGCAATTCCAACTGAGTGAGAGAAATTTAGAAAGGAAGAAGAGTAATGGTTGAATTGGAACAAAAGAAAAATGCATGGCTATAAGTGCAGAACTAAACATTGCTTCACCAATTATATATCTGTAGTCCCACAATCAGGAGATATAAGAATAACCTAAACTATTCCCACAGCTGGTGATATCCATGCCCTAGTAAGATCCAGATTCAGGTACTATAACAAGCTGTACATTGGGCCGCCCTTGAAAACCACTCAGAAACTTCCGTTGGTTCAGAATATGGCAACTGGATTACTGACTGGTACCAGCTGATTAGAAGAAATCTCACCAGTATTAAAAAGAGGCTCATTTGCTTCCAATTTGTTCTTGTGCATAATTCAAGACGCTGATTTTGACCTATAAATTCTCATACGGCTTGGAACCAGGATATCTAATCTGAAGGCTCATGTGCTGCCATGAGACTCTGCCCCAGTCTAAGATCCATCTCAAAAGCCCTCCTTTGCATGTCACTAGAGTAGAACCTTTGGTTAATAGAGCCCTGCTTGTGGAATTCTTTCCTCAGGGACACTTACCAGGCACTGATTTCCTTTGCCAGACTGGTGCTGTGCAGGTGTTTTGGACTGCAACTCCCTCCATCCCCGGACAGCACAGGTTGCAAGAAAGATTCTTTGCAGTATCTTTGCAGCATCCCATTATTAACCTTCCTCCATGAAAGTCACTGGCCATTTAGAAAAGGCCATATTTGTGCCTCTGCTGCTTTGGTTTACTATACTTTTTTCGGGAATGGATCTTAGAGAGACTGGAATGCCAGGAGATATAATTAAATAACTAAGGCATAAAGCCGTCAACATGGATAATGACTTGTACTTGGTATTTCCCCATTGCTCTGCAGTGAACTAACAGGTGGTGGCAGCTCAGAGGCCTTTTAAGAGCTGCAGGAGATGTCCCATATATTCTTTTACAATGCTAGATGTAGCCTAAGGGAAAGTGCAGAAGGAGATAATTTCATGTTCCAAAGGAGTGCGGCACCACTGACAATATGGACAATGTACTTATTGGAAGAGCTGCCATGACAGCCAGTGGATTGCCAAGATTAGCAACTAGAACAAGGCTTGCTACTATTTCCTGTATGGTGGATGCAGAGGACAAGGAAGACAAACCTGCTGCTGAGAGGCTGATAAGACCGGAACAGATTTCAATCTCAGAGTAAGCAAAATGGAACAGACTGAGGATGTGCAGACACCATCCTATATTAATATTCTCAGCATTACTTTGGTTCTGCAGCACCAAGCTCAGTGTTTTTGATAAGGGCCGATACCATCATTATGGTGAAAACTCCCCTTCTGAGTGAGCAGGATGGAGAGATCTCAAAGACAATTTGCTGTTCTTGCAACATTTGCTGGTTCATGTATTCTATAGTACATAATTTGAAGGGGGTATGTTTGGCAAGCTTAGACTCTCAACTGTCCCCTAGAAGATAAGAGCCTAGGGAATATAAGAAGCTGCCTTATACTGAGTTATACTGCCTTATACCTTGGCCAATCTAGCTCAGTACTGTCTACACTGACAGGCAGAGGCTCTCCCAGGTTTCAGGCACTGGACGTTCTCAGCCCCACCTGGAGATATGGGGGATTGAACTTGGGACCTTCTGCATGCAAAGCAGATGCTCTGCCATTGTGCCACAGCCCAGAGTCCATCTTGTCCAGGATTTCACAACAGATGCCACGAGAGGAAGCTGTTGCTCATGATGCAGCACGACATACCCAGACGCTCCACAGATATTCTGGTAAGAACATGTTTAAGGAAACTGTGAGCATGCAAGCTGAATGTTATGCTACATGGGGAACATGGAGTCTTCAGGTCTGCTTACTCCAGAAAATGGATGGGTTATACTGGGGTGCCTCTGGTTTGAGGTTACCTATCACTACCCTTGTTCACATTTTCATCCCACAGATGAGCCCATCCATCCTAGTGTGGGTAATCAACTCATCAATTTCAATCTGCACTTTTGCCCAACATCCATCTCAGACTAGATTATGTGTGAATATTCCCTGGCCAGGCTTTTATCTCCTCCTCCGCTCCCTTTCCAAGCTGTCACATTCCCTTGCCCCACTCTGAGGCCTCCGTTTCCTGCCAACTGCTCTTCTGAATTATTGATGCCGGTACTTCAGGAGCCATAATCAATAAAGCCAGCTTTTTCATCCTCCCCATCACCCCCACCCAGTTAAAAATGCTCAGAAGAGCAGCAGCCTTTGGGCCACCAATGAGTCAGCACCTTTGTGGGTTTGTGGAGAGTAGTAAAGATGGTGCTCTAAAGAACCGTGGGTTTCAAGGATGACTCTCCCAACACCATTAGTCCCTGGCATGGCATGCCTGTGATGATGCAGCAAGGCTTCAAAGCAGATGGCACCACCTCTCCAAACTACTAGGGGACACCACATTCCACCTTGAAGGGCCATGAATATGCCAAGGTTGTTAAGGGAGGGAGTTACTGGCATGGTGGGATATAAATAGCACTCAGAGAAAGCGTATACACCAAAGACGGGGACAACATCCTATCTGATGGCTCTAGAGCATGTGCAGACCATCTAGTTGCATGGGGTATTGGCAGGAACAAAGGGAAAAGCAAGCTGAAAATATAAGGGGCAGCCTGCCACCATTTCTATGTGTCTCCTTTTCTGGATACATCCTTAAACTTATATGTAAATAAAGCACTCTTTTCACTGCTCCCCATCCCCAATGCTAAGAAGTAGACTCATGTTGCTTGTAGGCTCAGTGATGTCTTTCTAAGCAAACGATGTCAAACCGCACATTGTGAAACACCAGTCATAAAGTCTGCACACATGACACTGTTTCACAGCATGAATGAAATGCAGAAGATGTGCACCAGCACATCTATACATTCAAAGGCGGTAGAAAAGTCCTCCCCCCCCCCCAATTTTTTTTATTTTGAAATAATAATGATCATCCTTGGTATTAGGTAGCACTTTAGAAGTCTTCAGAACACTCTGCATATACACTGTATTGTAATACAACAGTCATGTAAGGTAGGTCAGTGATATAATCTCCATATTTTATACAAGGAGGTAGATGAAGCTGAGAGAGGGAGGGTTGCCTAAGGCCACCCTTAAGACTTCACAGCAGAGACAAGATATGAAACGGGATCTTTCAGTTTTGCAGCTCTCTCTACCAGATGCACATTATCCATTTTCTATACATTTTAGTATAGAAAATTTTTCAGACATAAAAGGAGAGGCCATCACCTTCCGAGTTTTCTTGCCTTCAACACTTATGCCATCAACACCAGCTGCAATCCCTGGTACCATCCAATGCATGTGTGTTGCACAAAATACGTGTCAGGGTATCCATGAAGCCAAAATACACAAAGTTCATGACAGAGGCAATCAGAATGAAGTTCAAGACACATACCACTGCTTTAGCATAGGACAGTATGTATGCTATGCAAACTCTTAAAATAAAAATCTTGGACTAGGAAAACTCACATTCTGAGTTATTGCAAGAAAATGTTTCCCCCCCATGAAACCAGCAGCTGTGGCAGTAATGATGATCACCAGCTTTTTAAAAGGATTGCAGTCAGGACAGAATGTAACTCTTAACCAGTACTATAAGACACAGGATCAAACAAAGGAAACTCCTACCCCCAATATTCAAGATTGGTTACCAACAGATGGGGACAAAGAAAAGTGGATGACTTTCTCCATCACATCCAGGAGCATCTGGCTGGACACTGCTGGAGGGAGCATGCAGGACTAGTTGGACCGTAAGCCTAATCCACTGAATAATTATTCTGATCTTATCTCTGCAGCCATAAGAAACAAGCACTTGGGCTTGTAATGAAAGCATGGATTCTTAAGAGGCTGGATTGTGGGCCCCACAACAATCTCGACTTGTGCATGGCTCAGTCAAAGACCTGCTGAGTCTATTAATTAAGACAATCCTAGTTGTTCTTAGGTTACAGTAGCACCCCCATGCTCAGCCCCTGCAAAAAGTAAGAGAAAATGTTCCTGCCTATGGCCCCCCAAAGGCATAGGTAGCGAAGCTGGACAATGAAAGAGAAGAAGACAGAAAACTTGGCTTCAGTGCAGTTTTGATGGGAAGAGAAAAAGGTGGTGCAGCTCTTTCTTCATTGCTCCACCAATGGTACAGTAAGCCTGCTTTTCAGCCAGAGCTCACAGGAGAAACAGAAAGTGGGGCTGTTCATACGGATTATAGCCAAGGGCTGAATCCCAGCATTAACAATCTGGTATTATCAGGCCCCATTCAAGAGAAGCCATTTTTAACTTAGGGTTGGGATGTGGGAAATTCCTACAGATCTTTTATTTGCACTCTTCCACAATTAAAGATCAAAGAGATCCAACATATTTCAGTCTATAAAGCACAAAGCCTTGTATCCATTAACACAGCTTTCATTAGGATAAGGTCAGTGTTTCTGTGCTTCCACTCACAGCCACCTTGCTGAGTACTCAGCAGTTCTCGTGAGCCAAGACTGAGCCCTAGCACTGAGCCAAACCTTCCTTTGACAAATTCACCCTTTTCCATCTTTATGCCCGCACAATGCCAAACTGTATTTTAGCCTTTACCCAGTAATACTGCAATGCCAGCAGAGCTTTTTCCTCTGTGTGCATTACATTGCCAGGGGGGCAGGCCAGGCAGAATAAATTTCAAGGCCCCTCCTTAGAGTTGTTTATCTTTAAATGGACTTGCACCAGACGGCTCTTCAAATAGAACTTTCAGATAGAGGACTGTGCTTTCCATACTTCAGATAGAGGACCATGCAAATGATCACCTTATGTATGTAAGCGTTTATTAATAGTAAACAGACATTATTTGAGGGGCTTTTTTTAGTTTTGTCCTCGCCATACTTTTAAAGTTTTAGGATTCTTTTTCAGTTTTTCTTTTTTAAAAGTATTTGAATCTTACATTTTGTGGCATTTCATAGTATATAGAGTTTAATAGCAGAAAACGAGGTTTTTAAATATCTGGGGGAGGGGAAATATTCCCTGGGTAGAACATCGTCATGAAATACATAAACACAAACTCCTGTCAGCTGAGCACCATCCTGAAATTCAGTAGGCCTGGACAGATTTTACTTCTGCTTAAACAATCACAACTTGGTTATGGGAGACTAAAGGAGGGTTAACTCCTGCTCTCCAAGGGGACTAGTTTGACAGGAGGAACTGCTGTACCCATGCAGGAGAGGCAGAATAAAAGAATAAAATAACAATCACCAAAAGATTCACAAAATGGGAGGAAATCAAAAACCCACAGTAGGACAATACTTTAATTAGAACCAATCATGCTGCCACAAAATAATTCGCAAGTTTTTGATCTCTCCAGAACAGTTTCTCAGAATGTTAAACAAAAGAAAACAAGGTTGGAGCGAGGGGGGAGCTGTAGAATGAAACAGTCTTAAGATGGGCTCTGCTCTGTTGGGAACAAAAGGAGTAACGGTCTTACTAGAGTTTGCTATTTTGAAAAAAGAGCTACGTGTTCTACAGGTGTGGGGAACATTTGGCCTTCCTGGTGTTGCTGAACCACAACTCCCACCACCCTGGCCGTTGGCCATGCTTGTTGGGGCAGATGGGAGTTGTAGTCCAGTAACAACTTGAGGGCCAAAAGTTGTCCACACCTGTTGTGCAGTGAGCACAGAATTACAAAATGTTAAATCTGTGTATGTGTGTATTTTCACGTTTCCCTCATTTTGTGAGTGTGTGTGATTGTGTGTGTGTGTGTGTGTGTGTGTGTGTGTGTGTGTACAGTAGTATCTCGGTTTATGAACTTAATCCGTTCTGGAAGTCTGTTCTTAAACCAAAGCTGTTCTTAAACTGAGGTGCGCTTTCCCTAATGAAGCCTCCCACTGCCGGTGCCCTTCCACCGTTTGGCTTCTGTTCGTAGACCGAGGTAAAGTTCGGTAACCGGAACACTACTTCCGGTTTTGCGGAGTTCGTATACCAAATAGTTCGTAAACAGGGTTGTTCTTAAAGTGAGGTACCACTGTATACACACACACACACACTCACAAAATGAGGTAGACATGAGGATAGGAGAGTTGCTAATCATTAATTACACCGTGAATAATAATCCATAGGCTGCCCTGGCACTCACATTAGAGAGGCTTGTTTGGGATCAGGTGCCTCTGAATTGAATGACTTTCCAAGGGAGGACAGCAAATCGAAAAGAAGCTGCTTTCGCCATCCTGCACCATCTCGGGATTCATCGTCTCCCACCTACCTTGTCCTGCCCTTTTCTTATGCTGGGCAACAGCCAGAAAAAAGCCAGTCTAGTGCTTGGCATAGACACAGGGATGATCAGCATGGACTGCAGTGGGGCTGACTGCAGGGCCGCATCCATTAATATCTGCAAACCATTAGGGGATTTTGTTTCACCAGCTGGCATGATGCAGCAGTGCCTGGCCTGGGAGCACTTTTGTGGTCAGAAATAACACACGGAGGGAGGGGGAGGCAGGGGCCGGAGGATCAGCTCAGAAACAGGGATGGATCCTCACTCATGCCCTCGAGCAATGTACTTGCTGGGTGGGAAGGTGGAGACCAGGGCAGAGCCATATAGGCCAAAGAGAACAGGTAGGTTCTCATTTCTGCTTCAAGGATGACAAAAATTTGTGGGAGGGAAATGGCACATAAGAATTCCTCTCACAAGTTCCCAGCATTGTATCAGTCTTGAGCAGGGCAGTCTAGGGAACTTGTCTTGAGTTACAGGATTTCCCACAGACCTAGTAGCGATGGCAGGCTACTAGATCAGCTGACTGGCAGAACTTCAGGAGTCCCTTTTGGCCTGGTCATCTTTTACCTTGGCAGGTGGGTGTGACATGGCCAGAATGGCCTGAGGGCCCAATGATGTGAGGCCTGGCAGGCCTAATTAAGCCTATGGAAGTTCCCCTCTCCCACTGCTCTAAAATAAAACTGCAAATATCACAGTGCTGTTACACAAATCTACGGTGTGACTGCATTTGGAATATTGTGTACAGTCCTGGTCACCTCACCTCAAAAAGTATATTGTAGAGTTGGAAAAAAGTTTCAGAAAAGGGCAACCAATCTGATCACGGGGATGAAATAACTCCACTATGAGGAAAGGTTGCAGCATTTCAGGCTTCTTAGCTTAAAGAAAAGGTGAATGAGAGGTTTATAAAATTATGTGTGGCATGGAGAAAGTGAATAGAGAGCAGTTTTTCTCCTTACACTCATTGACATCCCATGAAGCTGAATGTCGAAAGATTCAGAGCAGATAAAAAGAAAGTACTTCTTCAGAAGGTTGACAGTTGAACTACGGAACTTGCTCCCACAGGAGGCAGCGATGGGCACCAATGTGGACAGCTTTAAAAGAGGATTAGATGGATTCATGGAGAATAACACTATCTGTGACTACTAGCTATGATGGCTATGCTCTGCCTCTGTGATCAGAGGCATTAGGTTTCTGAATGCCAGTTGCTGGAAACAGCAGGAGGGGAGAGTGCTCTTGAATTCAGGTCATGCTTGCAAGTTTCCCATATGTATCTGGCTGGCTATTGGGAGAACAAGAAGCTGGACTAGATAGGTCACTGGCTTGGTTAAGCAGACTCTTCTTACATTCTTACACCATTTACAAAGTGGTTGTGGAAGAAATGAAAAGCAGGGCTCACTCCCATCAGCTCTGCTGAAAGACCAGCTCCATCTGGCACATCCTGTCCCTGAACTATTTAACTTTAGGAATTGGTACCTGAGTTTGCTTTTCCCTCTTTGCTACCTGTCCATTTCCCCAGGTGTGTGCCATGCCTTTTATATTGTAAGCTTGTGGGCAGGGACTATCTTATTTGTATGTAAACCACTCTGGGAGCCTTTTGGGGGTACAAATGCACTAAATAGATAGATTAATAATTGTGGAGGACTAGGGACCTCTAGCCACATGCCTGCTCCTGTGCTCCTGCAAAGGTGCTGCAAATGACTCTTCATGCAGTTCTCAAGTCATTATTGTGCCCTACAAGACCAAATTATGGGGAACCACAGAGCAACCAATGACAACATTTTGCTGGACAAAGCAAAACAGGACTTGTCGTGGTACGCTATTCTTTAGTGGATGTACCTATATAGGCATAATATTCTGATTAGATACCATAATTGCAAATCAGAGGCATCAAATTTGATTAGGCCCTACACTTCATGCACAAGGAAAATAAAGAAGCATTCTAGAGAGACACTGTATAGGATCACAGGAAGGTGCCTTCTACTGAATCATACCATTGGTCCATCTAGCTCAGGGCTGTTTTGACTAAATGGCAGAAGCTCTCTGAGGTTTCAGGAAGGGGACATTCCCAGCCCTACCAGGAGTTGTCGACTGACCCTGGGACCTTCTGGATCCAAGGCAGATGCTCTAACACTGAATGCACTTCCTTTATGCATGTAGGCAACTGGCGTGGCTGCTAGAAGAGGCACAAAATGCACCCACCACAGAAACGAAGTGGGCTGTCAGAGGGTTAGGGAAGCCCCCTGCTCCACAGCCAGCAGAGAAATACAACAGGCTGCTGCAAGAAGGATGGAATTCTGCATCGCACCTCTACAAACCCCAGCAGGCCGTTAAATTCCCCCCCCCCCCAGGCTAGTGTGGGTTTATTGACAAGACTCCCTTTCTCTGTGATCTTGAACTGCCATTCTCTGCTATGTGACCCATTTTCCCTTACCCATCAATGTTACCATGTAGGTCGTGAACAGATTATTGGTTATGTTAATAGCAATGCATTTCTGGTTTTGTCTCTTTGCTAAGTTTATAGCCAGGGGTGACTGTCTATGCACGGGAAACAAGAGGTCAGACTACAATAGTGTTGTGAAACAGATAGATGACGAAGTGAAAGGTGCTTCGTAGGGCCATCTATAGAGATGGTGTTTTACTGGCTCTGCAGCCATGCTATGAAGAAGTGCGACCATCAGACAACTGGGGTGACTTGTTAACCTTGGATATGCCACAGTTTTATCTGCCAGACTATGATCTCTCTCCTTGTGTAGACACATATTGAATGTCTGCATCCTCTCAGGCAGAAAATCCATTCTAAAAACCAAACAGCCAAAGAATTAGACTCCACTCCCTGTAGCCCAAACTAAGTCATCTGCAAAGCAACTGGATGCTGTCCTCCAACACATAAATCTCTGGGAAGTCCCAGTCTCAAGCAGCAACAAGTAGAGCATCCACAGATCTCTGTCCAGAATGTCTGCACAAAGAGATAACGCAGCAGGCACAATGGAGGGGGCAGAGTTAAGCCCAACTCTCAGTGGAGAAAGCAGGCAGGAATGGAAAACCCATGAAAGGCAAAGCACCATAGCTGCAGCAAAGCATGTAATCCACTTCTGTGACACCTAACTTGCCCCTCTCCGCCAAAGGGGTGGGGCAAATGGGACTGGTTTTCCCCAAGGTTAAAGTAGGAACTGAAACAAACTTATTTACACTCGTGGCTACATGGCCAGTGTGAAAAGGACAGACAAAATGGAATGTCCCGTGAATGGGGAAGGGTGGGAAAGATCCTTTATGAGCTCCCAGAACCAAGAAATCTCCTCCAAAATATCATACTAAGCAATGGAGTCCAGCTCTGGGAGCAGCCTGTCACAGGGCAGGAGTAGGCAAGTGACACAAGGGTCAAACTATGCACAGAACATTCTTGCCCAAGCAGAATCTACGGTGGCTTGCTTGCTTTTCTTATTTCCCTGTCTCTGCTTCTTGGAACTGTATTGGTTTTCAGGGCTAATTCCCAGAGTTCTACAGGCAAGCAACCTCAGGCAACTTGTTCAACACTCAGGGCTTAGCCACACTTCCTCTCATTCTGCCACTTTCCCCTGGGGAAAACTCTGCTTTTTCAATTTGAGCAAACAGCAATTTGGCTTTCCCTGATTGCCATTTGTTCCAATCTATCACTAAAGAATGGCTTTTCACTTGCAGAGGAGCGGGGCAAGGGGAAAACCACTCAGACCTGTCCTTCCATGCATGGCACAAGTAGAAGTGCGGATGAGCCCACAGTGGAGAAAGAGCATGTGAGCCATCTAATCACCTGGTCAAACTATTACCCTTATATGGCGTCATCACATATTATTTTCATTCTGCAATGTTATAGGAATATTGGAAGCTGCCTTATACCATGTGAGATCACTGGTCCATCTAGCTCAGTACTAGATGGTGGGGATTGAACCTGGAAACCTTTGCATGCAAAGCACATGCGCTTCACTGAGTTACAGCCCTTCCTCTTCTATTTTTTTAAAAATAAATTTATTTAATTTTCAGATTTTGAAATTTATAATCAATCGTCAAGCAATCAAAATGAAAAGAGACTTCCATAAATTCCCATGGACTTCCCTCCTCCCCTTTGTGGGTCCTTATGTTAACATTTTTCCTCCTGCATCTTCCTCTTCTAAGTGCTGCAGTGAGGGACAATGGGTTCCTCCAGACAAGCACTATTTTCAGGGAGGGACTCAAGGGCATACTGGAAATATAGGTTTGTGCTGTTGAAGTGGATTAAAGTGATCTGTTGCCCCAGACTTTTTGCAGCTAAGAAAGTGACTAGGAAGTGCACTTAAAAGGATGGGATGAGCAAGCGATTAGTAAGAAGATCATTTCCTCTTAATCAGAATGAATGTTCATTGCCACATGACCCCCCTTGCAAATAAATCAGAATGAATGCTTAATAAAGCCTGGTCATAATCTAAGCTCCAGGTAAGATCTGTGCAAGCAAATTAGCACGAGTGCTTAATAAACAGGTCGCCTAGAGAAGCCCAGTCTCAAGGAAGTCTAGCATAGGAAGAGAGGGGCTGACACCTTGAAGCAGAAGGGCATTTGCAGAGTCCACCACATACAGAAACAGAGATCGTTATACAGGGCTCATCAATACTTTCACATTTCCGACTAGAATAAGCACACAGTGCCTGTCTCTAGTCATCCAATACTACTGCTTCACATGTGTTTATTGCCAACAGAAAGCAAGCTACCACCTCTATCAACATAATAACCCATACACACAGTGCCCCCTCCACCTTCCAATGCCATCCGTCACACATCTCCTGCTCAGGTTCACCATGCTTGTTTACCAGTCCACACTCCAAGCATGCACCCCTAAAATGTTTTTTGCATGCAAGGTGAACGCATGTATTAGTGGCACCAAGTTGGTACCACACTCGTGCCCACTTGCTACAGATCTAGATGGGGTTCAGAAAGTTCCATGGTTTCCTGCCTCTTTAAGAAGTCATCACCCTGGCAGGGGACACTGTGTCCAACACAGGCTTGTGGCTTAGATGACCTGCCTGCTTCGAAGTTCTACTTCCCCCAAGGCTCACCCATTTGGTGTAGAGCTTCTCTCTTACTTTGCACAAAGTACAAGTTTATTTTAGTTTCCAGTTCTCACCTTAAGGATAGGCATTGCTGCTTATCCTCTGTATTTAGCATAGTCTTCAACTGCACGTACTCCAAAAGGTGTACGACCCTTTCCACACTCTCATTGCCCCTTAGAGACCATCCAAGTATTATTATTTTTTATTTTCGAAGGGATAATAAAGCCTTCTGGGTTGCAGCAGAGGCTCCCTCTCCACTGTTGAACTAAACTTAACTACCCATTGCCCTGTCAAAAGTGATAGATTTGGCTAATCAAGGCTCACCCTACAACCAGCCGGAGGAGTACAGATTAAGCAGAGCCAGTTCCCCAGGACCACCCCTTTCCCTGTGCATTACCTTCCAAGGAGACCGGCTCAAAGAGTCCAAACTGCTCCAGCACCTTGACGAAGAGGACCAGAACCACCAACACGGCAATCATCTCCAGGCCTTCCAGGTTCATGGTGAAGGGGACTCATGGCATCAAGGCCCTCAAGCCCACCCGTGCCTGCTCTCCCAGCTCCTCACTCACCCCAGCTCAGCCAGGGTCACCCACATGCCCGTGGGTCCTTGTATTCCCTTTGAAACGCTGCTGCTGCTTTCAACCCTGCTGCTGAAGATCAGCCTCCATGAGGAACAGCACCGGGGGCACCTCTGACCCTCTCCCAAGGGGCACAGAGATTGCTGTGCCTGCTAAGGGGAGAAAAGGGTCACACAGTGCAGGGCAGGGAGTTTGCGAAGTCTGAGGCAGTGGAGTCTGAGCTGCGCTTGCCTGGCTCTCAGAGATGAAAGTGAGAGGGAGAGAGGGAGCGTGGCAGCAGCGCCAAGAGAGAAATGCAAGGGGGGGGGGAGAGAGGAATGTGTGCAGAAGGAGCCCTGCCCTCCCATCCCATCCCAATGACACCAACACAATTGATTTGCTTAATGCAGCTGCTAAGGAGATGGGAGAGTTAAGAGGATCTTGGCTTGTGCCCAGGAAAGTTCAGTGCAGATGGGAGGGGGCATTAAACAGGGAGAGACCCTCATGTGACGCCTCAACATGTCCAGTCCCAGCACTGCTGCGGGAGGACACCTGTATCTCTCTAGGCACTGCCCTTGCCCATCTCTTGCTGCAGAGGAAACAACGGAGCTTAAAATGTGCAGAGGACAACATACTCTGGAAAACTTCAACCCAGCCTGAGAGTCCACCCCCAGAACATCCAACTGAGCAAGGCTAGCCCATATGGTGACTACCAGTTTCTTAATGTTCTTCCCATCATCCTACATGGTTCTCCTTTTTATTTTTTTACAATGGTTCTCCTTGATAATTCCACCATCGCAAAGAGCATCCTAGCTGCCTCTGCTTGGAGAGTGTGTGTGTGTGTGTGTGTGTGTGTGTGTTGGTGGTTAAGAAGTATCATGCTGGATAAAAGGGTAAGGATTGCATAGTATCACAAGACCAAGGGGGAGGGTAATGATAAACTAGCTCACTGGACAGAGAAGGAACCCCCAATGCCTGACTTCAGAAGGAATCCCTATCTAAGGCAGCATCCAAGCCTTCAGAATTTCTTCCCCAATAATGCCCCACAGACGCCAAGGGGAGAGCTGGCCTGGGGGTGGAATTCTAGTGCCAGAGGAGAAAGCAGCCTGCTTTGCAGCTGGCAGCAGTCAGGTATATTTACTGATGTTGTTTCAGCCGCTACCTGTAAATTGATAGCCAGGGCTCAAAGCGGACACTAGAAATACACTACGCACACCAATATTCAGAAAGCTATTGATTGCCTGGCATGGGGAGGAGAAGGGTTTGTCAAATGATATAAAAGTAGAAGCATGGTAATAAAAATAGTCTACCAACACCTGACAGGTCCCCTACTTGTTCACCTTCTAGATACTTCTATTTATTTTTTCTACTGCCTGATTGTTGTTGTTTTTTAAATCCAGTCAGCAAAAACGGCACTAACAAAGACGTTGCCAAAGGTATGCAAGTTTCCCCCCCAGCCATCAACCTGATTGGCATCTAAAACACCTGACTAGCTTTCAAATCCATTCCTATCCCTGCCTAAGGAGGGAGAAGAGTGGGGAATGGGAGCATCCAATATCCCACGTACAAGTTCTACCACTTCTGGGTGTTTCCCAGACTGTGCCCCAAACTCCTTCAGCCCCAGCTTTTAGATACCTCCATTGTGCTGTTGGTGTTCTCCCTTAGCCCTTCTCACCCACCTGGTCTATATTTTTGTCACCACACATACCTAGAAGTGCCCGGATCTTAACAGCGTACTGAGCAGCAGCATTGGCAGTTTCTGACTGGCTAAGCCTTTCATTTGTAGAACTGGACGTGCCTGAACCAGAGTCAAGAAAAATGCCAGGGCCTGGTGCCAGGATTCAGGGGAGGGGGAGGGCCTGCCCAGGCTCTGCATATTACTCATACCAGCAGAGCCCAGGGGAGGCTGCCAGCCTGGCATTGGCGCCTGCTCTTCAGATAGACGAAACCTGAAACAAGAGCCCCAACTGTGGCCTGCTGGAAGAGGGCAAGGGTTGCCCAGGCCAACGATTCTCCCATTGCGAGAGTTAATTCCTTAATCCCCATAAACCATTGGTTATTATCGCTCATCAGAGACAACTCTGCACCCCAGTCCAGCCAGCCACTCTTATTACAGAGCAGAAGAGAAGAGTGCACTTATACCAATGGGATAGTGAGTAGAGATGTCAGTGTATGTGTCATCCCCATCCCTCTAGTCACTTTGAATCTCTTTCCAAATGTTGAGTCCAAAGGAGAAGAGGAACTGGGTACAGATGCCTGATGGATCTGGAGGGTTTTCCTACTCTCCCCCACCCCGCCAAACACCATCAGGTCAGGAGATTTTGCTCTGCAATTCTGAAGGGCTGGATTAAGCTAGCCTCGCTCGCTCATTCTGATGCATTCATTGCATCCAAGAAATCCCTCCTGCCAGGCATAAGCTTTCATGGACTAGCGTCCACTTCTTCAGATGCACAAAAGTGTTACCCTAAATTGGCAGTACATACACACAGTTGTGGAGAGGAAAGAATATGAGCTGTGAAGTCAGAGGGAGGTGGGGAAATAAGAGAACGCAGACTGTAACTTGTATGTTAAGGCTGAGTTAAATGTATGTAAAATCATTAGTAACCATTCACAAAGCAGTGTTGATGATGATGCACAGCATCTGTCCTTACAAAAGGGGTAAAATGTGCAAACTCATTTAGCAGAGATTCCCTGTTGAAAGACACAAAGCAATGTGTGTGGGAGATCCCGGAGCTTGAGCAGCTACACAGCTAAACTCTTGCAGAGAGTAGGCCTTTTTGCAGGGAAGCCGAGTGCTAACAGGTGCCAAAAGCCAGAGATACTGTTATCTCAATGCAGCCTCAGGACACAACAAAATCCCATCTCCTCCTTAATGTTCATGTATATGGGAGGGGCTGGGGAATCTTTGTATGATCCTTGTGACAGTGGATCTGGCACCCAGGTGAAATACTGTATGTAGTGAAATACAACACTAGAAAACTACCTCTTGCTATTAGGTCAGGATTTACAATTATAAGTATGTGTGTTGCCAACTGTGTGTGTGTGTGTGTGTGTATAGCTCCTGCCAACCTAGCAGTTCAAAAGCACTCCAGTGCAAGTAGATAAATAGGTACCACTGTGGCAGGAATATATATATATATATATATATATATATATATATATATATATGAGAAATAGGAGACAGAAGCTCTGGAACCAGTAGCCTTCAGACAGATAATGTGAAGGCAGCATTTATCCCCTTCAGTGAAAAGCTATTGCAAAGTCAGCCACAGTCCACTACAGTCCATACACTCTGAAGTATGGGGTGCTGTCATCCTGCACACTGCTTAGTCCGGCAGCAGCTCCTTTACACAGAATAAAAATTCACAGAAGTGGAAAGTGTCTATCAAAAGGCAATCTATTCCAGCAGTGAGACAGAATTACGCATCTACCAGCCAACTCCTTTCAAACTAAGCCAAGGTCAGTTTGGCACAAAGAGAGGCTGATCTGTTCTCAACCTTAAATCCATGCAAACGGAGGCTTGTCGTGTTCCAACTCAGGACAGTGTTAAAAGGGCTTCAGGAAGCTATGGGCACAAGGATGACCAGGGTTGAAGTACCAGAACAGGGTCATCACCAACAAAAGGAGCAGGTCAAAGTAGCTGTAAGCCAACACAGCAATTATCATCCTGACTATAATAGCCATGAGCTCAGCAACACCAGCAGAAGGTTACACCCACAGATTCTTTTAGTTATAAGATACAGAAGTGGGGAGTGTGACAAGAGGCTCTCTTTGACCTTGCCCCTTCCTTTGAACTTAAATGGACTCTTCTAGAAACAAGGGCTTCTTGGCTTGTTTGCACTGTGCGCTGAGGTTCTGTGGGGTGGGTGCTCTTCACATAGATGAAGCAGAACGGGGTGCTCTGCAAGTGCTTGTGTGGTATCCAAGAAACATCTGGGGAACTTCACCTGCTTGGAAAACCTCAAGACAATAAACATCTGGCACCAAATTAGTGGTAGCTAGTGGTTTCCAGTGGGGGCTGGCTTGGGACAATGTGCCTCACCCCACCTTGCTTTGCCAAGAGGATCACATCGTTCCCACAACAGCCCACCAGCCACACTTTTGAAACCCGGATGATGAGATGAAGGACAGTCAGGTCACAACACAAATAAAGCTCAAAAAAGAATCAGCGCAACACTAATTTTTAATTGCTTTCACACTAGCACTCTGCTCAAGACTGCTGCCATCACCACACCATGTATTTAAGCTAATTCCATGTAGATAAATAGAGATGGTTCACATACATCGTACACATATGCACATGAAACTCCAAGCTGATGTGAAGCCTAAGTACTCCTTTCTTATTTAACTCATAAGGATCTTTTGGCCCACTCTACTAAAGAATATTAAGGCAAGCAGGTTGAAGTGTATGGGGGTTACATTTCCTGCTCCTATTTCCAGGTATAGTTCACAATCTCAGGAGCCAGGTGCTTCTGCAAAGCAATCAAAGCATTCTGATAAAACTGCAGATTGGAACAAACGGCAATATATATGTTATCGCAGTGAGATGAAGAGTGTTACTTGATCAGCACTTCCAAGCTGTGTCTTGTTAAGCAATGGACTTAGCCTGCTGGAGGACTTTAAAGCATGAGGAGATAATAAAAGACAAACTAAATGCTTCATTTCTGTGGTTTTTCAATTTTGGTTAATGAAGTTAATATACAGGACATGCATTATTCCCCTTTTCTCCAGAATTACTTTTTTATTGTTGAACATGGTCTACGGCCTTGCATGGACGATGCCCTTATATTGCAGGGACGTTACTCCCACCCACCCATATTAGATATTTCAGACATGAGAAAATGTGACACTTTCCACAGAAGCAATCTCAATAGCTGTGGATGTCTAATGGGGCTGTGGATAAACAAATATTGCATATGGTACAATATATCATTAGTGAGAAGTAGCAACAAACCAACTATGTGCAATCTTTTTAAATATATATATATATATATATATATATATATATATATATATATACATACACACACATGCCTTCCCTGGTTGCGTGCCACAGTTGCTCACCAGTGCAACCTTGGGGTACAAGAGAACATTGAGCTCAATTTTTAAAAAAAGAATCCAAAAAGCAACAACATTATCCTCCTCCCTACCAATTAGCTTTCAATTTAAAACAGAATTCACCATGAGGGGAGGGAAGCAATGTACTCCCCTGGTCTATAATCCATCAAGACCTTAGGAGCCGGTCCTTCTCATATACTCCAGTGATGCTGTTTACATTGATGTGTGAATGGATGAAAATTGATTGCTGCATGCACAAGCCAAGACCTGAACACCAACAACCTTCTTTGTGCTCCATTCTGAAGCCACTAATTTTGCTGTCAATATCCAATCTGGGCTCCCTGCTTGAGGGGAGGAGACAGCAAGATCACACAGGCACACACCAGAGTGGCCTCTAGTGGTCAAATGTTACCGCTGCATGAAAACGTGGGCTCCTCCAGAGAGGAAGGTTAGAACGTGTCCAGTCTTTGTTGAACATTTGTCCTGATCAGTTAATGGGGTGGTTATATGACAATGAGCATTTGTCCTGATTTGCTTGTGCACTTTTTATCCATCTTCCTGTGTCATTTGTTCATCTCACACTTTTCAGTGCATTTCCCTGTCACCTTCCTAGCAGCAAAAAGTTAAATAAATAAATAGTGATATTTATCCACTATGTGGGCAGAGTGCAAACTTAAACTTCCAGTAGGCACTTTAATCACTCACGCAAAATACTGACAGCCTGGAGGCAATCTGAGAATTAGCCACTTTGAAAAGTCCACTTAAAGAACAAGACCCATAAATTAAGATCATCCCAGAGCCACCTGTGGGCACACACATACAGGATCGCATGACATGATAGTGTTACTCCTTAACAACTATTAAATACCTTGTTGTTCTCACACAGTATGGGTGATTAAATGCAAAAGATTTCCCACTCTTTCCAGGCATACTTAGAATGGAGTTGGACTGCAAGCACAGATCCAGGAATAATTCCAGATTAATCAACAGAGCTGGGATCTGTTGTCCCCATGCCAGGTACTGCAAAGGAGATGTGGGTTAGTGGGATCTCATGCTCCAATGATCTATTGTTAACATGTTGTTTGCTTGTTTAGCGTTAGTGCTTGAGAAGATTAGTACAAGGGGATAATACAGAACAAGATAAACAAAAAGAACAAGATAGCAACTAGTCAAAGCAGAGGGGAACAGAGATTTTGTACATAACGAAGCTACAAAACTACAAAGGCGGGAGAACAAAGGCTTAGTGCAATTTATTCAAGCGATTAACAAAATTCTAAATATGAATGTATTTAGAATCATATTTAAAGACTATTTACAGAAATATTGCAAAATTAATGAATGTTAGAATGATGTTGGATTGAAGTTAAGTGGTTTCTAGCTGTAATGGTATAAAAGAATATGAAAGAATTGGATTTTTAACAGGTAAAAATTTAATGCTATAATATATTAAGATTAAAGATCAGGATAAAATAAGGAGGGAAAGGAATTGCCGAACTAATAAATTGAACTGGAATACAAAAAAGGGAGGTATGAGGAGGTCCGGGAAACAAGCAAATGAAAGATAAGTGACAAAAAGATGGAATTGTTTTTAACTGTTTTTTATTTTGTATTTTTTCTTTTTTCTTTTTCATTATGTAATATTGTGAAAACTTTAATAAATATTTATAAATAAATAAATAAATAAAAATTCTAAATATGGCCAGAATGATATTTGGGGAGATACAGAACAAAACAAAAGCACTGCTCTAAAATGCAGCTTCATTACACCCTCTGGTGGCTAAAGTCTACCTGGACAACCACAAACAAGAGTTCAGCATCCATTTGTACCACATCTTGCTAATCCCTGGCTTCAGATTAGTTCTTTCCCCTGCCGTGTGCCAGGAATCTTCTCTCCTTCCTCCATCTGGAAACCTCCCTTGCTCAGGTTTCCTAGCAATAACCAAGGCCAAAACCTTCAGAATTACTAAACAGAACTGTTTTTGTGCTTCAGGCAGATAAAACCTTTTGAGCTTTCTTTCTTTTCTTTTGAAAAAAACACACTAATGCACTCGGCTGGCATGAAATCTCCAAAAAAGTAGAAGACTATTAAAAGCATTTTTTTATTTTTATTTTTGTAAAGCTGGTCATCTTGTTGTGGAACCACCAAACAAATTTTAAACATCAGGATTTAAATTACCTCACTGCCAACCATCATAGTGGCTGTCAAACGCAAAATAGTTTCTCATGAAACATGCACGTTCAGACACATATGAATAACAAGATTCTAAAACAGATTCATGTAGTTAGAACATTTACTACCTAACATTTCTATTAACAATCAGCAGTGCATTTAAGTTCCAACTCACGCATTAATATGCATTGAAAATGTAATCCCTTTGCCACAAAAGGAAAATGACTATTGTTCAGTTGTTTACATAGGTTAAGGTGCCACAAGTGCTTTTGTTGTTTGTGCTGCAATGGACTCACAGGGTTAACCTTCTGAAAGGATGTTAAAGGTTGAGTAATCCACACTGATTCATACAAAACACACCTTCTACCTCAGAGGTAGGGAACCTGTGGCAGTCCAAATGTTGGACTCCAACTCCCATCAGCCCCAGCTAGCATGGTTATTGGTCAGGGTACGTTTCCGAGCACAATTCAAAGTGTTGGTGCTGACCTTTAAAGCCCTAAACGGCCTCGGTCCAGTATACCTGAAGGAGCGTCTCCACCCCCATCGTTCTACCCGGACACTGAGGTCCAGCACCGAGGGCCTTCTGGCGGTTCCCTCACTGCGAGAAGCCAAGTTACAGGGAACCAGGCAGAGGGCCTTCTCGGTAGTGGCGCTCTCCCTGTGGAACGCCCTCCCACCAGATGTCAAAGAGAACAACAACTACCAGACTTTTAGAAGGCATCTGAAGGCAGCACTGTTTAGGGATGCTTTTAATGTTTGATGTATCACAGTATTTTAATATTCTTTTGGAAGCCGCCCAGAGTGGCTGGGGAGGCCCAGCCAGATGGGCGGGGTATAAATAATAAATTATTATTATTAATATATTATTATCAGGGATGATGGGAGTTGTAATCCAGCAACATCTGGAGGACCACGGTTTCCCCATCCCTACTTTACCTCATGAATGTCATATGGGAAATGAGACTGGAATGTAAATGATGCAGCAACTTGTCTGGAAGCACCAGAGACAATAAGGGAGAAACTTCTTCAAGCGAAGTTAAGAGCAATACTTGCCTACAGTGATCAAGAACCTGGAGCAACTATTCAAACATGTGGGCTAAAGTCAAGGAAGATTCCACATTGTTGGATCCATTCAATGCCTACATATGCAATAAAGTACTTCTCTCTTTAATGAATGTGTAATTTTAAATACACACTCCTTGAAACAGTGAAGGTTTTTTGTTTTGGCTTTTTTAAAAAGGGTTTGTTATTAATTTGCCATTACATATGGTTCCATCTTATCTGTGACCAAGGTGTCACTTGTTGTAGCTGCAAAATTAATACTGCAAATGCAGAAGCATGCAAAATGACGTATTGGCCTGCTAAGGCTTATCGTTGCACCGATTCTCCAATCTAATTCACAATTATTATAAATTCGTCTTTGATTTAGCAAGTCATCTTTCCATGCAGGTGAGCAAAAGAACTCTGGGAAGTCGGGGAGATAACATTAAAAGGATTTACGACTGAGCCTATTCTTGTCTCTGAACGCAGCCGAGCCCTAAATTGAATCACCCTTTCCATTCCACAAATCTGTAGCATATTAATTGCAAAACTATGTAGGGAAATGAAGCTTCAAAGGAAGGCCATGGTTTGGTTGGGATTGTGAAGAGTTAAGCATTTGATCTCACAGGGGTGAATTCTCTGTATTTGACTGTAGATACCTTCTGTTCCTACCCTCCTTTTCACAGATTTTTCTTTTAAAAATGTTTCTTAAAATAATGAGGCCTTCTATGTGCCTGGTAATGAAGCACATGAACTGTCCAGGGTGCTGAAACGGCAAGCTGCTCAGATCCAAATGCAAGAGCAAAATTCCTTCTAACATCCTGCATTATTTGTAGGGGTTCTGTGGGGTGGATGCTTTTCAGGTAGATGAAGCAGAACTCAGGGGGTGTTGTGCAAGGACATGGGTGGTATGCAAGAAACATCTGGGGACCCACATCTACTCGGGGACCCTTAAGACAATAATAGTCTGGCACCACTTTAGTGGGAGCTAGTGACACTGACTTGGGACAATATTCCTCACACCACCGTGCTTTCTTAGCCATAAAGTGGCCAAGTGGATTTCATCACTCCCACAGCAGCCCACCATCCATACTTTGGAAACCTGGATGGTGAAATGAAGGACACGCATGTGACAACGCAGCCTAGAGGAAAGCGGGAAGTAGGCAGCCTAGAGGAAATTCAGGAAGAGAAGGTGAAGTCTGGTAAGAACGGAAGCAGAGAATGGCATTATGCGGCAGAGGAATCTGGAACATAGCATTTAGCAACGCACTACAGACACAAGAGATTCAGGCTTTAAATGTAGGATTGGGCAGCTCCTGGTTGGAGAAACAACTCCTGCATTCTTTGGTAGATAGCTTAGCAGGGCTTGGAGGTGGCTCAGCCCAGGCTTGGGATGTTAACAGTCTAGTCTGATAGGCCTGGGTCTGCCTCACTTCTTCCTCCATATGGTTCCCCCCAGGGAGCAGCAATTTTTCATCTGAGGAGGACTCCTCTAGCAGAGGCATGACAGAAGGCATGAAGGAAACTGATGCAAAAGACCACTAATAATCACATCCCCCTCTTCCTGAATAAGGGTAGCTTAATTTTCATGCCCAAATTTAAGCTCAAAAAAATCTGTGCAACCTTAATTTTTAATTGCTTTCACCCTAGCACCCTGCTCAAGACTGCTGACATCGCCACACCATGTATTTAAGCTAATTCCATGTAGATAAATAGAGATGGTTCACATACACCATACATCCCCATCCCCACCCCCACCTTCCCACACACTCCCTCCCACCCTCACATCCCACAACTCGAAACTGATGTGAAGCCTAAGTACTCCTTTCTTATTTAACTCATAAGGATCTCATGGCCCACTCTTCTAAAGAATAGATCAAGCAGGTTGAAGCGTATGTGGGTTACATTTCCTGCTCCTATTTTCAGGTATAGTTTATAATCTCAGGAGCCAGGTGCTTCTGGAAACCAATCAAAGCATTCTGATAAAACTGCAAATTAGAACAAACGGCAGTATATATGTCATCCCAGTGAGAGATGAAGAATGCTAGTTGATCAGCACTTCCAAGGAACTGTCTACACAAGTTGTGTCTGGTCAGGCGATTGCAAAAGATAGACTGAATACTTCACTTCTGTGGCTTTTCAATGGCTTACACTTTTCAGAATGGCTCCTTTTTGGTTAATACAGGACATACATATTCCACTTTTCTCCAGAATTACTTTTTTTTGCTGAACACAGTTCACATGCCTTTCATGGAAGATGGCCTTATGTTTCAGGGACATCACTCCTACACTCCCCCATATTAGAAATATAAGACCTGAAAAAATGTGACACTTTGCACAGATGGCAATCTCAATAGCTGTGTATGTTCAGTGTGGACAAACATAATGTAGACAGTATAGAATACAGAATAAGCTTCTCTCTCCAGTCTTCTTCACAGCCCCTGACCTATTGTGTCCTAGAACCTGGCGTCCAGCCTTAGTCTTCATTTGCCTGCAGCGCTCCTGCCTCAGTTCACAAGTCTATGCCTGGCTTCCATGTTGCTGGGAACTGGACACAATTCCAGCACTGGCACATTCATCCAAACAACAGCAACTAAAACTTAAATAAGCAGCAAAGGCATCAAAATTACATCCACCCACTAACTCTTAGCTGCCTTGAGTTCACAGAATCATGAATTGGGAGAGACATTGGGGGCCATCAAATCTAACCCCTGTGGTCAATGAATGAATCTTCTTGGTACATCAGGAATGGGGAAGCTTTGGGTATGGTCAGGCTCCAACACTTATCAGCTCCAGCTGGTATGGCCAATGGTCGGGGAAAATGAGTGGGTTTATGAGTGGGTAGGGGTTCTTAAATGGCAATGTATGTTGCTTCACTTCCTGCACACAGTGGTGAATCCCCCCTCCTGCTGCCTATGTGGGAGGGGGCTACCCATTCTGCTGAGTGAGGCCCTGGACTCCTGCTCTGAAGACCTGCCCTGGCACCACTGTGTGATGGACTACATGTAGTTAGTGGGAGTTACTCCAAAAAGGGGGAAAGGAGAAACAGCAGCAATAGTGCACTCTTAGTACTGGATTCAAATTTGCAAGAGCATCACACAAATCAGGAAATGTGGCTGGGGCACTTTTGTTTGATCCTGCAGAAAGGACTTCAGTCTTGACTTATTGTCCTTATAATGGAAATTGCAATGACCTACTTCACAGGGATAGAGAGGCAAGTGAGATGACAAGTAGTAAAGCACTTGACATACTGAAGTGCTTCAGAAATTATTTATAACAAATAAGCGACATCACTCTGAATTCATTAATAGCAAGTAGCAAATTCACAAATGAATTACCAACAAATGCTTCTGTCAGTATAGAATACTGAGCCCATAAATCTGGGGTGGAAAGAAGAGATGAGACTCTGAAATTTTGTCCAGTTTGCTTTCGCTTTGCTCTTGAGTTTTTAAGTGTCAGCACTTGGCAGGCACCCACCCACCCACCCTCTTCCTCTCTCTGTTGGTTCGGCCCTCTTAATGCATTGGGCCCCACAGCTTGCAGCCTCCTCTTTGCACCTTCTGAGGCAGGGAACTTGGATGCACTGAAAGCTATATTAAAGTTAGAAGGTATCGATTCTGTATTTCAGGAGTGGGGCAACCTGTGGCCCTCTGGATGTTTCTGGCATACAACTCCCATCATCCCTGATCATTGGGCCATGCTGGCAGAGGGCTGATGGAAACTGGAGTCCAACAATGTCTGGAGGGCCATAGGTTCCCCATCCCTGTTGTATTTCATGCGACACCTCTGTTGTCTGAAACACAGCTGCTGCTCCTGCTGAAGAAACCCTACTTCCTGCTCCAAATGGGCATGGCAGGCAGGGTCCCTGCCAAGAAACTAGTCCGCAGCTGTGTCTAAAAGCATTTGAAAGAAATGGTACAGCAGGGCTAATTGAAGGCATGGAGGACCTTGCCTGAAAATTACATTCACACTTAGGGAGACTGGATGCTGACGTCGGTCTCATTTGACTATAACAGCCAGTGTGTTAGATTAGAACTGGGGAGGCCTAGGCTGAAATCCCCACTCAGTGTGGGTAGCAGCTATCTCTCAGCCTAACCTACCTCACAGGGTTGTTGTGGAGAACCACATATACTGCCTTGAGTTCCTTGCAGGAAAGGTAGGATAGAAATGTAATGAACAAGCAAACACATGTCAAGCAGCTAAGGACTATGGGCACACAGAATAGCAGTGTAGAGTCTACAATGCAAGCCTATTTGGAGCCCTGTGGTGGAGGAGGTGGGGGGGCAGAAATGCCCAGGATTCCCCCATTCAGGCCATATCCTGGCCCCTGTGCTCACAAGCACAGAGTCCTGCCAAAGACTCCTCTAGCCCAACTTCCTGCTCTCACAGTGGCCAACCAGATGGCCATTATAGGAAACCCGCAAGCAGGACTTGAGTGCAATAGCACTCTCTCCACTTCTGATTCCCAGCAACTGACATTCAGAGGCATCGAGCCTCTAACAGTGGAGGCAAAGCAGAGGCATCATGGCTAGGAGTCACCGGCTACAAGCCTTCTTCTCCACGTGCTTGTCTGCTTTTAAAGCCATCCAAGTCGGTGGCCACGACTACATCTTGTGTGAGCAAACTACACAGTTTAACTACGTGATGGTGTGAAGAAGGACTTTCTTATGTTTGCCTTGAATCTTCTGACGTTGAGCTTCATTGGATGGTCCTGGAGTTCTGGTATTACAAAAGAGGGAGAAAAAACATCCACTTTCTCCACACCATGTATAATCTTAATACACCTCTTTCGTGTCCCCTGTACTTTGTCCTTTCTCTAAACTAAAAAAAAAAAAAAAGGCTGTCCTTCTGGAATGGATTTTCAGCCTCTACAGCAAATGGTACTATCCATTATCATAACCAGGGTTGCCATCTTCTTTTTCGTTCAAAAGCACCATCTCCTTCTCAGGTCAGTTTCTCTCTCTCTCTCTCTCTCTCTCTCTCTCTCTCTCTCTCTCTCTGCATGTACCTTGCATCCCTCTCTATGCATGTACCAGGCACAACTGCCTAGTAGTTGGTCTAGCACATGGGTAGGCAAACTAAGGCCCGGGGGCCAGATCCGGCCCAATCGCCTTCTAAATGCGGCCTGCGAACGGTCTGGGAACCAGCGTGTTTTTACATGAGTAGAATGTGCCTTTTTATTTAAAATGCATCTCTGGGTTATTTGTGGGGCATAGGAATTCATTCATTTTCCCTCCAAAATATAGTCCGGTCCCCCACAAGGTCTGAGGGATTGCAGCCAAAGCCTATCTCTCACTCTGCCTGTGGACAGCTCCAAACTAGTCCTTGTCTTCACCTTCACTTTTCTCAATCTGTTCCCTGCCGTTTTGTGTATGTGTAAAATCATACTGTATAACTGGCAGAAGAACCACCCTGATGAAGCTTCTCAGACAACAACAGCAACAAACTGCAGTGCTCTGTCAAAAGAACTGAGAACTACAACATGATCCAAAGAATGGACTGCAAAGTGCCAGTCTTTCCTACCCATAACCCCCACCTCCACAAACACTGCTGGCATTACAGAGTGCCAACATGATGGAAAGGAGCACAATATGTCATCTGGTCATAAACTGTACGCTAAAGTCCAGCGAAGCTAAGGCAGTGGCATCCATCGCACCCACACCACCAACTTCTGGTGCTTATGGAACTCACAGCACCTAAGACCTATTATTCCCACTTCAGAACTGGGGAAAGCTAATTTCCCTACTTCTCTATATTGTGAAAATCACTCAGAGTTCAGAATCAAAGGACAATTATTCAGGGAGCATCCCATTCAGCAAGAGCAACTCCAGAAATAGAGCTGAACACACAAAGCATTGATCTTGGATGCTCAATTCAGAAGCACAAAGATCAGGGTGCTTTGATAATAATTAAGAGCATGCACAGAGTGCTTTCTCCTATCTCCAAGTAACCATAACTAGACACAACACAACTGGGTTTAGATGGGAAAAAACCCACCACAGAGAATGATAACCTTCTGCGGTTCTCCAAAGTCTCCCTTTAGGAATTTAAGCCCCAAGGCTGTCCATTAGACCACTGGTCTTCAGCTGGTGAGTTGGGACCCACTATTGGGTTGCAGCCGAATCCAAGGTGAGCCACAACAGGAGCACTACCATCATGCAAATATATGGTAAAAGATTAAGAAGTAGACCCCCAAATGAATGTTTGGACTAAAAGCGGGTCCTGGATCTCAAAACGCTGAAGACTACCGCATTAGACCATGTGTTAATTTGGGAACACGGATCAGTGCACAGGTATGGGGACTTTATAAACTGAGGGGAACTGGGTAGCCCACTGCCAACATGCTAAGAGATCAGGGACCCAGGGAAGGAAGAAAAGTGCAGGTAGAGTAAAGCAATTGCAGAAGAAGAAAAAGAGAAGACACTGTGGCTGTAAAGGAGCTGGGAGCCCCTAATCCTTGCTGCCTGCTATGCGGCAAGAAACCCCTTTCCTCCCAGTTCCCAGCGTTTCCACCTGGGGTTTGCCTTCAGCACTTCCTTTCCACCAGACACCCTCCACCCCCCGCAGCCCACAATTTACCTTCAATGCCACTGAGGATCTTGAAGCACTTGGTCGTGAACCAGTAGGACATGACCAGGAGGATGACGATAAGGGAGGCATACAAGAGGCTGTCACTGTGTGGCGTTTCCCTCTCCATGTCTCCATGCCAGATGCGTTGCCCACCCTGCTTTCCCTTGGCTCCCCCTGGTCCTCTGCTATGTTGGTGCCAGCCTCTTCCAGGCAGATTCAGAGCCACCCTCAGCCCCGTGCACAAACGAGGCTCCCCAAACCAATTACATTAATTGTTCTCCTTCCAACACATGGCGTCTGTCTAAAAATAACTGGCTGGCCCGGGGGGAGCCCAGTGGGGTGAGCATTGGAGAAGGGGAAGGTGAGCTACTTGGGCAGGATCAGGACCTACTGCGTTGGATCTTCCTGTGTGAACTCACAACCCCCCACTCCACCCCACAAACTGAGGCCGCCTCTGTCCCACAGCAAAGATTGCCACCTGGCAGTTTGGGGCTTCCCTCCCCCCTCCCCATGGAGCTTTATATATAATGAATGGGAAGATATTAAATTGTGCTTAATTAAACTGCACATTAAATGAATGCGCAGAAGTAGCTGGGTTTCTGCTTTGCTTTTTGCCTGCTTGAAGAAGCAGTAACTCCCTCCACAGCTCAAATCTCCCCCAAGGTAAGATATGGAGGCCAGGAGTGCCCATCCTCACCTACGGCAACTTCTTATGGTCTTTCAAATTTAATTCTTACTCACACACACTTCCTTCCTCTTCCCTAAGCCAACTGCTTAGAGCAGCAGGGCTCACTGTTCTGAAACCATGGTTAGATATAAATATGGAGGTCTTTTGTGCCCCACCCAGGGAGTAAATGGTCGGCAGGGAGCTGCCCTATAATCTCAGACCATTGACTCATCTTGATCAGCATTGTCCAGATCAGTCTTCTAAAATGAGTCCTCAGATGTTGTTGGACTACAACTCCCATCATCCCTGACCACTGGCTAAGTTGGCTGGGTATGATAGGAGTTGTAGTCCATCAACATCTGGAAGACACCCTTAGTCTAAATTCACTAGCAGCAGTCCTCCAAGCTTTTTGCCAGGGGTCTACCCCAGCCCTATCTACAAACTTTGCTTCAACTCTTCTCCAGGAGGCAGGAGGTGCCAATTAAGAAGCACTATGTCTCTGAAGTCTGTGCGTGTGCACACATGTGTGCGCACATGCATGAGTGTGATCAGTTAAGCTTCACCCACCTCCAGATGCCCAAATAGCTTTGCTCTCAAATTTCAGCAGCAACTGAAGGAAGTGTTTTACTAGCAGTATTCATTGCATCAAAGCTGAGAAGCAGCAATCGAGCCTAGTGTTTAAAATGAAGGAAGCAAACTTTCTGGTTAGACAGAATGCTTCCTTAGCTGCAGATGTTCTCAGCAACAAACAAACAATAGTTGGCTGATATCAAAGACAGGCATAGGGAAGGAGCAGAAGCTCTCCACAGGCAATACACTAAAAGCAATCTCTGTTAAACAAAAGGGGTACCTGGGAGTAACAGTCCAAACACTTCATGTCACCACTGGGTAACCCACAGGAATAAACAGTGTCACCTTCTTCCATTTCAGAAAGGGAGAATTTTCCTCCTTCACTCACGAAGTTACTGCATTTTTACAACACAGACAGACCAAGAGGAAACAGGTGTATTAAGCCCTAGGTATCTGTAAGTCTCTCTCTAAACACTAACCAGACATGATTAACCTGAGCTGCGTAATGGGTTACCTTTAGCACAACAAAGATAGTCCTCCAAATATAAGTACCCTGAAATGCAGCATACACAAGCAACATTGCCTCCTCCAGCCCTTCACCACAATCCTTTTGTGATCTACATGTGAAGCAGATGACAATGTCCAGGGATCTGGGTTCAGTCGCTCACCCTTTGGCCTAATAATACTACTGTATAATAATATAGCATCTTCAAATGTTCAAAGCACTTAGGATAACAAGAAACTGCCTTATACAGAATCAGACCATTGGTCCATCTAGTTTAGTATTGTCTACACTGACAGTGGCTCTCCGGGGTTTCAGACAGCCTCTCCCTGCTGGGGATTGAACCTGAGACCTTCTGCATGCAAGGCAAATCCTCTACCACTGAGCTATGACTTTTCTACACGTAGCCTGTGTTGCCATAAGTGCACCACTGTGCTGTCACCTTTGCACGCAGTCAGAGTCTAAGAACCAGGTGTCATCACCCCACTTATCTCCCTCTATATGTAAAATAAAGCTGTGAATACACACACACACACACAACCACCCACCAGTTCCCTGGCGAGACAGTGCTGGCACTCAGCTAAAATTAAACAGTCACCCACCTGCCTGGGTAAAAATAGCAGACAGAGTTGCACATCGGCAAGGCTTCAAGCACGGCCACTAATTTTCCATGCCATTGTGAATGTGTGGCCCCATGACCCTACAGCCTGCCCACATCAAGCACTGTGCAGGATGGGTTGTCAGATCACAAAAAGCCATCTGCATTCAATTTTTTAAAAAACCAAAACCCAGGATGGTCGCCTTCTTCTGCAAGCCCAAGGGAGACTGGAGGTATTTGGAGAATTTGAGCTGAAGGCTCTGGACACCAGAGCATCCTTCAAACCTCTCTCCCCAAAAATAAGCCAAAAATGCAGGCAGCATTTTCTGGATACCACGCCGTGCAAGACCATCACAAAACACTTGGCAGATTCCCAGATCTGATCTAGAGATGAGAAAGGTGATCCCAGGAAGAGCTTGCTCTTTGCCAAGACAGCCAGAACCACATCAGGGAGCAGCAAGGGAGGCGGGCGACTCCATCAAGGCCTCTCTTTAGGATTCTGGCTGTCCTCGAATCAGCTCACTGAGGGAAGAACTGTGTGCCAAGAACAATCCTGCTCTCTTGACACAAACATTTCCACCCGCTCTGTTCCTAGATATAACCTTGAGGAGGAGGGAGCACTTCCAGGGAGGGGCTGCTCTCTAGAATCTGCAGGTAGAACTATATAACTGCGTTGTAAAGACTGTAACTTTAAGAACTGGTTCCTGAGCTTGCTGTTTCCTTCCTCCCTCCTCACCCTTTTTCCTTCTGTGCCGTGTCTTCTTAGAGAGTCCCTGTCCTCAGGCTTACAATCCTACTACTGGTTATTGTAAGCTGCCCTGGGATCCTATTTATCTGAACAGCATAAATATTATATATATATTCCAACACAATCCCATCTCTGTCAGTTATGGGTTAATTATACACACCCCAGCTTTGATTTCTTTCTGAAATAGGGCAATGGATCACATGGACCATTTCATAGTTATATAACAGCAACAGTTTCCTTAAAACGCAACTCAGCCAGCAGCGGAACGTGGGTCCTACAGAATTTGAATCTGCCTGTGCCGTCTGTTCAGCTAAGGCAATGCTCAGGAAATGAGGGTTCATCACTGATGACATGGGTGCCATTTCCTGCAGCTGGGAGCCCACTCACCTAGATTACCTGGCCTGGTCAGGCTGATCTAATGATGGCTAATACCTTCTTTTCTTCTTCTTCTTCTTCTTTTTGCTTTATCTGTCCATTAGGAGAGTTAAATTTAGGTCACAGCTGAATCTTATTACAGAGCTGCTAATCAGAGTGGGAGCTGATTATTAATAAAGCACAGCCAAATATTGACAAAAGGCTATTTTTGGCTACAGATGTTACTGTTTCAATCTGGTTAATTGATCTGGAATCATTTCTCTTCGCCCAGCGTCACAGGGAGCTCACAGCATTCCAGGGCACTTTTAACAGGGGAGTCTGTGCTTTATTTGGACTGGGCCCAGCTCTAATGGCATGTGAATGAATAATACAGAAGAGAGCACCTTAGGGCATGTGCAGAGTGCCTTTCATTCATTAGCCACAATCTGCTTCTGCACACCTAGAGACCCGTCCAGACTATTTTATTTCATATGCATTAATGCAACTTGCTCTTGACATAGTAATAGTCCATTAGCAGTGGGTTTATTCTGTTTCATTAGTTGTTCTGCAATGCTTCCCCAATGCTACCACATTATTGGAGGGGCTACAGTGCAACAAGATAAACCAGTTTGTTGGTGGTATAAGAAGTTATGGGATTTTAGCAGGAAGTTATAGGATAGGCATTGATTGGGAATGAAGCAGTGTGACCACCCCAAAACATTTGCAAACGTTTCAAACAGTATTGAAAGTGGGACTGTGTATGACCACCTAGATAGCACCATGAATGCATGATAAAAATGATGTACTAAGGCCCTAAGATTAAGTACAAAGGTTTTATGGGGAAAGAGTCAAACTCTAAGCAGGCTTGTATCCTAATACCCCTGAAGCTCCTCTGAAGCAGGAACAAAGCACTGGCAGACCAAATAATAAGGGTGCAGACCCTTGAATCCTAAGGGGAAATATTGTAACAACTTACATTACATTTAAGAAAAGAAATTGCATTAAATGTAATATAATTTTAACATAAAAACAAAAAAATGCATCTTCTCACTAGTTAATATTAGATGATACCCTTGCTTATGGCAGAGTCCAAAAGTCACATTCTCGTGGCCAAAATTCAGGTTTTTATTCTTGCAGAAAAAGAGAGATGACATCAGGCCCACCTGAGCTTGGAGTTTGAATCAGAGGTACCTTTCCTTGCAGGCCACTGGCAAACTCCCTCAACTAATAAACATGCATGTCTGGGAGGGGGGAAATGATAGATGCAAAAACCTTCCATCCAGCTCCACACTTTATGCAAGATATTGCATAAATATTGGCAGTCCAAGATTTCAGCAAATCCGGGCTGATACATCAAGTGCCTAGTTGTTGTGATTCAGTCAGTCCCTGGAGAAGCTGCTGCGAGGATACCAGTTGATCCCTCACACCAAATATTCTGTTTTGAACCAAGTTAATCTTCTTTTCCACCCTTCACACAAATTGAATCTCTCTTTTCTTGGGGTAATTTGATTAACTGTCTGCAGCCAGCTACAGGGGAAATGTTCTTAATCTACATTGTCTTTTGTATCAGGTAGGAACATTAAGGGAGCAAGCCCCATTGAGCAGCATGTTCCATGAACCGGTGGAGTCATTTAAAGAGGCAGAGTCAGGGAAAGACGTCTGGGGGGAAATTCCATTTGTTTTGACAGGAAGCAAAGAAGCCAACTTTCCCATTTGCACCTGCAGTGTTTGATTGGAAATATCCCAATTCGCACAAGGATTTCAACACAATGGAACAAACGACACTGCACTTAGGGTGAGACAAAGTGTGTGTGTGGCAGGAAGAAGGGCTTTTTGCAAATGCTTTTTCCACTGGGGTGGGTGTTAAAAGGGGTGATGGCCCTACCGCCCTGGTAAGCACTCTCCCTCTCATCCCCAGAGCATATTGAGAGTGAGGATAATGTGATGCAGGAAACACTACTCTCGCTATGAACTGGCTTGACAATGTTTGCACACAGCCAAATTAAATTGGCTGCATGACATCATCTTGCTGAATACATGCTCTTCCTCCCCACCCCAAACTGACACTGTTTAAAAACATCAGTTGATCAGGCAGCAAAAAGCCTGGGAACAGCAGTGAAAGGGGTGGACAAAGGGGACTTGGGTCAGTTCAGCAGCCTAAAAGTGCTACTTTTAAACAAACAAAAAAGTTCACATGTGAACAGTTGGCACAGACTAAATCAGAATACCAGAATTCATATTTTCTGGTGTTTGCCACCCAAGCATGGGTGTACCTGTGGTAAACATAAAGCCAAACATAAAGCATAAAGCCAAAGTGGCTTTAAATCTTGAGAAGAACACAAGCTGCTGGCTAAACCTGATGATTCTGTTTCTGTTTGCCTCTGTTAAACCTCAACCATGGATGCTGAGCTAAGGTAGACTGACAAATTCTGAGTGCCTTGACTCCAGAGTAAACGAAAGTTATTCATTCCTGACTAACCATAAATGCCTATTGCATGACCTAGGAAAACTGAGGCATGGCCCATGAGGAACTTGTCTTGATCCTCAGGCAAACACAAGGATGACTCTAACATGCCAGTTTTAGGGACTTGGGTGCTACAGCCAATGGCACAGAGGACAAAATGCATCCTTCTGAATAGGCATTATGAATATACACCTGAATATGCACCTAAGCTCTGATGGCCAGCTGTGAAATGAACTTTCCTGACAAATAGTATAGGAAACTGGCAAAGTAGGGCAGGAGAACCAATTGTATCCTCATTCTACCTGGGCAATCAGGTAGTGTGTGGTGTGGCTGACAGAGCATGGGGCTTGGAGAACAAGGCGTTCAGAGCTGAAATACATTTTCAGTCATTGCTATTCAGTTACATTAAACCAGGGATGGGGTACCAGATGTTGCTGGAGGTCAGGGATGGTGGGAGTTGTAGTCCAGCAGATCAACATTACAGCAAGCACACTTTCAGCCCAAGGTCCTGGCATCATTTAGAATCTCAACTTCACTCTCCAAGAAATGGGCTTAAGTTCAAGAAGTCCTCATGGTAAACCAGAGCTACTGTCATCATCTCCTGCAGGCAGTTAAGTTCCACCCATATTCAGTCCATCCACAAATTAGGCTATTTCTCTGCCTTCCTCAAGAAGACACACCTATCACAATGAAATTTACAAAACTCAAGACTGGCACCTGCTAAATACAGAATTAGCATCACTAGGGAGTGAAGTTGGGAAGTACATAATGCAGCCCTTGATGCTCCTCAACTTTTCAGCGATCAGTGCTAGCATCCTACCAAACTGTTGCGTGTGACTCTGGAAATGGCAGAGACAGCTCCATGCTTCAGAGCAATATGCCACTCATTGGGTCCAGAAATAGGCTGGGATGGACAGCGAATGCAGGAGGAAGTACCATCTTGAAATACTGAGCCCAGATCTAGTAGGGGAGAGCTGAAAACGAATCTGACCACCTCCACTGGGCAACCTGACCCAGCGACAGAAATCCTTTGAATATTCACTGAATTCTAGAGACCAACAAGCAGAGGGAATATGTTGGGGGTGTGATTCTTCCTCAACTCAATCAGCTTCTAGATCAGGAAAGGATGACACCAGAGGAGAACCATTTGAGATTTAACTAGTAAAAGGAGGACAACACACATTAGAAGTTGTGTGGGGAACTTCTGGTACTCCAAATGATGTTGAACTAGAATTCCCATCATCCCTGACTATATGCCTTGATGATGGGAGTTGGAATCTAACAAGATCTGGATGGCCACAGGCTCCTCATCCTTGCATTAGAATGTGCACTTAAATCATGACTCACTCTTTGCCCCAAACCTACGCCTGGGAAGCACACAGGACACTGAAGGAATGGAGAAAGCTGTTGCACATTAGGACAGGAAAAAGCTGAAAAAGCCTAGAATCTCTGCATATAGGCTGGAATCTGCTCGAGCTCAACCACCTGAGGCTTGCTTTTCTGGGTCAGGTAATAGGAATAAGCATGAAGTTTGGGTGCACAGATCAAACAGCATCAACTCCAATAAGAAGTAATGGGCTCCAGTCCAACTCTCGGTGCTTCTGCTGGGTACGTATAATTCTGTTTGCAGAGCAGAGCTTCCATCTCTCTGCAAAGAGGCCTTTTACAGGGTGGGGTGGAAATGGGCCATGGGAGCCAACACATTAGATATGCCTCATGTTTAAAGCAAGAGAGTCTGAAAAGGGTGTGATGCAGGAACAATTTCTTCCCAGCCAGCCCTGGTGCTCCCAGCAAGGCTGCAGAAAGACCCAGCCACCAATTCCAAGGACCTGATTGGGGGTCCTGGCCCTGAACCAGAACATAAGAGTATGTGTGGAGGCGCAACTGAAACTCAGTGTGACTCCATCATCTCTCAGGTATGTCATTTTGGTGCCCAGGATCCCCAGGCGATTTTCATTCTGGACTAGCCACATCAATTTTGTTTTCTTCTTCCCCTACTCCAAAGAGGCAGGATGACCTACAACTAAGGGGGGAGAGAAAGATTGCCCCCCCTTGTGCTTCACTGCAGAGCCCATGGCTTTAAAGACCACCCCACAAAATGCTCATGATCTCTAGCCATCTGCCACAGTTCCTTGCCATGCCAACTCCAGAGCCCACCCCTCCACCAGAACCCTGGAAGCAGCCTACCTTGAGACAGGGTCCCCGTGACCAGCTGGTAGAAGAAACGGATCGCCCGCCCCAGCTGCCTCTTGCACCGTCGCTGGCAGTGAGTCATGGTGCCAATACACAGTGGCAGGGTGGCCCCCGGTCAGAAAAACAACTCCCTGGGCAGGGTGAGAACTAGAAGTGCTCAAGGAGTAGGGGGCCCTTCTGTTCCTGCCTCTGACCGTGCCCAGACATCCGAGCCAGAACAACCCCCTGATCTCAGACAGACAGCAGGGTTAGGTGGGAGGAAGAGGAGGAGGTTTGTGCTCAGATAATTCCGCTGGGATTGGTGGTGGCACAGGCAATGCCTGGGTCACCGCGAGAGCAGCGGCTGCCAGTAAGGGGACACGCCCAGAGCTGTGCTCCCCATCCAGATTCAGAAAGTCCCAGCACTTTCGAGGGCTTCTGAAAACTTGGAACAATTGTAGCACAGGACAAAGCTGAGCACGGAGTGGCTTGCTGCTGTCTTAACTGCGAGCTTCTCCAATGACACACGCAAGCGACGCTCCCTCCTCGGACCCTCCTCCTCCTCCTCCTCCTCCTCCTCCTCTGTGCAGCAAAGTTGCTGGAAGAAGCAGCGAGGAGTGGACAGCGAAGCAAGAACCACAAAAGAGGCAGTGCTAAGTGGCTCTCCCAGCCAGTCGCATAGTTCCATGAAGGGGGGCAGCTGGCAATGCCCTGCCTTGGGGGAGTGTCCCCTTCCAGGCAATGTTGGGCAGCAGATGCCTCTTCGGTTCCCTGCTCTGCCTGGCATCTTCCTCTGCCACACCCAGCGCTCTACAACAGGCTCCCGGGAAACCACAGGCAGTGTCGGTTGGCATGGCAATGGTCTGACTCCACAGGTCCTGCTGGCCAATGGGGCGCTGCCTCCTCCTAACGCCTTTCCTGCAGACTGCAAGGATGTGCCTTTTCCATCAAAGTGGGGGAAGCATCACAGGACAGGGCACAGAGACAGACGCCTAGCACTGCTCCACATCTGGCTCTGTGCAAACAAAGGCGTGCTGGCAACGTAATTCCTCAAACTATCGGGGCGATACATCAGCGAGTGACAAGGGAAAGCTGCAGCTGGGTGGAAATAAAGAGGTAGGAAGAGACGCAGCTGTGGACCACAAATCCACCTGCCTCTGTATCTGAAAAGGATCTGGGTTAACAACCAGGAAGGAGAATGGCAGCCCCAAATGAGGGGGTGGTGGCTGGCCACACACCTATAGTTGTGCCCGCTGCTTTTGACAGTTTGCAGCGACATCCTTTATTACACTTCAGCAGAGTTTGGTTTCTGAAGATAACAGGCAAATGGATGGGGCTTTGTTGCATGGCGTGTAAAAGAGGTGATGCAGGTGTCACAAACCAAGTAACTTGTCCAGACAACCCAAGATGGTTATCTTGATAAGAGCTAACATTTTTAAAACACACATGCAGGAATGCTAGAGATGGTGAATCTGCTTTCATACACACCTTTACAACTCAGGCTTTCACTGCCATTACCTTATAGAGATCCAGGTAGCAAGATAATGAGTGGACACCAGACAGAAGTACCTGGAACAAAGGATATACGAAAGCAAAGCATATACATTACGTATGTGGTGACATACTTTCTTACTCAGTTTTACCCCATTTCTTATCCTGAAGAGTATTACACACAGTAGCTTAAAGTGAGGAGATTTCACCCCTCCCATATCCAAGAATCTCCTGAGGAGTCTGCTGATTCTCCAGAGAGGAGGAGGCGTGTTCTGCTCTCTACTTATTCTGCTCCAGCACCAAGTCAGTCAGTCAGTCAGTGTCGGAGAGAGAGAGAGAGACTGAGTGTTAGAGATCGTGTGTAGAGATAAGGTTGCTGCTAAGAGCAGCTGCAGACACTCAGTGCAGTGCAGCATTCATTTATGCTTAGACCTATTTAGCTATGTATATAGTTGTATAATAGTTGTAGTTATAGAATAAAGAAGATATTCTACAGAGCTGCTCTCCGAGTTGTTTATATACTCTGCTAGAGTCTGCTGTACTCTGCTGTGCGACGACTGTCTTCTTGTGGGAGTGAATCCGGTGCTCACAACTCTAAGCTGTGAGTCCACAGCACTTTGACCTGTTCCTCTCTAGAAGTGCAGAAGGTGGTCTCTGGAAGTGCTACCCAGCTCGCCTAGCCCAGTCGGGGCTGAAGTGGATGAGTCCAGTTGGTAGCATTGGCTCAAGGGCAATGCTGACATAAAGTGTTCAGAGACTTGTATAAGCAAATGCGCTTTGTGAATAACCCAGAGCAAGCCAGACCTTAGCAAAAGCAGAGGTTTAGTTGGGGAAAGCAAATAAAAGCACGGAAATCAGAGGTGGGGAACCTGTGACCCTCCAGATGCTGTTGGACTTCAACTCCATCTTCCCTCACCACTGGCTGTGAGCAGATGAAAACCGGAGTCCAAAAATATCCTGAGAGTTGCAGCTTCCCTGGCACTGCTTTAGATGCTCTAAAAAGCTACAAAAGACAGAGTACGGATTTCATTTATTCACTTCAAACATTCATAGATTGCCTTGCAGCAGAAAACTGTTCATAGGGCATGTTACAACACTTTAACCCAAAACGCAAACAAATGCAACCTATACAAAACTGAACATCCATTCAAACCTACATTAAGAACAATTGAGCTTTGTCGTTAAATATATCACATAATCTCCTAGGAGAACAAGCCTTGTCTCTCCCACCACAAAATCTCCCAAACAATACATAGGAGTCTGCTAAATCAAAGCATGGATCTCTTTCATGGAAAAAAGCCTTTCTGATAATTTTGGAAGTATATTGTTATTACATGCCCACGTGACTCAGAGCCAGTTCCAACATGTTTCAGGTACGCTCGTGTTGCATGTACACTAAATTTAGCAGGGAACGTAACAGAGTGGTAGAACACATGCGTTTCATGCAGAAGGTTCCAGATACAATCCCTGGCATCTCCAGTTACAATATAGGATTTGCCCAAGACCATTGAGAACTACTGCCAGTCAGAGTAGACAATACTAGACTAGATAGACAAATAATGTTCCCTGGTATAAGCCTGTTATGTTCCTATTGTTGTGTGGCTTTGAGTATCAGTTGGAGGTTAGGTTTTTTCCCTGACTGTTGGGAAACCTTGAACTGAACTGAACTGAACATTGTTAAAAGAAACAGATAAACATTGGCAACTTTCAGATCACCAACTGTCTCTATACACCAGTGGTGAGAAACCCATGACCCTCCAGATGCTGACTGCATCATCCCTGGACATTGACCATGTTGTCTGGGATGGATGGGAGTTGGAGGTACAACAGGCTGTCAAATCCTCTTTAAAGTCAGCCAAGTTGATGGTCATCACTGCGGGAAATTTTATACTTTGCCATTCCTCCTGTTGCCATTAGCAGGACCAGTGGGGGCAAAGCGTTAAGGCCCCCTTCCCCCCACTCACAATGTGGTCCTGATCCAACTCAGCAAACCCCTCATCCCTGACTATCTGTCTGTCTGTCTGTCTGTCTGTCTGTCTACTTACCTACCTATGACAACACTCCAACCAATCCAAGGCCAAAATCTTGGTCCTTAGAATATAGGGGTCACCTCCTTGCATCAATGTGGAAGCTTGTCTTTAGCTAGTTGTGCATGTATGAGAAAGGGTCATCTCTTTGGCCCAAGAATATCCTCAAATCATGTACTAGTCTGCACACACATCCCTCTCTATACTGCTGATCCTTCCTAGCTTAGAGTCAGACTCAAGACCACCATGCCATACTCACTACGGGGTCAGATCAAGACCAAGAAGGGATGGCATACAAGCTTACTGCACGGCGTCTGCTTAAAAACTCCCTGGTGCAGCAGCTCTGAACACACAGAGAATCAACAATCTGTAGACTTCAGCTGCCACAAAAGCTGAGCATTACAATCTTTCCCCACTTCTCCACTTTCTTGAATTCCCACGCACGGCAATGCTTGGCTCGCTACATGACTGGTAGTCACAGATATCTGCCTCTCCGTGTGCTTACAGTCAAAACATCACACGTTTTGAAGGAGCCCCCTGCACAGCCGCTTGATTCCCATTGAGAGTGATAATCAAGTATGGATTTCCCTACTGCTTCTATGCATGCTTATGGGTGAAGTGGGGTTGTTCTAGCCTCTTCACAGTTCACAGTTATACTCTCCCTGCAGTGTATAGATTCTAGAAGGAGTCATGGGAGCAAGTCTCTGGCCCATTGGTCTGAGCCTGCACGCACACACCATGTGGAGAATGCCATGTCTGATCAACGCATACATCCCTGTATAACTGTGCCTTACAATGATGAACTTTCTGATGCAAGAGAGAGATGTATAAGTTAGGCTAAATATACATGAGTACTTGTCAACAGAGTACCAGTAGAGCGTGTGAATACAAACAACACTTTGCTCACTGTCAGTACTCTGCATATTGAGTTTATTGTATACTAATTCCTCCCCCCGCTTTACCTGGTGACAGTGGGCACCAGCCAAGCAGCGCCAGGTTGCTGGGCTGAGCCACCATGTGAACTGACCACAATGCCTCTGGACTGAAGATTCCGGTGGGGCATTGTGGGAAATGAAATCAGCAGGCAGACCCATTTGCCTGGTGCTTCTTGGAAGTGCCAGGATGAAGACGTGGGGGCCGGAGCAGGCATTAGTGGCAGCCCCTGCCAGGCTGCTGGTGCTCTGGCAGCTGCCCAAAGATGCCAGGTGCTGCTGCCAGCCATGAAACAGGAAGTGGTAGTCATCCTAGATTGTGTAATAAAAAGAATGTAAGAGTGCAGCATTCTGTGGGAGTCTTTGTTTATCTTGGTGCTCAGTGACATCCTTTGCAGGAAGAACAGCAGCAGGAGGCACAAGAAGGCAATGCTCGTCATAGCTGGGCCTCCCCTGCATGGCCGGGAGTATTTAATAAACCACCCAACATGGGTTTTCTTTTCCTGAAGATCTCAGTTCTAGCCTACTTGAAGGCATACTTGCAGATACACTGGCTGATCAAATACAAGAAGAGCCTTCTGGATCAGGCCAGTGGCCCATCTAGTCCAGCATCCTGTTTTCATAGTGGCCAACCAGATGCCTGTGGGAAACCAGCAAGCAACATTCAAACACAAGAGCCAGTGTGGTGTAGTGGTTAAGAGCGGTGGACTCGTAATCTGGGGAACCGGGTTCGCGTCTCCGCTCCGCCACATGCAGCTGCTGGGTGACCATGGGCTAGTCACACTTCTCTGAAGTCTCTCAGCCCCACTCACCTCACAGAGTGTTTGTTGTGGGGGAGGAAGGGAAAAGGAGATTGTTAGCCGCTTTGCGACTCCTTTGGGTAGTGATAAAGCAGGATATCAAATCCAAACTCTTCTTCCCCTCCTGTGGCTTCCAGCAACTGGTATTCAGATACCGATAGCCCTCTTCTCCATGGATTCTCTTTTAAAGCCATCTAGGTTGGTGACCATCACTGCCTTTTCTGGGAGCGAGTTCCATAGTTTAACTATGCGCTGGGCAAAACACTTTCTTTTATCTGTCCCAAATCTTCCAGCATTATTTTTATGTCCATGAGTTCTCGTGTTGTGAGAGAAGGGAGAAAAGCTTTTCTCTATCCACTGTCTTCATACCATGCATGGTTTAATAAACTTCTAGCATGGTGCCTCTTGCTTGCCTTTTCTCTAAGAAGTCCCAAATACTGCAACTTTTCTTCACAGAGTAGTTGCTCCACCCCCT